ACAACATAAGCCTTGAATCCGAAACCCTAAATCCCAATCCCCCAGCCCAACCACCTCCCTCTAGAAATCACCAGATCCGCAGGCAACCGCAGAACTCGAGAGGTGCTCCCGCTCCCAGGGCACTCGCCTCGGACTCCTAGCATCCCGTTGCATGAACCCAAAGGTCCTAGCTACTGTTATGGGAGATACTTCCCCAAATCATAGTATGAATTTGTAATATAGAAACTCTAATTACATTCTACTATCCAGGTACTTCGGACCCTTTGCACGAAGGCTTCCTTCAGCTGTATCTGCAGCTCCCATTTCTTGCTATCCTTAGGAACATTGAGGGATCACGCGGGGATATTTGTTTTTTGTGCTATGTATAAATATATATATATATATGTATAGATATATAGATGTTCCAATGCCCAAGGGTTTACCAAAAACACGGGTCCCGGTTTCGAGATGAGGAATGACTGCTATGTGTTCGGGAGCATCCCTTGGAGGTGGTTCTAGCCGATCCAGTCTACATTGTATTTTTTTGCCCAAAGGGTGCTAGGTACTGTTATGGGGACTACTTCCCCAAATCATACTAGTAATTCCTACTATAGAAACCCAACATTCTAAAATATCGGTACTTTGGACCCTTTGGGTTGGGGTACCTTATAGGATACCTTGGTTAAAACAAAAAGGACCCACAATGGAAACTATAGTTCGGTTTGAGTGGGGCTGACTTCTATCTTCCAAACGGGCCTTAGGCTTTTAGCCTCCAGACCTCTTGTTCCGTTGTTCGTTTGTCCCTGCTTCGAACTGCAGCTCGATTTCTTGCTGTCCGGCATTGGTAACCGGGGTTTGAGGTTCCTAGGGATCGGGATGTAGAGGTTACGCCTTAACCCGAGACAATCTAGAGCTTCCAAAACCCCTTAATCAAGCAATGTACCTTAAATGATACAAGGGATCCCTATTGTGATTGAAGGTAGGCTCTGGGAACCTTCCTTTGTAAGCACAGGTATATGGAACTCATAATTGGGGATTGGGGACCTTAAAAAGGAAGGTTGCAAAGTATCCAGGCGAAAGTTGACCCATATCCCTTGGTTAAGGAATGATCGTTAAATCAAAAAAAGGGATCCTATTATAAGTTAAGGTATATTCCTTTGGGGACCAATCAGACATCTGCAAACCCGGCGATCCACGCCTTAGTTTCCAAGCCTGTCGTTGCATTGAAGGTGAGCTCGATGCCGCCGTGGCCGAGGGGTAGGGGCCGCAAGAAGTTTCGGGGCTTTCACTGATTGAGTGCTTGTGAGAGACGTCAAAACCCCGAACCCCAAATCTTCTTATGCTTTCCCCAAGCCCTGCACTTGACGGCTCTTTCTCTCTTTTGAGACCCCATTAAACCCTTCTAGAAGAGCCGTACAGTCTCCTGACTACGGGATACACGATCCCTCAACGAGCCACATTCGAAGGCTCGTTGTTGGAATTTGCTTCCATGTGCGGATAGACCCTATAGGTCCTGTATAGTGTATATCAAAAACATGATAAACAAAGAAGTGTAGAAATACATACATACTTATACTTATATATAATATATATATATATATATATATGTGTGTGTGTGTGTGTGTGCTCACCCCCCTCCCCCCCTTGATCCACCCGAGCTTGCGTTTTGTAAGCAGCCGATCAAGGGATTTGGGCAACCTCAGATGCGAAAACACGGGCACGGATCAAGTTTCCGCCACAGTGTGACCACACTTTGTTTGAGGATTTTATTTGTTTGGTTTGGATGAAGTGGGACTCCTCACCACGACCGGTGCTACGTGGGCCAACCTGCAAAAGGTGGAGGCAGTGTTTGGGCTGCTGGCCCTCCCGCGAGATTGATGCTTCATCACCGGTTGATTCAACGAGAGGGACCAGAGGAGAAACGACTACTATAGGGGCCTAAATACTTACCTATACTATTCCTAGGGTTCGTTTTGTATACTTATAGTATAGCATGCCCCAAACCCCTATTACTAATTACAGACACTGGATGCAGGAATCAATGCAAATCGACACAGCGTCAGATAATGGTGAAGAAGAGGACGAAGAAGCTGACAGCCCCTGAACCCTGAACCCCAAATCTTAAACCTTAAACGGTTTCGGGTCTAGGGCTTAGCGTTTAGGGTGTAGGGAAAACTAGTGCAGTATGTTCTTGAGAAGGTAGAGTTTCGTGGGTTGCAGCCTAAGCTCTAAATCTGAGGCATCCTGCCATTGAAAGGCCCTTACACCCCAAAAGTATCTTTTCGAACCTCCACTCGCACAAGCCTGGCCAATACCGTGCTGAAACCCGGCACCATACATGTACGATCAGCCTAATACACCCAAAGCCAACAACAACCTTCGGGTGTCTTGGGCTCGCTGTCTTTGATTTATAATCGACGCCTAACCCCCCAAAAGAGAGTAAACAAAGGAACTCATCGCATAGCTATTGGTCTACGTGCGCTTGGGGTCCAGGCAGACACAAGCACAAGGCAAGAGCCCGAAGCCCCCAAGTTGCGACACTCCGGTTTTGTGGGCTACTGGCTTAGCAGCCTACCCTATACGCCCTTAAGTTCCCCCGAAAACTCTACACCCTTAAGCTATCATATTATGCTGCACTGAAAAAGCAGCTTAAAACCCTTCAACTCCTAAATCCTAGATTCCATTCACATCCTCGACTACATACCTAAAACACCTTCAGTTCCTAAGCACCGACTCCTCCCAGATCCCCCAACTATCCTCTAACATACCCGACAAACCCACTTTTAAGGACCATAGGGGCCCTTTAACAGGCCGAAGCCCGAATCCCTGTGAACCCTAAGCCTTAATCCATAAACCTTACACTCTTGAGGATACTATGCTAGGATGCCCAGTAGTACCCTTATTCCCTTTTTGGTAGTCCTAGCTTCCTGAAAAGGTGACCCAATACCAAACCGGGAGCTCCTTTTATTCCTAGGTTACTGGGCATCCTAGAATAGTATATACTTTGGCCTTAAAGTACTCCCTATATCCTATTCAACTACACTGGGGCCAAAGTACATACTAGATGGGTACCTGGGTACTTCGGGTTCCTGGGTAAGCCCCGGATCTCGGCTTCTGAGGCTTCAGGCCTGCGAGGGCGAAAAAGCCGCGGCGGAACTCCAGGGCCGGTGAACCCAAGCTCTCGCTGAGAGGGCAGGGTTTAGGGTTTAGGGCTTAGGGTTTCAGATACTGCCCCACTACAGTAAGAGTCTATAATAGGGCTACTACTAAGGTCCGAAGATATCTAGATTATGAATATTAACCCAAGCTCTCTGAGACTTACCGTTGGTTAGTAGGGCATGGAAGAATGGTAGTAATATAGTAGTTATGATTGTACCCCATTCCTCCATTCCCTACTAACCAAAGGTAAGGAGAGGGTTCGAAAAGGGGTGTATACCTAGTAGTAGGGTAGGTAACCTTTAACCTTTTTTGGGTAGTCCCTATATAACCCCTATATAACCAAAAAGGTTAACCTTTAGCTCCTCATGATACCCGACAAGTAGGTATAGGTTTATTTAGGCTTTAGGGTTTACTGGGTTTCGGGTCTAGGTTTGGGATACTTATTGGATTTTAGTTTGGGCGTTGTTGTTCGGTTTTGCACGTTTCCGTTGATTTCGTGTCGAATTTTAGGTTTTACTAGGCAGGTTAGAACTTCCGGTTTCTTGATGGTCTTAGTGTGTAGTGACAGTTTTGTTGAGCCCTCATATTCTTCAAGTGTCTCCTTCAAGGCAGCGGCTGCATAATTCTTAAAGCTTCCTTTAGCTGTCCTTTTTTCCAGTCAAGGCCGCGCTCTAGGACAGGCGATGCTTCAGGGCTGTTGGGGCTTGGAATCTGTTTTGTGGTCCGGCAAGCGATCCTTGAAGCGCAGCCATGCATGATTCATTCTTGGTTGGCCAAGGTCAGCGCCTTGCTCGCGATCTCAAGCGCTTTACCAGCATGAAGGCCACTGGCCGGGAGCCTGATATAATGCTTCAATAACTCGTACTATGATTCCTCAGGTTTGCCGAAGATTTACTTGGTACGTAAGAACGTCCACAAGAATCTCAGTCTGAGTTATGCAGGCTTTTATATGTATAAATATAAATATAAATATAAATATAAATATAGATATAGATATAGATATAGATATAGATATAAATATAAATATAAATATAAATATATATATATATATATATATATATATATGTAAATATATATATATATATATATGTATATATGTATATCGATTGCCTGGCAACCCTCAACCTCAGGGATGCAGCTGCACGGCTAGACTGAGAGTGTTGAGACCTCAGCGGTGTGTGTTCGTAGCTGTGCTTCTGGGTTTCTTCAATTGGTTTCAATTGTCTCCCTAGTGCTTAGTAGGGAATGGGGGAATGGATCCCTAAAGTAGGCCCTCTATAATCCCCAATAATCGTCCCCGTAACCCATTCCCCCATTCCTTACTAAGAACCAGACAGAGATACCCTAAAACCCCCTATAAAACACTTACAGTAACCCTTATACTAACCCTTAAAGGAACCCTTATAGTAACCCTTAAAGGAACGAGTCTTGGGCCCGGCCGTGTGAATAGACGGGGAGCCACACCGTAAGGCCACGCCCAAAGGGGCCACGAGAACACCTCCAGCACTTCTACGTGCACGGTGGCCCCGGGACTCGTTGTCCTCGACACAGGACAGCGGGTAGCGAACGTTCTCCCTGGTGATCCGCAACCTGCGGTCGAGGAGTTCATGAAATTCGAGCGTGTCAATTGCTTTGCTAAGGTTCAGTCGATGTGGAGGCAAGTGGGCATACCGCTTCTGCTGATGCTGTGCCGCGGCAAGCTTGAGGTTTGTCACGATTGGAAGCAAGGGGCCAGGATAGGAGAAGCTTCGCATCCTGGACCGCATGGGTCTCGGGCGACGGACCGTCGCCGGCGAGAGCAAGATTAGGCTGAGGATGGCTCGGGCGACTTAGCCAGCATCCTTAAACCCATGATTGCGGCGATGATTCGGGAGGTGCTCCAGGAGTTGTTGAACGGGGACCTCAAGAGCATGATCACGGGGCTGCTTGTGGGAAGGCAGCCTGGCACGTCGCGACCGTCTTTGGCGACACCCCCTGCCGGTGAGGTGGACGAGGACAAGAACGGCGGCAAGGGCGAGCGCTGGAAGAAGCGCCGAAAGCTGGAGGAGATGGCCGGCAAAGGTCATGATGCGAGCACGGCGCCGGCCAAGGGCAAAGGCGCCGATGGCAAGGGCAAGAACAACAGTGGTGAGCCTGCGCAAGAACCACAGTGGTGAGAAGGCGACCGGCAAGGGCAAGAGCCACAATGGCGAGAAGGCGGCCGGCAAGGGCAAGAGTGGTGGTGCTGATCAGCTGGCGGGCAAAGGCAAGAGCGATGGCAATGCTCTTGGCGGTGCCACGGGCAAGCCTGACAATGCTGAAGCTGAGTGGACAGTTGTGGGACGTCGCGGTGGTGGTGATTGGAAGCTGCGAGCTGCTGATTGGTCCGACCCGATCCTCTCCTACGAGGAGCTGGTGCGGCTGGCAGCCGAGGCCACTGCTGTGGTTCGTGCTGTGGCGATGGTGAACGAGGAGCAGCGGGACACCCTGTGTGCTTTGTTTCGTGGAAGTGGCAAGGGTCATGCGCTGCTGTTGGTCGAGCCGCGCCAGGCTCCTGATTCCGAGCGGTGCCCGGGGACCATTGGGGGCAAGCTGGTTTTCAAGCCGGTGATCTTCACGAGGGCCTGCTCGTCTGGAGTTGACCCTCCGCGGCCTAAGGTGAAGGCGGCGGGCTGCAAAGTCGAGATCCAGCGCAGCTCCGTGATCTTCGTGCGCTTCGTCCAGCGCTACATGGACAAGGAGGCGTGGGGTGCGGCACTGAAGTCGCCACAGAAGCTCTGCTTGCTCACCTTGGCAAGCATAGGCTTAAGGCAATGGACACGTGGGGCTGGGCAGTTGAGCCTGGTCCGGGCGGTGATGGGCAGCAGGTTTTCGGCAAGTGCCGGCTTGCTGATGGCGATGTGGCCGGGCTTTTGGCTACGAGCGGCAGTGGTGCCTTCTTTGATCCCAGCCGGGGCTTCCACATGGGGCCGGTGGTGACGGAATGGCAGCAGCAGCAGGATCGTGAAAGCAACGCCGCTTACCTGGCTCGCTGCCTGACGCTCCCTGCGGATTACGGTTTGGTGGTGGGCCGCAAGCAGCTGGGCAAACGCATGAAGCACGATGCAGGTGTTCCTGTTCAAAGGCTCTGGCTTGCCGAGGGTGTCCCTAGTGTTGTCACCGCGGACCAGCTTAGCACAGTCCTTGGGACGTTCTTTGAGGAGGTTGAGATGATTCACCAACGACGGCGCGGAGGCTGCAACAACTTCACCTTCCGCGCGAAGACGGCTGAGCAGGCCGACTCCATGGTGGTGCCACTGGATTACGGCGATGAGAGCATCACTTTGTGGGTTCGGCATGCCCCTCCTCGTCGGGGGCCCTTGCAGGCGCAGGAGATCCGCACTTCCGGGGCCTGGTCTCTTTTGGGGCCGCGGGCCAAATGGACCACGGAGAATTATTGAATGTGACGGTCGAGCTGGATGGCGAGAAGGATGGTGAGGCCGAGGCCCCGACCACCAATGCCGAGGACGCCGGCAATGATGCGACCATGCAGCAGCCGGCTAATGCTGGTGAGGTCTGCCACTGCGGCGGCCGATGCTGAAAACAAGAAGGTGCGTGGCTCCAAGGCGGCCGGCAAGGGGGATCACAAGCGTGGCAGTGAGGCGGCGGGTCCAGCAGCCAAGCGTGTTATCAATGTTCAGCGCCGTTTGCCGGAAGGTGCCACCGTGACTAAGATCGCCAAGGATGGAAATTGTCTGTTCTCGGCCATCGCGATGGGGGTCCACAAGCTGAATCCAGCGATCCCACAGGTCTCTGCTGCGGAGGCTCGGGCAAAGATCGCAGTGCATTTGCGGCGCAATGCGGACCGCTATGAGCGGGACTGGGACCGGGAATTGCCCAACAAGGCCCAGGCCAAAGATTGGGAGGAGTATGTGAAGGCCATCGAGGTCGATGCGGTTTGGGGCGGATTGACCGAGATTCGTGCGGCATGTCGCATATGGGACATTAGATGTATCATCTTCCCCACATGTGAAACGATAGAGCCTTTTCATGTCCACGGACAAGCGAAAAAGCGCGTGGTGGCGCTCCAATTCTCAGGCAGCCACTATGACCTCATAGAAGGAGACAATGGATCTTTACCCAAGGCTCTGCTGAGTGTGAAGGGTGCTCCTGAGGCCGTTCCCATGCGCGGCGGCGGCCGTGATCCTGATGGAGCCTTTGTTGATGGGGCTGCCTCTGTGTGGACTACTGCGTCGGCGCTTTCCTGCTTGACGTCTTCGGTGACTTCCAGGCGGGCGGCTTCTGCGACCTCCAAGCGGGCGGCTACGGTGGCCTCTGGGCGGGCGCCTTCGGTGACTTCTCTGCGGACTGCTTCGGCGACTTCCAAGCGGGCGTCTTCGGCGCCTTCGCGGCGGGCCACTTCAGCTGCCTCGGTTTGGACGCGTGACTCTCAGCTGCCTCGCTCCGGTGCTGCGTCGTCTTCGGTGACTGGAGGCGCTTCGGGGGTACGCTGTGGGATGCGTACCTCGGTTGCCTCTTCTTCCGATTACCCGGACGCGGCTCCCATCGTTGTTGAGGAGGGCCCGACCAAGAAGCGGAACATGAACCATCCTGCTCGCCAAGCCGATGGGACCTACCGCGAGCCTTGCTGCTACTGTGCACATGTTCATGTTGCTGACTCTGCTGTGAAGCTTAAGAACCTTCGGTACAACCACCACCAGCGCTGGCACAAGGACCTCCCCAGGGTTTGTGGACGAGGACTGCGTCATGACTTTGAGATTCGGGACCTTTTCGACCTGATGAGCCTGCTGATTGGCGCTGCCCCATGGCTGGTTGCAGCGCTGGAGTGCCAGCCGGCTTCAAAGCAAAGGTCTCGAAGGCTGTCTTTGCAGAAGTGAGGGGCGAGCATCGGCGCCGCTCGCACCGGCATCTGACCCGGGCGGCCTACGCTGCGCGATTGAGGGCTGCCGCGCACTGCAAGCCGGCCGAGAGGATGCGCTGCCGAGTGAGCATGCTCAACCGCTTTCGAGCTCAGCATGCGCACAGTGTGAAGGCCGGCGCCCGGCCCTCCTCCAGTGACTTTGTTGCCTTCACGTGGCCGCTGCTGCTACGCAGGAAGACCTCCAAGAAACACAGCGTGTTGCGCCTTACCCTGGCTTCTGCTTGGAGGTGCCGCACTTGTATGGGATGCTGGCGACACGCTTCTGCGGCTTTGGCACACAAGTGTGGCGAGGTTGTTGATCGGGTTGAGGCTCGGGCTGCTGGCCTTCATCGTGCTCGAAGGTTGGCCGCCACCTTTGCCCACGGGGTCGATCCCATTGTCCTGGATCGGGCCTTCGACTCCGCTTTGGAGCGTTTGACTCGACCCAGCATTACGCCATGATCAAGCTATCTCTACCTTGAACATTCAGAAAGCTGGTGCTGCGAAGGTCCATCTCCTCGGGGAGCTCTTTCGTGGCCCTCGAGCTTGTGAAATCTTGGCGGTGCAAGAGCTGGAGTTGAGAGTGGAGTCGCTCGCGAGCTTTGTGGCGACTCTACGTCAGTACAGCGTGCATGTTTTTCCCGGTGAACCTACGGGTGGTGTGTATAGGTGTGCCATCCTCACCACTCTGCCGTGCAAACCTGTGGCGATTGAGGTTGTCTGCCCCTCTCGGGTTGCGTGTGCAGTTTTTGAGTTCCTGTGCAATGGGGACTTTATGAAAGTTTTGGTCGCCTCCTACTACGGCTGCCAGTCTGACAAGCAGATTGCCGTGGACGGGGCGATGGACCTTGCATGTGCTCTTCGCGGCACGGCCTTTAACTGGGTGATCCTTGGGGACTGTAACGTCGACCTGCTGGAGGAGCCCATGATCGGTGCTGTGGCGAATGGTTTGGTGTGGCCTTGGGATGACGTCTTCCAGCATGAGGAGATGCTCCCTGGTACCAAGGAGTCCGGACGACGGCTGGACTACGCGGTGGGCAATGGCGCTCTCGTGCCCTCTTCGGTGCACCAATGCTGGTGGCACTCTGACCATGCTATGGTGACCTATGACGGGCCATTCTCGGCCTTCCCGACGGCCGCTTCGTGAAGTGAAGATCACTGATGATCAACGGTGGGCTGCTTGGTCGGCCTCTGCCTACGAGAATGCCCTGGCTACCGGGCAAGTGGACGTGGCCTGGACTTTGTTGTCGGATGCTGCTGAAGGATTGCTTGCCGAGCCTGGTTCTGCTGGGGTGGCCCGCTCTTCTTCCTGGAAGCCGCGACCCCAACAACATCCTCGGAGCAAGGCAGCCGGTGGGCGCGAGCCGCTCCTGGTGGTACAGCTCAATAGGCTGTGGCGTCGACTTCTTCAGCTTCGCCGTCGGCCCAGTGACCATCGCCTTCGAGATCGTGTTTCTCGTCAGGCGTGTGACCTCTCTTCTCGTGCGCCTTGGCTTCGGGACCTTCCCTACTTCGAGGCCGAGGCTTGGTGCGACTGGATGCGTGAGCAGATCGACAAGGAGGAGAAGGCCCAGCAAGCTGCGGCCATCAGTGCTTGGAGGCAGCGATTGGACAAGGACCCAAAGGAGCTTGCCACCTGGATCCGGCGGCGTGACCAACTTGGTGCTGAGCTTTCCCGACCGGTGCCTAAAGTTGAAAAGTGTGGCGAGAGTTGCTATCCACCCCGCTCGTGTTGTTCGTGATGCGGAGACCACTTGGATGGCTCGATGGGGCAAGGGGCATGGCACTGGGCAGGTCGAGGCGATCCTTCGACAGTTACCTCAGCTCCCGCAGTGCGAGTGGCGACCTGAGATCACCGGTGACTCTCTTCTTCGAGCTGCGAAGACCATGGTGACGAAGGCAGCGGGACCGGACGACTGGCCGGCCAAGGCTTGGCTCTGTTTGCCGCGACCTTTCTGGGATGCGCTCTCGCAGTTGTGGCAAGCGGTCTTGCGAACCCACTGCATTCCACAGCGCTGGCGTGAAGGGCGAGTTGCTCTGATTGCCAAGCCGAGCGGCGGCCACAGACCTTTGACAGTGTTGGCTCTAGCCTGGCGGCTGGGGTCGAAGATCCTGGTTCGCTGCCTGGACCGGTGGGTTGACGACTGGGCTGGGCACAGAGTCCTTGGAGGAGTGCATCGCCGTGGGCTTTCTGATGCCTTCATGCGACTTCGTGCTTCTCTTTCGGAGCCTCGCTGCTATGTGCAACAGGACCTCAGTCGCTTCTTTGACTCGATCCACCTTTCGGACCTGCTGGCGACGATGCGGCGCCTTGGTGCTCCTCAGGGTCTTTGTGGTTTGGTGAGCAGCTTCTATGAGGACCATCGCCGGGTTTTCTCCTCTGCGAATGTGCTCGGTGGGGACTGGCATCGTGTGCGGTGTGGGCTGGCTCAGGGGTGCCCTCTGTCACCGCTGTTGGCTGGCACTGTGATGTGGGCTTGGCATGAGTTCGTCGAGTCTGGCAGCCATTCTGAGCTTTCGTCTTGCAGCTTTGTTGATGACCGGCTGCTGTGGTCGCGCTCTGCTGATGTTCTTCGCCGTGGCAAGTTGCGCAGTGATGTGGTGGACGCCGCTTACGACTTCACTTGCGATGTGGACAAGTGTCGCTTTGCTTTTCGTGGGGCCGACCCAGCTGCTTTGGCTCTGCGTGATGAGCTCGGCTACGCTTCCTCTGAGGTGCTGGTGGTGCTCGGCTTGGTGGTCCCTCTGGATCCGGCTACGGTGCCTTCGCTGCGGGACTTTGACCTGAAGGTGGTACAACGTCGCTTGCGCCTGATCGGCGCGGCCACCCACAGCCTGCCAAACAAGAGGCGCCTGCTTTTGAGCCTTGTGTTGCCCCTGTTCACCTGGGCTGGTGGTCACGCTTTTGTCGGCGAGGAGGCCTTGACTGCAGTGCTGAGTGCCTTTCGCCATGCCATCTTCAAGGACTTGGCAGTGGATGCGCCGTTTGTCTTGGGCTATGAGGTTGCCGGCTGGGAGTGCCACCCCTTTTGCGACGCAGGCTTCTGCTTTTCGACAGGCGGCCCGGTTGCAGGTTTCCCCGCCTGTCTGGATCGAGGAGGAGAGTGTCGACTTTGCGGCGAAGCGGTGGCTGGAGCTCCTGCCTGGTGCCAGGCTTTTGCTTGACGAGCTGCAGTGGTGGTCTGCTGAGCGTGGTCGGTTCATATGCCGACGTGACTCCTACGGTGTGGAACGGCGGTTCGAGCTTGGCGTCGACTCCTTGGAGGTGCTCTTCGAGTGGCTTCGTGACGAAAGACGTCGTGCGGGCCTGGCTGGCTGTGGTCGTGTTTTTCACTCCTTGCATCGGCCCGATCCTCTGGATGAGCTCGCTGGAGGTTTGACGTTGCCGGCGCCCCCGCGAGGCTCCTTGTGCCTCTTTGCAGGGCATCGCCAGATGTTTGCTCGTGCTGCTGATGCCATCGACAGAGCTTCAGCTATGGCGACGGGGTGTTCTACGTGGCACAAGGCCAAGCGCAACTCTGGTCGTGGTTCTCGAGGTGCTGACCGTGCTGCTCCGAGCTCTGCTGAGGTGTGCTTGTGCGGCCGAAAGTTGCCTTCTCGTCCTCACTTGGCTTGGGCTTGTGAGGCTACGGCTCCCTTCAGGGCGAATGTTCCGCCCCCTGTGAATCGGGCGGAGGAGCGGCTTTTCTCGCGTGTTGTTCCTGAACTTCCTCGACCACCTGACGTGCTCGACCCAGTGGACGTCTACGAGGACATTGCGGCGGTGCTCGACGGCTTGCTTCAGTCGGAGAGCTCTTTGACAGTGGCAGTCGACGGCAGCACTTGCTGCTCCTTGGCTGCGTGGGCTGTCTCCTTTGCTGATCGCTCCTTTTCGCTGGGCGTGCAGGGCGAGGACCAGTCTTCTTTTCGGGCGGAGATTGAGGCTCTTTGGGCATTGCTTCGTAGTCTGCAGCTTTGCTCCGGATCGGGAGTCATACATGTTGTGTGCGACTGCCAGTCTGCCATCACGGTTGCTCTTGGTGGAGGTCAGCTTGCAGGACTTAGCCGGCGCTTTGTTGCTTTCAGGAGAGAGCTGGAGCAGCGCTTCACCATTCACTTGTGGTGGACGCCTTCGCATGGGAAGGTTGCTCCTTCAATGTGGCGGCCGCCTCCTTGCGGCGAAGTTGTGGCGAGAGCGCTCAACGCCAAAGCTGATGCTGCGGCGCGCTCCTGTGCTGGTGCGCGTGCCAATGGGTCACTGCGCAAAACTGTGATGGAGCAGCGCGAGGCGGCGCTGTCTTGGGAAGTGAAGGCGCTGACCGCCCTGAACAAGGCGGCACGTGCCTGGGCTGAGGCTTAGGCCTCCCTCGACTGGCGATGGGCGGCTACCACTTTGGTCTGGTGCTGTCCACTTTCCTCTTTTACACAAGGCCACGCCCAAAAGCCTACACCCTCGGCGACCCTGGAGTCTTAAGACGAAACGGTTTAGGGTTTAGGGTTAAAGGTTTAGGGTTGCGGATCGGATTAAGGTGTTTAGGCTTTATAATATGGGCTTAGACTTTAGTGTTCAGTGTTCGGAGCACAGGGTAGTACAGAAGGGTTGGAGGTTTAGGGTACAAGGCGATAGTGTAGGGCTTGTACCCCTACACCCCAAAGCCCTAAACCCTAAACTCCAAAAGCCCAACCCTAAACCCCAAGCCCTAAACTCTAAAAGCTTTATCCTTATCAACCCCAAACCCCACAGACCTAAACCCTGAACTCCTAAAAGCCCTACCTAAACCGCTAGAGCCCTGGCATCGACCTTAAAAACCCTGGACCATAAACGCCCTAAACCTCGAAGACCCTACCAAAACCTGCCAGAAAGCCCTAGATCGCAAGCAAAGGTCCTAAACTCTGAAAGCCTTAAAAACCCTCTGAAAGCCCTAAACCGTAAATCCTAAAAGCCCTACCTAAAGCCCCAAAAAACATCACAAAAACGGGCCCGCTCCTGAAAGGCCAAGCTCCAGGAGCTTATGGTGGCTTCCGACCGCCCCCAGGAGGCCTCCGGGGTGTTAGGGCTTTAAGGGCGTAGGGATTAGGATTCAAGGTGTAGGTGTTAGGGTGACCGGGCTTTAGGGGCTTAGGGTTTAAGGGCTTTAGGGGTTTTAGGGTTTAGGGTTTAGTATTTAGGATTTGAGGTTTAAGTTTTAGGATGTTAGGGGTGTAGGGGTTTTAGGGTTTAGGGGTTTAGGTTAAGGGTTTAGGGTTATAGGGCTTTAGGTGTTTTAGGGTTTAGGGTTCAAGGTTAAGGGTGCTTAGGGTGTAGGGTGTAGGATTTAGGGGTTAGGGTTTTAGGCTTTCAGGGCTTCGGGATTAGGTTTTCAGGTTTGGAGTGTAGGGTTATAGGGCTTTAGGTTTCTGGCTTCGGGGCTTAGAGGGCTTAGGGTTTAGGGGTGTAGGGGTTTGGGGTTGCCTCTCTTGTTGTGTCGACACCGAGCAGGGTCGCGGCACCTTTGACACAAGCCGCCTGTTTTTGTCCACGCCCAGCCGGTTTCTTACCAAGGTAGTGCCAAAGGACGCACATGGAAGGCTGCTGTGCTGCAGAGTGTGTCACGGGTGCTGTGTGGTGGCCTCAAATCCCAGGTCCAGATTGCACTGCGACGAGTGGAAGAATCTGGAAGGCACGCCGGAGAGGTCGGCAGAGGAGCCAAAGGAGCCGTTCCAGCTGCCAAATGAGACCGCGAGTTCAAGTCCAGACTCCGATCGCCCCAAGAAGGGAAAGAAGAGAATGCCAGACAGGGGAGGCAACCAAAAAGAAGAGCAAAAGGCGTGAGCCCGACGGCAAGCCGCCAGATGTCAGTGATGGAGCTGATGTAGGTGGCGGCGGTAGCGGCACTTCGCGAGTGCGGATAGAAGCTGGTATCAGGGGCTTGCGGGTTTGGGTCATGGGTGTACCTTCAAGTGAGTACTGATGTCTTGGTCCTGAAGCAGGACTGGATCAGGAATCCTGATATGAAGGAGAAAACGCGAATATGTACTTCTCTTCCTTACGTTCTAGAGAAAACCCTAGTAGGGATAGTACGAAGTCTTTCAAGTGAGTACTTAAATGTCTTGCTCACTTGCTCCCCTAAATAGACCTCGATATACATGTGAAGGGTTTGGAGGACCAATGATAAGTCCTAGACATACCACGATCCCTGGGAGGCTCTTAATACCTTCTACCACCCTACAAACACCACGTTCCCTGGCTTCTTAGGCTCGACGCCTTTTCTAAAGCCCATACAGAACCAACGAAAAAGGGATGCCTAAACCCAAAACTCTACAGAGACAGGGAGGTCCTTCAGCTCTTCAGCTAAACTCTGTAAACCTTAAAGCTCAACCCCTAGGACCCAGAGTCTCAGAGTAAGCCCTTATTCCCTTTTGTGGGGGTTTTGGTTCCCGTACCCTTTAAACCAAAAAGGGCACCCTGTTCATTCCTAGCTTACTCTTAGGTTTAGCTAACACCTCAAACCCTAAAACTCTAAACCCCTAAACCCTAAACCTTAAAGCCCCAAACCCTAAACCCTAAACCTTACAGCCCTAAAACGGGAGGTTCTTCGGCTCCTCGCCGAAGCAGAAGCTTTGGCCACTCGCACGGCCCTGGCGCTGGCGGAGAGCCGCGAGGTGCTTCCCTGGAGGGCTCCTTAAAACGGGTTACCTATATTAGTAATATTAGTAATATTAGTATCCATTGCAGTTCTTTTTGGGGGTTAAAACAATATTATAGTTAGGACCCTATACCTACATAAGTATCCATTGTATGTTTTTTGGTTAAGCCAATCATGAAGGAAGCATCCGACACCCTAAGCCCTAAACCCTAAACCCAAAAATGGGACTACAATGGAGACTAATGGTTAACGGTTTGAATTCGGGACAGGGCTCTCGTGTTATAGGGTGTTTTGGTAGCTTTATAGAGCATGTAGGATTTTAGGAGTTTGGTGTTTATAGGGCTTATTATAATCTTTAAGTGCCTGCAGCAAGCAAGGTACCATCAAACTTGTAACTGTATTATTTCGTAGTTCCTTAGGGTCCTATCCTATCCTCTTTAAGGTCCGTTGGTTACAGTACTGTAGGTACGGCTTTCCTGTAGATCCACGCTTTGAGGGGTCGTCACCTAGAATTGTGAGGCCCCAAGGGCATAGCTTCGGAAGCGTTGGCCATTTCTTGATTTTCCTGGGTTTGCTTCCCGGGTTCCCACTCTAGGGCCGTTGAGCAGATCTTCTGGCATTGCAGAAGACGTGCAACGAGGTGCAACTGTTGTCGAGTAGGGTTTGCGCAGATGGTCTATGCAAAACTTGTAGACCCATACAACGGTTTTGATTGGCACAGATTGGTACCTTGGTTCCACAGGGCTGCCCAATGTGTTTATACTAGCACAACCCGCCCCCAACCCAACCCACTCTCCCCGCCACTGAAGTAGGCACCGCAACCAGCAGCCCTGAGAAAAAAAAATTGGACCATAATTCGACAGACAAATAATTTTGCCAACACTGCGGAACTATATGTGGAAAGCTGTTGTTTCTTTAGGTTCGGTTTTTGTGGTGGTATTCCACGCGTAAAGGCTGAAATTCCGTGGTTAAAGTTGTTAGGATGTGGTGCAGGGCTTTTTGTGGGCATGTTTGAAGGGCTTCGTGGCGTGGTAGAGGGCAGCTTCATTGGTTTTCGAAGGCAGTTTCAGAACTGCCGTGGTGTATGGCACCGGAGGGTTTAAGGTTTTGGTTAGAGTTTAAGATTCGTTGGTTCAGGCGTTTAGGCGAACGAACGCCTTTGCTCTGCGGCCATCGATGGTGGCTTCAAGTTTCAACCTCCTTGGATGGCCTTTGCTGTGCTTGGCTGCGCCACACAGCTGACGAGTTCGGCATAATTAGCCGCTTTGGCTCGGATGTCCACCGTGGAGTAAGATTTGTTCTGGCGCCGAGATTCTCAAGGCTGCACACATGGTTTTTCCGATGACACACGACATCCGGGTACAACGGCCTGGGCCGGTTTCACATACGGGCTTGGAAACCACGCAAACTGTGAGCTGGTCTGCCGCTGGCGAAGTCAAGCTCCAGTTTCAGTAATGTAGAAGCCGAGATAAGTACCAGCATTATTCATTAACTCTGTTCTATCTCATGAGTATCTATTTCAATTATTAAGTGCCCTACGTTTCGCCGCTGTACCAGGAGTAGTATAGTCGCTTTGGCCACCCTCCCCTGCCGCCCTGTTGCCATATCGCCGGACCCCAAAAGCCCAAGTCGGATTAATCCTACCACAGACGTTTAAACCCTGCAGGAACCTCAAAAACAAGAACCCCAAAACCTTAAACCTATGTTCTATGTTACAACACGATCGTGCAGGTGGCCGAAAAGGGTATCGTTCCCGTGGAGGCCGGTTGCTGTCAGGTATCTGATAGATTAGCCCTAAAGTCTCCGGAATTCAACAGAATTCTAACCTACATGAAATACTATCGGAAACCCACGTACTTACTTATTGGATCCTTTGGACCCTTAGGGTTTTGTAACGGTTCCATAGAACTCCTAAACTCGAAATCCCTTTCATCCTGAACTGGGCTTTGGGGGGTATCATACTTCAATACTTTTTTGGGGACCTGGGAGTTTCCGAAAACAAGGGGAACCTTATTTGGGGGTCCTTTTATAATAAGGAGCCTACTATTTAGGGTGCTATATTCGAGTCCCTCATTTTCGGAAACCCCCACCTGTTACGTAAAGGGAACCACTATGACATTAAAGTCTATACCTTTTTCCCCCTGGTTGCTTCAAAGCCAAGGAAAACTCCGACCCTAAACCCTAAACCCTAAACCCCTAGACCCTAAACCTTAAACCCTAATCCCTTGAACTAGAAGCCTGAAGCCCTAGGCCCCTCGCCAAACAAGCCCTAAACCCTAATTCCCAAACCCCTAAAACCCCAAAGCCGTAGAACCCTGGACCCTAGACTCCTACAGCCTGAAACGCCAAACCCTTACTTAAACCCTAAACCTTAATTAAGCCCTGAACCCTCAACCCTCAAAGCCCTAAACTCTAAAGCTCAAACCCTAAACCTTAAACTTTAAACCCTAATCCCTAAATTCAACCCTTCGACGAGCGGATAGCGAGTTGGAAAAGAGGCGCTTAAAAAAAAAGAGAACAAAATCAACCCAATTGAAGGGTACCGGGCTCATGGCAGGAGAGCAGCGCGCCGTTTCCGGAAGCTGCCTCTGAGACTTGAGACGAACGGACACTCCAAGAATCGATCTGCCAGGATACAGGGAACTCCAGAAAGTTGGAATATGGTTTCAGGGCAGGATACCCTGTAATTTACCATACAGGGTTTGGGATAATCATATTCCAACTTTCTGGCTTTTCCCTTAAGGGATTAATATAAGGGCCTAAATAATTGCCTGTACTATTTCGGGGGGTTCCTTATTACCAGCATAGTAAGGATGGGTCCCTAAACCTTAATCTAATTATTAAGGCCGCTATATTATGGGGCTTTAGGGTTTCGGGGTTTAGGGTTTAGATTTGGGCTACCGGGTTTAGGGTTCAGGTTTCGGGTTTAGGTAGATGGAGAGGTTCTGATAATGCAGTTATGCAATGTGGTTTAAGGCTTTGTTTAGGTTTCAGTACCTGTTGAGCTTGCCTTCTTTCGTTCGGCTGCCAACAAGTGATAATTCGTGCACAATTCAGACATGGTGTTTCCGGCACCCGAAAGACTTCACAAACACAAGGATCTCAGATTTAAGCTGTTCTGGAATCACCCTCTTCTCGCCCTCAACTCCCCCAAAAAAATCCTTGGGTTTAGGCGCGAGTTCGGGGACCCTTTTGAGACTGGACTGCCAGTCCCTGAACCCTAAACCCTTACGCGGGTAAGGCCGCATTTTCGTGAACAAGTCATGGGCCAGAAGCCCAAACTCTTAAACTCCTGACATCCACACCACTTCAAATCCTCAATCCCTGACCTTCAACCCCCACACAACATAATAAAAGCTGAAGCTAAACACCCATAGAGAGTGCCCATCCACAAACACACCTGGGCTTCCTGAATTCGTTCCATCCCGGGTTCTTGTCAGCTAATTATATAAACTAGTTCATGTTCTTGCTATGCAACGTATGTATAGTCAGCAGCTGGATTTCCATATTCTGGCTGCTTGAACGATAAGCTGCTTTCTCCTGGTTTGAGGAGCCTCCCCCGATGTCAGCACTAGTGTGGTGACAACAGTTCGCAGCAGTTGCGTCAGTTTGGATGATCCATGATCCGTGAATTCCTAAACATTCACCTGAACAGTTGAGTTTCTCGGAAGATACATTAGAGAAAAAAGGGCTTGGCGAAGTACCAGTAATGTTGCTTAGGGCTCCGTATTGATTCGCCATGCTTACTATCCTAGCTACAAAGCTCACGAGTTTGAGAAAAGAATCATGGTACCCTCTTAGATGGAGAACTGTTGGTTGCGACGTGTGATGCACAACCTTAATGCCTAAGCTGTGGCCTATACCCTGAGCCCCTTTTGTTTCCGGATCATGGCCCTGAATTGCTTTGCTGTTGTGCTCTAGTTCGGAGAGGCGGCATTCCATGACTCTGAGCTATTCTGTGTTACGGCGAGCTAATTGTGATTTGGTCGAGACCCTAACGGGAGTAACCTATACTTTGCGACATGGCACCATGAGGAGAACCCCAGTTCACCATCCGCCCCCCTTCCACTACCCTAAAACCTAAGCCTAAACTTTTCACCTTTCCATCAATCCAGCTTTCTACTCAGAATCTTAGGGTGTAACAGTGCAACATCAAGGCTTGAATGAGTGGGAACAGTTTCCACCAAAAAAGCCCTAAATTTCAAGCTTCTATTCTAATTGTTACGGCCCAATTATAACGTCACAATAAAGCGCAGAATCTCTTCACGACCCCTTCTGCCTCTCCAGTCTCCGAAGGAACTTACTGTCTACAGTGCTGCCTGCAATTCGCTGCAAGAAGTTGGGAGTTTCACGCGAGAGAAGTCTTCTATGGAATCGAGATAAAAATACTGTAGGAGCTTAAATAATAGCCTGTACTATTGTGGTCGGAGTTTCCGAATATAGGGGACCCTAATACAGTACCCTAAATAGTAGGATCCTTATTAAAAGGATCCCAAAGTAAGGTGCCTCTAATTTTCTGGAAACTCCCATATACCCCAAACCCCACTCTAAATATAAGGCCCTTTTCTGAGCCAGCCCTAAGGGCCTCTGTAAGGGCTCGAGAGGGTTTGAAAGACTGCCTTGAAGAGCTGCTAAAGGGGTTCTATGATTTCTATAACTCTGAGGGTCCAAGTGCTGATTGAGGGTTTAGGGATGGTAGAATGAGACATTTCCTGAAAAACGAACCTAGATTACCACTATCCTTAAAGCAGGTGACTAGTGCTCTGGACCCTCAGTCAATACTTTAGGTGTAAGCCAAGACCCTCCCCAAAAAGACCCTGAAGCCCAAAACCCCCAAAACCCTGAAGCCCAAAACCCAACGCAAGCCCCAGTTCAATTCATCTGGTTCGGCAAGGACTCTCCTGCAGGTCAAAAGCGAAGTGCATTGAGGGTTTAGGAATTAGGAGTTTAGGCTTTTGTGTTCCTCTAACGGGTTCTACAATGGGCCCGCTCAAGGGCTGAAAAGATGGGTGTCTGGGTAATGATTCAGCCTTCATCAGGGATCTGAAGAAGTAGTGCGTCCAAAGGGTTCCGGAAGGGGTCCTCTGCAGGTTCTATAAGGATTCTGCTCTTGTGCGAATATTCCCTAAACTTGGGGTCCAAAAAGATTAGAGTGGTATCCCTACACGGTGTTGGGCTGCCCCTGCAGTCCCATTATGCTTGTAGCAAAATATACTCGATTCTACCTCTTAAGGTCCCTCTGTGGGGGTCTTGCGGCTCTACATACCCTATGGGTCCAAGTAGTCCTTATATATGTTGATGGTTTTGGTACCCAGAACGGCCCCAAAGTCCTATGATCAGGAGTACCTGGACCCTTAGGGACAGTTGTCGCTGTTTGGGGGTTAGGGCTGTTGAAAGCTTCGGGAAGCGATGTTGTTTAAGGCTTGGGAGGGCGCGGAGCTTCCCACCAGACGTCAAGTATACAGAAATCCGTAGGTCTATGAGACAAGGTCCCTGCTGCTTGATTGTATAAACTGATGTTAGGGACTCAATTATTTCGAGAAGGGTCTTGCGGCATATTTTTGTATATTGTATGTAGTTTTCTCATGTCGTGGAGCATGAGGTGTGATTTTGTCAATTATTTAGCCCTCTGTGCTACGGGAATCTGGGTGGGTGGGGTTTGGGTTTAGGTTTCTGGGGGCGGTCGAGTATCTAGGTGTGTACTAACTGCGTGACGGTCCTCCTAGGTAGGCTGTTGGGCGATGCCACGTTCTGTCTTTTTGGGTTTTGAAAGCCACTGTGCTTTAGCCAAGGTATATCAGGGTACATGACCGTCGAGTTCTGTCTGCTTCTTCTGCTTCTACTTCAAACTGGACACCTTTCTGAGTCGGGAAAGCCTCTACAGTCACGCAGCCTTCGACGCCCAGTAACCCATTCAGTAGTTTGCTGAATTTCGGGCAGTTAGAGGTCATTGCGTACTCTTTTTTGAGACCTCAAATTTAAAGGGTTCTATCGTAAATACTTACATACTGAACCAGAAACCCGTACTCAAACCCTCAAGCCTAAACACAGTCGACAATGGCCTGCTGTATAGGTATCTAAACGTGTAGACAGTAATGTATATCCTTGGTTGATTATTCTCCCCGGTCAATACAGGTTTAGGTCGGGAACGTTATGGCTAAACCCTAAAGGCCTTAAAACCGTAAACCCTAAACTAAGCCCGTAAACCCAAGACTCAACCCTAAGCCCTGAATTCTCCCAGCTCACGCCTTCCGACGTCCACACCGGCGTCCAGGCCCAGGACGGGGTCACTTGTTCTTGCTTCGTTTTTTGCCTCATGCAGGGGATGTCGCTGGCGAATCGCCTGCAGTTGCATAAACTGCTGCGTGCCTCGACTGCTTAATTCGTCATGTTGCTTCTTGCCACGGCTATTGCGCGAGGTCCACTCTTCCGAGCGGATGCGTGCGAGGAGAAGGCCGCTGAGGCCAAGCTTTTCCTGCTCGGTGACGCATTGCAAAAAGAAGAAGGACATCTGCAATCTCCGTGAACCGCACATTATCAAAGCGGCAGGCCGATTCTCGTAGCTTGTTCTCCTCCACATGATCGTTTGCCGTGTGGTCAGGCGACTTGGGGAAAACCAAGAGGCCGTCACAGTTTGCTTGTTGCTTTCTACTGTCCTCTGCATCAGGCGCAACCGCCCTCTAGAGAAAGGCGACCCGGTCTGCGGGGCCTGTCACTCTATGTTTTCGCGTGCTGTGAGGGCCTTGGGTTTTCCCGCTGTTGCGGGCTCTTCTTTCCGCTCCTTGCCTTGCTAGGCCACCGCTGCGCAGAAGCGAGCCGCGTGGGTCTCGGTTCCCTTCTTTGCGCTCTGGCTGGATTCTTTCTGCTGGTCGTTACCTCGTCAGGCCAACGCCGCCGCCCCGGCAGCTGAGAGCTCCGACAGCGACTAGATTCGTGTTTACCTTCGTCTTGCTGGTCGAAGTAGTAGTAGTAGTAGTAGTAGTAGTAGTAGTAGTAGTAGTAGTAGTAGTACTACTACTACTACTACTACTACTACTACTACTATTACTGCTACTACTACTACTACTACTGGTGGTAGTCGTACTAGTACTGGCATGAAGTTTGCAAGGCGGTTGGGTCGAATTAGACGCCAGCTTGGGTGGAGAGCGCCTAAGAGCGGTATCGGTGGCTCAGGGGCCGTTGATGGCCGTTGCCTCCACCTGTGACCCTGGTGTCACCTGCAGTTCTTCTTGCGCGCAGGGCTTCGCAACAAAAGAAGTGTTTCCCGGCTTCATAGCTCCAAGGGTTGTCTTGCCTGCCCGCAATCAGCTTTAACTTTGCAAAGGCATTTTGGCGTGCCATGCCGAGTCTGCGCTTTTCTTTCGGTAGTCCTCGTAGAGGTAGTGCTAGTGGTAGTAGTAGTAGTAGTCGTAGTCGTAGTAGTCGTACTAGTAGTCTCTCGGGTGCGGCAAGACGCAGCCTTCACATCTTCCCGCTTGATCGTTAGATGAGAGTGTTGCCCTTTCTGCTGTTGCTGGGTATCGTGCTTGCTTTGGCGTAGGATCCCAAGTTCGATTTTTAAATTTCTGCTCGAATCCGCGTCAGATTTTTTTAGTCCCTTGCAGTTCGAGGGCAGTTCTTACACGTCCTTTCGCAGCGTCGCAGGATCCTCTTGCCTGAGCGCGCTGTTGTTGCTAGGTGTCTTCGTTGTTTTCGCTTCGGAAACGACATTACGTTCTTTGCCTTTCTGCTCGGATGGGCGTCAGATGTTTTCAGTTCTTTGCAGTCCCAGGGGTTCTTGTATTCCGTGGGCGGTTTTTACACTTCTTGCCGCAGAATCGCTAAATGCTGTGTTCTTCTGTTGAAAACGTCTAGCTTTTCTATGTCGTGCAAGGATCGCGTCCGTTTGTTGCATCGCAAGATGGTTTTGCAGACCCCTGCTGCCGTCCGAGGGCAATGTCTGCACATTTTCCCGTTGGATTGTTAGATGATAGTGTTGCCTCTGCTGCTGTTGCTGGGTATCTTGCTTGTTTTGGCGTAGGATCCCACGTTCGATTTTTTAAATTTCTGCTCGAATCCACGTCAGACTTTTTTACTCCTACGGCAGTTTTCCACGTCCTTTCGCAGCATCGCAGATTGATTTTGCCTAACCCTGCTGCCGTCGTTAGGTTTCGCTCAGGAAACGACGTCAGGTTCTTTGCCTTCCTGCTCGGATGGGCGTCAGATTTTTTTAGTTCCTTGCAGTCGGCGTAGGATCCAACGTTCGATTTTTGAATTTATGCTCAAATCAGTGTCAGATTTTTTTAGTTCCTTGCAATTCGACGGCAGTTCTTACACGTCCTTTCGCAGCATCGCACAATCATTTTGCCAAACCCTGCTGCCATCTGAGGGCGGTGTTTGCACGTCTTCCCACGAGATCGTTAGATGATGGTGTTGCCCCTGCTGCCGTCGCTGGGTATCTTGCTTGTTTTGGCGTAGGATCCAACGTTCGATTTTGAAATTGCTGCTCCAATCAGCGTCAGATTTTTTTAGTTCCTTGCAGTTCCAGGGCAGTGTTTACACGTCCTTTCGCAGCATCGCAGATTGATTTTGCCTAGCCCTGCTGCCGTTCGGTGCGCCAAGCCAGGCTTTCTGCAAGCCGCGTTCAGCCCAGACTCATCAAAGTACAAGTTCTGCTCCAAAGCATGCGTGGCTCCCCTAGCTGCTTGCAGGTTTTTTCATTTTCTCTACCGTCTGCAGTGTATCTGCTCAAGGGACTCAAAGGTGTTTTGCTTCAGCCATGGCTTTGCTTCTGCCGCTGGCGGGTGTGCTCGAGACGTCCCTGCATCCCTTCCTGTGCCTTGTCGAACGCCTCACGTTCTTTGCGTGTGGCAGGCACTGCGACTGCCCTCCCGCGCGGGACCGCTGCCGCCGCAAGCGTGCGCATGTGCTGGCAGAGCTTCGTCCTTTGCTTCGCGGCGGCTTGGCCGTTCCTTTGTTTCGGAAGCCAGCCCGCGGCCTGTTAACAATCACCCTGCCTCGGTTGATGCGCGCTGCCTCGTGGAGAACGCCCGCCGCCCGCCTCGTGGAGAACGCCTGCCAGGCGCGACTCGGCCGCTGGTCTCGCCAAGTTCCTCCTAACGGGCCCTGGCTGCATCGGCTTCCCCGCCACTTGGCTTCGCAGCCGCGTGCGCGGCGAGCCTTGGCTTTCCTCCACAGCGCCCTTGTCGCTGCCTGGCACTTTCCCACGGTCTGGGCCGCCGACGCAGTGCCGCGTAGCTTCTACATCCTTGCAATCTCCTATGACTCTTTGCCGGCGGTGCTCGTCTTCTAGGCAGTCCAGGCAACCGCGGACGAGGCAGCGATAGGTTCAGTTGATGCTGGCAGTTCGTCATGTGCTCTGGGCCGACGCAGTCGTTGTGCTTCTTGTCCCCTCAGCCAGGACGATGCAGCAATTGAGGACCCCGCGCTTGTCCACTGCATGGCCTTGCCGGTGGTGCTCTCGGAACGGGTTCGGCATCTGCTTCTTAACCCGGCGCATCCTTGCTTCTTCGGATGCTCTCGACGTCCTTGGCTTTTCCCTTCTTGAGGCTCCGCCTGAGCCCGGCTTGCTGGCATCCTTCGGCGAGCACGCGGCCTTTGTCGGGCCCTTTCTTTCATTGGTGTCGCGAGGGGTGTTTAGCAAATGGGGTTTTAGCCGATGAGTGCTTTTTGGGTGGTTGGATTGGCATAGGTAAATGTTGTGTCAGCATTGTCTGATCCTTTGAGTGGTGAACTGGTTCTTGGTTGCAGTTTGTCAGGTCTATCGCACTCAGGTTTGAAATCGCCATTGTTTCCCATCGTTGTTCGCTTTGGCATGCCTGCTATTTCTGTAGGCCAAATTGGAGCAGAGGCATGTGTTGCCGGCAAAGGCCTTCTAGGTCAGAATGGGGTGTATCGCTGCAGAGGCGAGCCATGCAAGCTAGTGAATCATGTCGGCACGTGCGGTGCAGGCATTTTTGGCCCTCGAACTTAGCAAAGGCCCTGTCGATTTCCAGACGACCATGCCTCCCAAGCAGTCGCCGACCGAGCAGTTGTCCCGTGCCTCGCAGTTCCGCCAAAAGGCTGCCCAGCTAGAGACACAAGCAAGGGTTGCTCAGATCTGCAAGCTGATTTCTGGCAAGCCGGAATATTGTGCAGTATGCGAGTCTGCACTGGAGCAAGCTGGCTGCGATTTGACAGCAGAGTATTCGTCGGACAGGAAGGCCAAAAAAACACTTCCGTCGTCAGAAACCGCTGAGCAGCTTCCGCGGTGTGAGACCACACTGGGGGCACTCAAGCAGTCGGTGATTCTCGATCTTGTCATCGCACTCGAGCCGGTGTGGACCAAGCACAGTTTGGCAGCCTGCAAGCCGACTCCGAAGAAACAGATCCCAAAGTCCACCTTGCTTGAGATTCTGGAGTTTGCGTGCGGGGTTACTGCGGACAGCTATTTGGGAGCCGAAGGGGTTCTCAAGACCATGCAGGGCTTGACGACGGCTCTGGTGGCCTTGAACGACAATCGCGGACATCGCGGTCTGGCTTTGAGGTTGCCGCCTGAGTGGTCGCAATGCGGCGTCTACAGCCTTCAAGTGCAGAGCTCCACCGTGAAGATCATCCACAAGTTCTTGGACCCGAAGTGTGCCGCGAAGGTTGTCTCCAACGAGGTTTGCAGCCGGGTTCAGGATTTCAACAAGCTCACTTTCGTCAACAACCACAGCGAGGTGCATGCCATGTTGGTTGAAGAAGGTGGCTACGTGAGATTTCGCGTGTCTCAGCTCTTCAAAGACCACATTGAGGAGCAGGACCCGCTCGCGACCCACAACGTGAAGAACACTGTGGTTGATGTCGATGCTGAGGGCAAGACGGTGAGAGCTGGCAAGCCCTGCCAGGTGAAGTTAGAGCATGCAACGACACCTCCTCGGCCATTCAACTTCCACCGCCTCTCATCCTTTGGGGCGTTGTCAGACACGAGCGGATCAGCGCCTGAATCCGGTGAGAAGCCGCCTGCCAAGCGCAGACGGGGAGAGCCACAGCAGAGCATCAAGGGAGAGGAGGACGACGACGAGCAGAAGTCGCCCCTCGGCGTGGTCAGATGCTTGGGCGAGGAGTTCCAGAATGCAGAGCATCACGATGGCAATGAGGGCACCGCTTCGCCTGTTGTGCCGCAGAGCGACTTGGACCTAGCGGTGCCGCCTCCTTCTCCTGAAGCTTGAACCGCAGTGGCTAAGCCTGTACATTATTTCGGGGGTTCCCGCGTTGCTGGCTTCACTCGTTCATAAACTCCTAGTGATTCTGGCTATCTTTTTGGTTTGTTGCAGGAGACCAGCTGTAAGAAACGAATGGTTATGTTGTTCAATAGCTTCTCAACTGTAAATGAAGCCATAAACGCAGAACAAGCTGGGGTAGGGGACCATCTGCACTGGACGTGCTGCTTGCTCCTTGCGGAGTGGTCAGCACCAGTGAGATGTCACAGCAAACGTGTCCATCAGGCTCGCGTTTCGTCTCGCTCACAGGGCGTGCGCCGAAGTGTGTCACCACCACTCGTGCAGCAGTGTCTTTGCAAACATTGTTTTCGTTTTTCCGTGTGTTTCGGGTTTCAGCATGTTTTTCCAGGAAATTTTGTGCATGCGTAAGATCATTTGCAACAGAGGGGTTGCAGGGTTGAAATTAAGAGGCCCAGGGTACTGCAGGGAGCATTTGAAGCTTCAGGGTCGCGGGGTTTGTTGTGAGGCGAGAGGCTTTTCTTGTGTTGGCATAGTCAGGGAATTGGGAGATAACACGTGCGATAGGGCTTGGGATTGTTTGTTCGAGTGAAAACGGAAGCAGTTTATATGGTATATGTGCATTCAACAGTGTCTCCCAGCACCCGTAATTTAAAGGCCCACTCCTAGTTCCAGTCCTTTCGGTATGTAACAGCGAAGCTTCAGATGTTGCAGGCCCCAAAGGTCCGGTTGTCGAGGTGTGCAACAAGCTGAGCACGTCGGCCATCGTGAACTTCCGTGCAACAGAGTTGGTAGGGCGTCGCTTAGAGCTCAAGTTTTTGCAGTCGTCATGTTGGTTTTGCTAGAGCAGTTCGTCAACATGTAGCCAGATTGGAACAAGGATGCAGCCGCACGGTGGTGAAGATCAGCACGAAGCCCAAAACGCGACACCGGCAGCTGACACATTGAATCCAGAACTATCTGCTTAGAGAGTTTGGTCATGAAGCGTATCTATGCCTCTGCACACCGTAGTTGTTCATGTAAACACGGCCGAAAACATGTGGTACCGCTCACATGGAGAGCCATTTCCCTGTGGTGATCACTTGCGCACGTCTGCAAGACGGCAAAGAAATTCCGTGCACGCTTAAAGCATGGTGTTACAATCGTGCTGAGCGAGTCGTGGTTTGGGAGCTGCGACGCCTTGTGGACGCTTGCGGCAAAGGCAACAGCAAGGTGCCTTTGCACAAGCTTGTGAACAGTTGGGGCGAGGCCCAGAGTGAATGGAAAGCTGTTTCTGAAGCTTTGGGTCTAGAGGAGAGATTGCTCATTCCGAGCAAAAGAGCACTGGAATCAAAGGCTAGTGACTGGTGTGGCGGCACGGATGCAGATCTCGTGCGAGAGGAGTACTCCATCAAGACATTGCAGATGCTTTTCCTGTTGTTGCATTGGGTCACCTGCTCCAGAGCAGGTGATGTGAAGGACTCCTGCGCGTTTTTGCTCAGGCGGTTCCTCGGGGTGGTGCTTCCAACAGCTTCCGTACGGCAACTGCTGGAGCCACTAGCGGACAGCGGCAACCAGCAGTTGTGTCTGCAGAGAGATGGGCTGAAACCTTGTGCACACGTGCAGCAGTGCTTGTCGCATTTGGACTCTGGCGTGGCTGCAGACGAAGCGTGGCGAGTTTTTCTACGAGTCTGGACGTCTTGCTACACATTCTCTGAAGATTGCCCGGCTCTGAAGCGATCTGTGCCGGTCATGTTGCAATCCGCAGCTACCAAAGTCAACGAAACAGTGCCTGCAGTTGGAAGCCTGGACGTTTTGGAAGCTCAGAACAACGATCCCTCAAAGCACAAGCGCGGACGTGTCGATGAGGACGTCCGCAAGGAAGCTCAGAAGCGTGCAGCAGAAGACAACTTGACGACGGGTGTCTTTGCGAAGACCCACAAAATTGCTCACGACTCCGTGGCATGGAAGTGGGACCAGGGCGATGGTGGCAAATACCTGAAGCAGTGTCATGCACAGTTTCAACACATTGCGAGCACTGGGGCATGTCTGACTCTCACTGCAGATGCCAAGCGTCTGGGAAATCCGGCACAAGACTTGGTAGCTGGCATTGTCACGAGCTCCATGGATGCAGTGGCAGCATGGCTCCCACTCCAGGCTTGCGGGCAAGTCTTTGTGTGGCTAGGGTAGCAAGTTTGTTGGGTTGGAATGCCGGTGCTGGTTGCTAGTCTCTATAGAGTCTTAGACAATCATAACCGAGTTTAAGATTTCATGTCCCGGTATAAGACACGATTTTCTCTTCTGCGTTTGACTATGTGGTCTGTATATAGACTGCTCGTCGGGTCTAAGACATGTGTTTCTGGTCTAAGACATAGTTTGCCCAGTATAAGTTTCTATGTTTGGTTTTTCTACTTTATGTTTGTTTCTAGTGGCCTATACTGCATTCGGGAGGGAGTGTTGCTGGGCTCGCGTGCAGGTGCTGCCAGACTTTTCGTCCAAACCTCTGTCCAGCAGCGTGGAAAGTTCCGAGGAGAAGGAGCTCTACGCTCGCAAGCTCGAACAATGGCTTGCAGTGGCCTGGCAGGAGCACTCCCAACAACAGAAAGTTCCAGACGACAAAGCTGTGCGGCGTCCGAACCAACACTGGTTGCTGGCCCTTGAGCACGGCCTGCAGGCAGGGACCGGCTTGTCTTTCAAGGACTTTCTGCCTCTCAGACGCCCCAGAAGCTTGAAAGAGCACGAACGAAGGTATCGTGCCAAAGTCACAGTGGACGGGCAGGTCGTCGAAAGATGTGCCATCTACAACGAGCAGACCAAGAAGACCGAGCTGGAGTTTCCAGTTGATAGGACCGCAGATGGCAAGCCGCTGTACAAGCCTTCGCTGGTCATTTGCATTGACCAGGGGTCGGTGGGATGGCCAGCCGTGCAGTTTCTTTTTCAGCACTGCTGATTAATGGGCTTCTATGCGCACGATCCGTGGCACCGCTGCTGGAATGATTTGCGTGCAAGCATGCTGCAGGCCAATTTTTGGCCTGTTGTTCGCGAGATGACGGTTTGCATGAATGTTCGCAGTGGTCCTTTCGAAAAGGCTGCCTTTTTCGGCCAGATGCAGGAAAGCATGGCAGAGCTGCAGAAGTTCAGCGACTTCAACAATCCTTTTTACCTCCATTGTTACCCAGGGATTTGCTTGGAGCGTGGCCTGAGTGGTGATTTGGAGGTCGGCACAGCAGAACACATGGAGAAGCTTTTTGCAGCGTTGTGCCGCGATGGGTCTGTAGAGAGAAAGGGCGAAGCAGTCAAGTGGGCACGGTGGGGGAGCTTTTGGGATGCAGGCATGGATTTCCGAGAAAACTGGCACTGCCGGTTGATGACGCTTCTGCACTTCGGCTGGCGAGCAGGCTGGTGGTCCAGTGTGAAGGACAGCCCATTGCTGGAAGCTAATCCTGAGGATCTGGCCCTTGCTGGTTTGGTGACACGTGATGGCGAAGCGTCCGGAGAGAACGCCGGTGGCTCAAGCAGCAAGTCTGTCAAACACTCGAACGAGCAGATACAGCATCTCAGGACGAAGTGTCGAAACAGTCTAGAGCTTGCGACCATCATCATGGCCAACAAGACCACAGAGCGCATGTTCAACATGGTGCTGGAGGTTGGCAATCCTGTGAGAAAGTGGTTGGGGCAATCCATGGCAAGAATGCAGACAGGGCCGGAAGGGCCCTTCACCGAGACTCTGGCGTACTCGTGCAATGAGCCTCAGCAAGTTCTTTCAGAAGTCTGGCACACGCTCCGTGACAGGGATTCCTTGCGCCGCTGCGGTTTCGAGCCTGAGGATGATGACGATGCAGCTGCCAGAATGCTGGACGAAGAGGACGAGCTAGCTGCTCGTATGGTGATGCTTGCTCAAGAAGTCGCCGGACAGCCGGCGTACAGCATGGCCGAGTACACAGATTCGTTGCCTTTTCTTTTCTTGCCGCTCCTGCATGCAGATGCAGCGCAGGCGCAGCAGGCCCTCGAAAGGTTGAAAGGCCTTTGGGAGCGGTTGATGCGTGTTGAGAAACTGGCAGTCGCTGACACTTGGTTTGTTTCCTTGAAAAAGAGCTTGACATGGGCTGCGTTGCCAACCGTCAGGGCAGTTTTCATTGCTTTAGAGGAACATCGATGGACAGTGCCTGAGTTTTTGCGGAGGCATTTGCAAGGACTTTTCTCTGGCTTGCTTCACACGAAGACTGTGGAAGAGTGCTTCAATGAGTTGACTGATGATTGTCGAAAGGTCAAGTCTGCGAAAGTAGAGAAGCTTCACATGTGGCAAACTCTTGTCAGAGGGGAGTTGTTGCGTGACCTTGGCTACCTTTCTCCTCCCTCAAGTCCCGCAATCGAACAGGATGCACCGCGGAAGCTCCCTCCGACGTTGTTCAAAGGGACGGATGCAGCAAAGTTTTCTCTTGGAGGCAAAGGCGGGCTGCAGGAGATGGCCTGCGAGGACGATTGGGCGTCGTTGAACCCCAATGCGCACACCCTTGCTGCATGGCTCACAAAAGCCATGGAGTCTCTCGCAGATCCAGCGGACTTGAAATCCTGCTGGGTGTCGTTGCTCGCGCAACCTGGCACTGTCTTGTGGCCGACATCATCTCCTGCTGATGGCATCTTCGTTCTGAAAGCCACATCTTGGGGTGTAATTGGCTGGAAAGTCACTGGCGAAAGAGCAGGTGGTCAGGCGAATTTCAATTTTTTCTCCTTGAAGCTTGACGGCCAAAACAATCTGAAGCACGTTCTGGTCACTAAGCCCAACGGATGGATATCAGCCAAAGTCGATGTTCGCTCGCCCCTGCGTGTGAGAAGCATGAAGATGTCACCTCCTGCTCCCAGGGGAATTCTTCTGCAGCTGGGCACCACGGAGACACTCCTTCAAAGTGCAAGTAAGTCCGGTTTCAAAGGCCTTACAGTTTACCATTTAGGCAAGCTGTATACAAGACTGGGTGTGCAGTCGGAGGGGAGGAAGCCTACTCTCCTTGCAGAGTTGCTCATGGCGCTGATGAAGCATGTTTGGCCTCATGCCTCCGAAGCGGATCTCCGAGCTTACTGTGCGCAGCGAGACAAGGCCAGCATCCGTGACTTGAACAGCATCATCACCAGTAGCGAACACAATCTGGATCTCGCGGCAGAGTTCATGGATGACGACGACGCCGAAAAGTGCAAGGAGGATAAGAAGCAGCAGAGGCAGCGCAAAGCTTCAACGAAGCGGCCCGATGCAGATGCCTCAACTTCGCCACCTGTGCCACCAACACCGAAGCATGCATCTGCCAAAAGTGGTGCTAGCAAGCCGAGCTCCGTACGGAAAGTGCAACTCGCAATCGACTGGCAAGCTTTTGAAGCAGCAGATGTTCGGAAGTGGGCTCCTGATCTTTCCAAGATTACGGTGGGCAGGGAGCTCAAACTTGCGAAAAGATGGAAGGTGAGCTATCCTCGGCTGTCGGAGGGGCCAAGATTCTTTTCTATGGTCTATCACGACCAGCAATCGGAACAGACATCCGTCAGGCAATGTCTGTTGTGGCTTTGGGACTTGCATGAGCAAGAGACCGGCAACGCATGTCCGTATGAGCTTTGAAGCAAGAAAGGGTGCAGTCTCTTTCGCCTTTTTCCTGCTAGATTGCTGGCCAAGGCCGGTCCTCCTGTTTATGTGCCTGCAGTACCCCCCCAACCGAATCTTGTAGCTGTAGCTACAAACTGAACACCGCAAAGCCGTTCTCATCATATTCGTAATCCTATGTAAGCGATCACTTGTTAGAGCACTGCTCTTTATGAACACTGTTCTCTTGACAGTTCATTCTCGAATAGACCCCGCAACCCTTGTACCTCTAACATAAGATCTTTGACCAAAGCTTCCATTCTCTTAAGCTTTTGCAAGAGAAGCCCTTTGCGTGCTGGAGCTGCTTGGAAGGTTTTACAGTTGGGTTAGACGAACAGGCCACCTTAAAACCCCTAGACCCTGACAAATCGCAATTCCTTGTTGTTGCAGTCATTTTCAACAATCTTGACATGCGCTGCAGTCTTCCGTAACTAAAGATAGTGTAGTCGCCTGAAGCCCTGAACTAGCGCATGCAACACTGAAAACTGTAGGGCTAAACCCCCATCTGCTAAAGACCCAATTGGCCACCAATCATTCTTGTCACGGACGACTGAGGCCGCTCGGTGATCATCGCGGAGCGACAACACACGTGCTTGCTTGCTGGACTGCCTGGACACTGTGTGTGCATCACTCCTCGCTCCGCCTCCTGCCTCTGGCTCCAGCTTTGTGTCTTCTCCAGACTATAGTCTGCACTCCTCCTCCTCAACATTTGCGCACTGTCGCAGTTTGATCATGGTGCTCGGCTAACGAGAAGTTATTCCAATGACTGCTGCTCTTGTTGGCTGGCAGGATCGCTGCCAGTACTGCCCTCTGTGATTGTTTTGTTCCTTCGCTGCCAGGAGTTGCTGCCCGGCGCACTGAACGTGGATTGGAGTGCGATCTTCGAGATCGCCTCGTGCAACTTGGCATCGCCTCCGCTTCGATCTGGGCTGTCACAGCAGGGGGAGCTTCATGTTCCGCAGCCGACTTCGGTGAATCAGTGCCCTAATAGGAGCTCCTAATGGGGGCCTCACAGCCCTCCTAAGCCCCAAAAACCTAACCTGAACCCTATAGAAACCCGACCTTCTTGAGTGTTACTTCTTCTGGTTTCCTTATGTAAGTCCTTATAAAGGTGGGTTCTTGGAGTCGAATTAAACCCTAAACCCTTAAACCCTAACCCCAAGTATCCTGTCTTTTCAAGACTGACAAAAGGAAATCATAAGAAGGCGCCCTGAAAAGGTTGGTTTATAGGATGCAGGTAAGCCCTAAGACCTAAACACCGGAGCCACAAGCCCGAAACCCCCAAACCGCAAAATCCAAAAACCCTGAGCCCTAAAACACTAAACACCTAAGCCTTGAAACTTAACCCCTACACTGAACCCTGGACCCCAAAGCCCAAACCCTAAACCCCGAAGACAAAAAGATAGAAACCGAAACCTTAAGACTCTACACACCCAAGCCCTGAATCCCGAAACCGCCCAAACTTTCAAACCCTAAGCCCCGAAACCCAGAGGTGACCTAAACCTCAAAACCTCAACCTTAAAAGCTATATTTAAATACCTAAACCCTATCAACCCTAAGCCCGAAACTCTATACACCTAAAACTCCTGATCACTAGGTATGCCTTACTTACAAAATATTCCTTAGTCCTTAGTTCCCTTGTAGAACCCTGATAGATCCCTTTAAAGAACCCTTTGGTGTATATTCCTTAATAAAGGGATGTTGGAGTGCAGGCTGAACCCTAAACCTTTTAAGCTCTAAGCCCTAAACTTTAAACAGATAAACCCTATATACCCTGAACCCCTAAACCCCCAAACCCTAAACCCTATAGTACCCTTGTAGAGCCCTTGCGAGGAGCCCTTTAAGGAACCCGAAGCCACACCGCTCATAGATCCCTTATAGATCCCTTTCAAGGAAGCCTTTAAGAAACCTTTCACCAAAGGTCGCCTAAACCCCTAACCCCAGGGCTCCATGTACCTATAGGCCTTGAAGTACCTATATAGGGACCCTTGTAAGGCCTAAGTACCTACTACTTTATGGGCACATGGAGCTTTTGGGTAAACCCCCTAAGCCAGCGCAGGCGGAGGCGCACCGCTTCCCAGCACCCTCGTCGGAACGCCAGGTTTCCAGGGAGAGCCCTGGGCCCAAGCGACCGCGGGAGGGAGGGGGGTTTAGGGAGTTATGGGGGTTTAGGGTTTAGCGTTCAGGGTTTAGGGAGGAAGGGGGGGTTTAGGGATTTATGGGGGTTCAGGGGTTAGGGCTGTAGGAGTTTAGGGGGTTTAGGGGGTTTTAGGGGCGTAGGGGTTTAGGGTTTCGAGTCGGAGCTTGATATGGCCATTGTATGACCATGATACGTTTTACATGCTCTTTGGGGTGTTGTATCAAGGTGGTTTACATTTTTAGAGGGTTTTTAGAGTTGGGGTTCAGAGCTCAGGGTCCCACCCGTGAGATGGAAACGTTGTTGCTACATGGGAGTTTCCGAAAATTAGGGTACCTTATCTTGGGGGTCATTATAACAGGCATCCTACTATTTAGGCTACTATATCAGGATCCCCTACTTTCGGAAACTCCCACATTGGTAGGCCTAGCTGCTTCATGCTTGAGGGTGATGCAACGTGAAGTTGCGCCGACGCCGCCACGAAACCAAACTCAAGCCTCTTGTGCTGGCTCATGTCTTTCAACCCTTGGCAGCCTTGGCACCCGAAGTCTGCATAACCTGTTCAAGTCTGCCAGGGTTGTCCAGATCAAAGGCTTGATGGACTCAGTTGTGTACTCATCGGGCTACCTTGAGACGCTGCAGCCTCAAATGCGCGGTTTTCCAGACCCCTAACTTCTGACGATGCAGCTTCCAGAGAATGTGGCACAGTGTCTAAGCCGTAGGTTGGCCCAGCTATAGAGGCCCCGAGACTTTCCTTGTAATCGTTTGTAGGATTTATAGATATACTGTCTATTTACCCCAAGGGTCGATTATTGGGTGCTTGGACCCTTGGGGTCATGTACTCAAACCCTCAAACCCTACCTTAACCCCAAAAAACCTACCTTTGCCAAGGACCTAAAAATTGCAGGTTTATGGGCTTAGAGGATTTGGGTTTCACGGGTCGACAGCCCTCTTTCTCGCGCATGCGACGCTGTTTTCGCTGCTTCCTCGTCCTGGCGCTGGCTCTTCGCTGGGCACCTCGCCTTAAGCTTATGTAGTCAACGGGGGAACTTTGAACTTTTGGCCTTATATACTAGCTGTTACTAGCTCTATCTTAGAAAGCCTGAACTTTTTGGGGCCCGGTTGTTGAAGAAGAAAGTAAGGGTACATAGAGGGTCATTTAGGGTACCTGGCTTTACGGTTAGGATCTGCCAATATAGAAAAGTAGGTCACCCCGCAAGACGGAAAATTAGGGTATGACCATATAGATAGTGTAGTGCCCTGATAATTACAACAACTATTCCTGCAGGGCGCTCCACTTTTTCGAAGACTCTACTACGAAACCCTGCCCAAAAAGTTAGGGCCCCTATGCATTACGCATCCTTAAACGGTGTTTTTGAAATTCTTCTTCGGGGTGCTGCTGTGGGGCTTAGGGTTTAGGGTTCCAGTAAAAGGTCCTCGGAGGCTATGATCTCAGTACGGTTCAGAGCGGTGCCTATGTAGCAACTAGCAGGCGAAACAAAGCACATGTGTGTGTGTGTGTATAGATATCTATACATAGAGGGAGAGAGAGATCCATGGATAGATAGATAGATAGGTACATAGATACATAGACAGATGGATAGACAGGTAGATATACCCACACACGCTGTACCCTAAGGCTTAGGAGCCCCAAGCCCTAGGTATTGTAATCTTGCTATAGTATACCCCCAAGCCCTAGTCTAAGCACCGAGATTGATTATCGGTTTAGGGTGTATCATAAGGACCCTTAGGGGGGTAGGGGGAGCGGGGGGAGGGGGCCTTCATACCTACAACAAGGACTTCATAAGAAGCATAGTCTCCTACCCCCATTCCCCTACCCCCCAAGGGTCCCTATGAGTGTAGGGTTTAACAGGAACAAGCGAGTTGCCACTTACTCTCGGAGTCAGAACTGAACTTGATGCAGCAGCCCGCAACAAGGCATCACACCAAGGCCCTCGCAGGGTCAGTGGCCCGCAGGGGTGCTGTGGAGGGTTCTAATATAGGGGCAAGCATAATTAGAACAGGGTTTTGGGGTATATTCTACTATATATACCCCCAACATTATAGGCAATTCTTACGGCCTGTACATTGCAGAATTTCGGGCATTAGTCTGGGCTTGAGTCCTTTAGATACACATTGCTTAGAGTGACAGTCCTTCGCATCGTCCCTTCAGTCGGAAGCCAAACCGTGTAGAACCCTTGTAGATGCCCCCCTATAGAAAACGGAAACTTCAATAGAGAAGATGCCGAGAACCCCAGTTCATAGCCCCATAGTATCCAAGACCTGTTGCCCAGGGGACATACGGAGTGGTACAGCATGGAACCTCGTCGAAAATGTAGGGTTTTCCGGTTGCAGGAAGTTTGCAGAACTCGATGTAGCTGACTCAAGATTTCACACCTGAAGCCTCGATAGGCCAACGTGGCTCCCTGCATGGCGCAGCCGCGGCTTCTGTGCCTCCACGGAAAAGGCTCCATGCCCTTCTGCGGATTTTGCATTTTGGGGGGGTTCGAGTTTCGGGATAGGGCGCAGGCTACACATCCATTGTTTTATTTTTGTTGGGTTTCCATTTCTGCTCTTTCAACTGATTTTTTTGCAGGTTTTGAAGTTCCAAACCCTTCCACCCCAGAGCGTCCATAGACCACCACCCCGGCAATTATGCAACAATGCCAATTGTTGTCCTGGCATGGCCCGCTATCATGCTGTTGTACTTGCTGACGTACTGTCCTTGCATTTGTGACTGGTCTGATGCTTTCCTGCGCGACCCTCAGCGAGGACTACATTCTCCAATCCTTACACACACATGTGTATATATATATATATGTATGTATGTATGTATGTATACACACATACACGCAGATGTAAACACCCATTGAAAGGCTACAGAGCCACATTTCAAAAATGCAAAGCGGGGTTGCCGTAGCGATTGGTGTCACCTGCTTTGAGGAAACTGAACGTTGTATGATCATTAAGCCTTGCATACGGCACCCACTCTGTAATAGTTAGATGATGTCTAGCAAGAGTCATAAAATTGGGTGTCGTGTGTGTATGTTCATGTATGTATGTATGTATGTATGTAAGCCGGATCCGTAATCTGAGTTCAGGCATATTCTCCAATTTGATTACTTGGAGGCTCATGGGACTTAGTATAACTAGGGCTATAAGTCATAAGTAAGGTAACTATACTTATAACCCCAATTCTATAAGGACGTACTAAGTCCCATGATCGTCCAAGTAAGGGATGTTGGAAGGTGTAGGTCCCATATGGTTCCGGAGGTGACGTGGGTTCCGTTACCGGTCGATATAGGCAGTTGTCAAAATTACGGTCGCTTTTGGGGTACCCTAAACAATAGGTGCCGTATTGTAACAGGGACCCCAAAAAGTACCATAATTTTGACAACCACCCATGTAAGTTGACATAGTGCACCCCACGATTCAAAGCCTTCTTCCACTTATTCCGACACCTATAAAGTTACCCTAAGTAGTGCAAGTGTTGCATTGAAGTTTGGTCTACAGTATCTTTCATCACATTGCATGAAAATTCTTTGCAGGTGAGGACAAAATAGAGCTATGTTGCTTTCAGGTCTGAGGGAGTTGCTTAAAGCCTGAGCTGCACTTAATGCGCATCTAAACTCCAAGTCTGCAGCGCAGTGCACAGCTGCGATACTGCACACACGGTTTAGGGTGTAGGGTTTAGGGTCCAGCTAGTTAAAGCCATTTCGCTGCAGGCGGTAACGGCCCGAACTTCGCCGAGCGCCTGCGTCCACTCGCAGAGCGGGCAGAGCTGGTGCGAGGGGGTGTCATGCAGGTTTTTGTTTATATATTGGGCTTTGGAGTACATATACTTTAATATTTTTTTGGGACCTGTTACCTAAAGGGAACCATCATGAAATAAAAGTCTTTCACTTCAGTGTCCAGTATGGGTATTTGTAGTATTTTGCAAGGGGTACGGTTTTGTCAGGCTGTATGGGATTTTGTCGTGCTCTATGGGGTTTAGCATGGGTCAAGAGTTTGGGCAAGGGTTAAGGTTACTGCAGAGGGGGTTTTAGCATATAGAGCCCAAAGGCTCCATGTGCCCATATAGTAAGTACTTAGGCCTTAAAGGGGTCCCTATATAGGTACTTTAAGGGCTAAGTACCTACTATATGGGTACATGGAGCCTTAGGGGAGGTTATCAAGATGTTGAAACGTTCACGAGTACCGGCGTCTAGGAGGGCTTTACGGACTATGGAGCTTTCAAGGTTTGCTGTTGTTTTTTTTAAGGGGTGTTACCGAAGTTCTTTAAGTTTCTATAGGTCCGTGTGTTTGAGCTTTGTAACAGCACGAGCTTCACTGTCTTGGGATTCGGGTGGCTTGATTTTGATACTCGGAGGATCATGGGACTTAGCAAGTAGGTTATAAGTCCCCCGATTTGGGCTAGAAGTAGTTATAGGTATAGTTACCTTACTTATAACACCAGTTGCTAAGTCCCCTGATCCTTTAAGTACCCCCAAAACCCATATAGAACCCTTAACAGTAAGCCTTATAAATCATAGATCCAGTCCCATGATCCTTTAAGTAGGGTGTGCCCAATACCCCTTATTTAAGGAGTATAGCTTAAATTACAGTATGAACGCTCCGGATTGTTGATGTATATTCCTTCTTTAAGGGGTATTAGGCTCTCTGGGTCGGGAGCTTCGCGGTTGTATTCGTTCTCGATCCATATAGAGGCTTGTAAGGTTCTCGAGCAAAGCCCTAGCCTAAACCTCAGAAAATCCCCATGATGTAAGTGTTCGGGATCGGCTTACGCACGTAGTGGAGTGTCATGATCTGAAGCTGCAGAGAATCTTGTGCCCGAAGGGTCCAGGTACCAATATAGTCGGTACCTTGTGGATATTTGGGGCCCCAATGTATATACTATAGTATATACTATAGCATATATAGTAACTCAGTATGAATGTCTTTGCCGCTCTGGGGTGTAGTTAGTTGGGGCTTGGGGTTCGGCGGCAGGGCCGCACGCGCGGATGCGAGCCAAGAATCGCCCAACGAGTCCTTACATCCCCGTATACCCTGTTTAGGGTTTGGGGTTTAGGGTTTAGGGTTCCCGGTATCCGAACCCCAAGAGTACGTGGAATAGTCGCCTTTTTTTAATGACGTTTACCTACTTTGAAAGGGGTTTAGGTAAACACTGCCTAGTTTCGCCCTGTGACTTGATGGACTGCTCTTTCGCAGTGGGCTTAGGGCTTCGCGATCCGTCAATTGCGTGTGTCTTCCATCGCACACTATAAGCTTCGCAGTGCACCTCGTGATTCTTTCTAGAGGGAGCTGGATGCTTTCAATGTTTAGTAGTACTTTCGCTTGTTTTAGGTTGACTTGCTGAAGGAGCCACAGCGGCGTTCGGTTAGATGCAACCTTGGATGTGATAGGCGATGTGACTCAAGCACCACACCCTAAGGGTCCATGTGCCCAAATAGTATATACTTTGGGCCCAATGTACCCATATAGGGAGTACTTTAAGGCCAAAGTATATACTATTTGGGCACATGGACCCTTAGGGACAGAGCTACAGCCCATGCTTCCTTGTAGCTTCCCATGCTTTCGGGTTTGGGTTCAGGGTTTTCCTGGAAGCTCCAGCTACCTAGAGGCTCATAGTAGTTCCTTTTTTGGGGTTCATATTAATTGGAATCCTAGAAGGCAGTCCCATAAATTAACTATGGAGCCTATGGCTACAAGCAACGGATAGTTCCGCACGTCGAGGGCCCGCAACAGACGCAGAGTGGGCAGGGTTGAGCGTTTAGTTTTCAGTGTGTACCTCCACCCTGGAACGTACAGTAGAGTCTTATTCAGATAACCTGTTTCCCGGCTAGGGTCCCATTATCAGAAACGTATAGGGTTACCGAAAAAGGTATTGAATTGTACCGTCAAGGTAGGATTCTAGGGTCCGCATGCAGCCCTCTACTCGCGAGGTGTGCGTGGATGCTCCTCACAGTTTGCCACCTGGTTTTGTTGCACGGCAGCAATTTCGCAGGGGTACTTGACCCTGGATATATACATTATATATATATATATATATATATATATTTACAGATCTACATACAAACTAAGTTGACAACCAAACGTAGCAGGGTTTTGGACGCCTTACCAGTAGGGACAAGGCGCTTCAACTCTACTTGTATGGGAAGGCGGATGCTCCATTGAGTGAGCACGTTTAAGTTTCAGTGGAAATATCGGAAAACCCCTGAGCTTTCTCCACGAATTGAGTTGCTAGGCATGGTGGCATCTGCCTCCCGGCGAGCGTTCCTTCACGACCTCCAGCTTCGTAGCTTTGGCAGAACGGTTTAGGGATTTGGGCTTTGAGGTTGAGGATTAGCCTGAGCCACAGCAGATGCTGCACATTCCTTGTCTCGGTTACCAGAAAGGGTCCATGTGCTCAAACAGTATATACTTTGGCCTTAAAGTACTCCCTATATAGGTAAATTGGGCCCAAAGTATATACTATTTGGGTACATGGACCCTCAGGGTTAGTTAGGTCTAAACCCTGGCGGCCCTGCCCGAGTTCATGAAGCAGGAACACTGTTTTCGGCACACCAAGCCCCTGAATTATCCTGTCTGAAGAGTCTAGGGGTTCTTACACGGCTGGAGATCAAAATATCATATGAGTATATATATATATATGTATATATATATATATTATATTATATTTATATTTATATACATATCGATCGAAACCCTTGCCTTTTCAGCCTACAGGAGCTTCCGAGCAGTGAAGGGTTCAGTTTTCCGGTCCCAGTTTATGATCTGGGACCGCCCAACGGCCCTTTAACAGAGCCCGTATGACCCTTCAGAGTGCGTATTTGGGGTATGTTAGAGGCTAGTTGGGAGGTCTAGGTGGGACCCCACATCTTCGGGTTTCATGGATGGAAATGGGGTTTCCGATAATTAGGATACCTTATTTTGGGGTCGTTTTAATAAGGATCCTACTATTTAAGGTATTATATTAGGGTCCCCTAGTTTCGGAAACTCCCAAATCATAAGCGATACAGAGTCGTTCGGATCCCCAAGACTGAGGAGTTTGGGTTCCAGTATAACCTCGGTCGAAGAACCTACTCCCCCAGTTGCAAACTGTACAGGTACCCATAGGCTCCATGGTAGGTCCTTTTTGGGATTACCTTATAGGGTTTTAAATCTGAAATCCCAAAAAGGAACCACTATGGAGCCTCTAGGTAGTTACATAAACAAACGTGCCTTTCTTGGTCCCCAAGGCAGCATCGCAGCCACATAAAGAGGACCATAAACGGGATCCGAATTTAGAGAAGTAGCCGTATAGACAGGAAGGCTCACCGACCTCGAAAGCTCGACACGGCATCTTCTTGCATCATCATCCAAAATCCTGAAAGTTCCAAGTCCTAAACCTTACTCAACCCACACTTTGGAGTTGGAGTGTAATCCCCACACCGAGCCTCAATAACTGGGGGTACTACCCCCTCACCACCGAACCCCACTGCTGTAAAACCCCATACAAGTCCGAAAATCCAAAACATAGGTATAGAACCCTCGGCTGGAACCCAGAAACCATTCCACAAAGCCCTAAACTCTTCCCTCCCCCCGGAGACAGTGATCATAAACCCTATACCCCTAAACCCTAAACCTTGGGATATTGGGGAACCGAGCATCTAATCCGCAGGCCCCAAACTCCTGCCCCAGAACCCTCCACCGTGAATCGATAGACCCTAACATAGAGGCCTTAATAATTAAATACCTATGCTGTTTTGGGGGCTCCTTATTATAGCTATAGTATACTGGATCCCAACACTCTAGTCCAATTATAAAGGCCGGTACATTAGACCCACCAACCCGCAATCCGCAAAAGTCCACGCCCGCGCCTCCAAATACAGGAAAACGTGCAGAAACACCGGAAAAGAAGACCAGTGACGCCCTCGTAGAACATGTAAAGGACCCTGCTTACTTTAAGAGTTCGAGCCTGGGTTGAACCTGGGTTCGAACTTTTTTGGAGAGTTGAGTTCAATCCACGTTCGAACAACTCGATCGCGGGCTCTAAGCCTTGTAAGCCCAAAATCATTCTGGGAATCCTTTAAACCAACCTGTACAGATCCCTTGGAACCCCCATACCTAGACCTTCCAAGTACCCTCTAACATGGGCCATTGGGGGGGGTCATGGAAAACCCAAAACCCTGAAACCCTAGACCCTAAGCTGCCTAAACCCCGAAAGCCATAAACTCCCATAGATCCTGCAAAGGGAGTCCTGTAATTTAACATTCCTTAAAAGGAGCCTGAAAGGAACCCCAACAGATCCTTTAAGATCCCGTACAAGGAGCCTTAAAGGAACCCCTATAGATACTTTGAAGGAAGTCCTAGACGTAGCCCTCTGCCACTGAAGGAAGGATGGGATGAGACGGTGAGTTTCATCCGAGATACCTGGACTTCCCAAGGTGGAGGGTTTCGAGTCCAGAGGGTTTGGGGTTTTAGGGTTTGGGCAGGGCAGGGTAGGGTAGGGCTGGGGAAAAAGGTTTTAGAAACCCTGCAATTGTTTGGGCTCCTTAACATGATTTGCTTCTAGGATGCCCAGTAGTACCCTTATTCCCTTTTTGTAGTCCTAGGTTCCTTATAAAGTTACCCAATACCAAAAGGGAGCCTTTTTCTCTCAGGTTACTGAGCAACCTAGGCTTACATGGTAGGGTTTTAAGGGCCAGGGTTCCTAAACCCGAACCCCTGAACCCCTAAACCCTGAACCCCTAGACCCCAACGTAGGGTTTGGGGACATCCTCCGCACTTGATTGGGTTGTCCATGACAGGGAGGAAAGGACCCCAACCCTATAGTTTGGTGTCCTATGAGGGTTCTATAATACGGGGGTGCAGAGGGATTCGGATGATAGCTATGTAGGTCTGATTTTTGGAGAGTATATGATTATCAGGTGCTTGGATCGTTAGGGTAAGGACTGTGGGGTTCGAGGGCTTTCGCGTTCAAGGCATGCAGTGCCCCCTCACCTATTTCAAGCTCTTGAGCATCAGATGACACAGTTCATCGTTGAAGCGGTTTGTGGTTTGAGGTTTCGTGCCTATGGGGGCTTCAGCGGCACGGCAGAGACCGATTGATGTTTTTGGTATTTCGGGCTTGTCCCGAAAACCCGTTTCCAGAAGCAGATCCGAGCCCATGTCGTGTTTCGGATGGTGTAGAATCCTAAGCAGTGGGGTTCATGAAAGGGTATTATATGGGTCGGAACAATTGTCTCAATAATCTCCTCTTTTAGTCCCTCTTACCACTAGCCCGACACCCTCCAAGGGGTTGAGTAGGTAACCCTGAACCTTTTGGGGGTTATATATTCCTACTACAAATCAACAGGTTGACCTTTTTTGGGGCTAGGGTACTCAGCCTCTAAGCCAGACATCCTCAAAGGGTAAAGCCCAAAGCCCTACCTAGAGTAACCAATGTGGCAGTTTCCGAAAATTTTTGGTGTACCTACTTAGGGGTCCGTATGATTAAAAGGATCCTACTATTTAGGGTACTCTGTTAGGGGCCCCTATTTTGGGAAACTCCCATGTACCGAAACTCCCATGTACCTTAAAAAAGCTAATGGCCCTCAAAAGCTGGTCTACTTACCTTCCTTAAGGTACCTTGGTGACTCTAGCCCCAAGAGTCCAAAGGACCCAATAATTAGATACTCGGCTGTTGGATAATAATTATGAAGGTTTGGATTTTGGAGAGTATATGATTATTGGGTGCTTGGACCCTTGGGGTAGGTACACTCTGAAGCGCCCTAGGCATTTAAAGCAGCGCACCCCAAGCGTAATCGAGAAACGTGCCAAGTTTTGTTAAAACTCTAAACCCCTATAGCCCCTAAACCCAAAGCACCCCAAGCCCTAAACCCTAGAACCCTATACACAGACCCCCAAGTACCGAAGCTTGATGAAAGGCCCTTTCGATGGTATCCTTGGCTTCTCACAAGGCAGCAGTTGTTTTGCCACAGGGTCCTTGGGTATTTTTGGTTGGTGTTATCTTGATCTCCGAAAATTGTGTGGCAGTAGAGTTTTTTGAACAGTCTTAGACTTCTCGGTTCAGGGGGGTTGGCGTGTGCAAGCAATTTCGGTTAAGGACTTCTATAAGAGCAACCCGGCCATAGCGCTCAAGCAGGGTATGGGTTTAGAGTTGTTAGGGCCTGGGATCAGGATGTTGGTTGGCAAACCCCTCCGTCCCAAAGTCGATTGAGGGCGATTTAGGGTTTAGGGTGCTAATCATCGGTCGGGTTCTAAGATTGAAGACATGTTTCTTCGTCATATCCCCCGCATGATCCGTGTCTCCTTATATCGCAATGCACCCCCAGACCCAAGGCTTCGGCTGTCTATGGGGGCTTCTGGGTGTTTGAGTGTTCCTGAATTGGGGTCGCCGGATGTCCAGGCTGAGAAGTGGAGCTTAAATTAAACCGGGGATATAGGCTGTACAGGGCCTAAGGCTCAGAGAGAGAGAGAGAGAGGGAGAGAAAGAAAGAGAGAGAGAGAGAGAAAGAAAGAAAGAAAGAAAGAAAGAGAGACAGAAAGAAAGAATGGGACAGAGAGAAAGGGAGGGAGAGAGAGAGAGAGAGAGGGAGTTAGATAGGCAGACAGACGGATGGACGGACAGACAGACAGACAGAGACTGAGAGAGAGATCGGTAGTATATGCCTCCGACCATGGCATACGTGCTTGAAGTTTTATTTGTCGTGGTCGAAGAGTACTTGGCCTTAGACCCCGACCTTCCAAAATCTTTCAATGAAGGAATTTAATTACCTCAGATCATATGAGGGATCCCCTATAATTTAAAGTATATTCCTTAGTTAAGGGATTTGGAAGGTCCGGGGACTGCCTTGACCCCGAAGTTGTATTCTCACGCGAGGTCCAGGTAAAGATATGTGTGCTCCGTGTTCTCTGGAGTTGAACTTTGGGGTGTTGGACCCTGTTCTCTCGATTCAGGCCCCTAGAATATCAACCTTAATTAACCCTGAAACGCTAAACTGATAAGCCTGAAGGAGCCATTCTTGTTGCGGCCCTGGTGGCCTTGCGCTGAGTATACTCAGGGGTGCAGGATTTACGACGTAGTAGAGTTTAGGACTAGGGCTTGCGGGCTTCAGAGTCCATGGAGTTAGGGCTTTGGTCTTGAAGTGTTCAGGGGTTTAGGGCTTCGGGGTGGTCTGGTAGGGTTAAGCATGTCGGGGTTTAGGGCTTTGGGCTTCAAAAGGTAGGTGGGTTGATGTCAAGGATTTAGGGTTTAAGTGAAGGGTTTGGGGTTTCAGGGCACGGGACTATCATTCGCAATGGTCCGAGCGTTCCTGCGGCCTTGAGACGGATGAGCTGTCATTGCAGCTCAAGACCTAGCTGAGTCCTGCTGCGGTCTTGATGATTCTCAATTAAGAAGATCGGCCTGCATGTAAGGATTGCCATGGCAGGTGTCCGAGTAGGGACCCTAAACACAAAGCTCTAAATTCAATTGCAAACCCTAAAGCTTAGAGCTCAGGGTATGAGGATCCTCATCTAGTAATCTAGTACAGCAAGACAAATCGTGCCGAAGGCCCTCGGCGACTTCCGCAAAGGAGGAGCCCTTGCAACAGAGCCGCATTGGATGTCTAAAGGTTTTCGGATCAGGATTTCAGGCTGGTACCTGAACTAGGAGCAATGATTATTCCATAGAGTCATGATTGTATGTTTGTTGAACCCCTCCCCAAATCCCAGTCTATTTGTTTCGGCTCGACCATAAATACCCAGTATGATAAACCCTGAACCCTAAACCTGAAGGGGTCAAGGCCAAGGGTCTCTGTCCACAACGGGTCCTACGCCGAGAACCTAATTATTCGCTCCCGTGGACCCGGAGGGCCTTTGGGCACTACCCATAAGGCCCATAGTAGTTCCTTTTTGGGGTTACCTTGTAGAAATCTAAATATGAACCCCAAAAAAAGAACAACTATGGGGCCGATGGGTACAGCATTATCGTACAGGTACATGGGTCCTTCTGGACTGCTCAGACACCTTCTTGTGACATATGAAGGGCGATGCAAGGGGCTTAGGGTGCGAGCAGCAGAGAAATTCGAACATGCTGTCTTCAGAAGAAGCTTGAATTCGAACCTAGAAACGCGAAGCCTGAAATCAGAAGGCTCCAAAGGTGGGACAAAGGCAGGTGGAGTATTCCCATAAATCAGAGTCCTTATATAAAGGATCCTTTATCCTGCCTACCTCCATCCCTCTTTTCGACACCCCAATGAAACCTTGAAGGCTGCAATCCTAAATCTTCAACTTTTAATCCCTGATGGCGAAGCCTCGAACTCTAAAGCCTCCACAGCCGCTGCAACACCTTGTAGAACCACCCGCACGCTTCACTTAACACCTTAAACACTGTTCCAATCTGCACAAGCCTAAATGGGAGTTTCCGAAAATGGGGGACCCTAATATAGTACCCTAAATAGTAGGATCCCTATCATAAGGACCCCAAAATAAGGTACCCCTAATTTTCGGAAACTCCCAAATCCAGAACTACGAACCTGGCGACCGCCGATTTACAGGAAGCCTACACGCCCTGTAACTAAACGCAGGCGAGAAGGCCAAAAGAACCCTTAGACTGGGTTCTGAGTACCTTAAACTGTTACTTTTTTGCCCGGCTTCTTCGCGGAATCATTATGGCATACACGTTTATACATGTTTCTCCCTGGTTAAAATCTTCGAAACCCAGTATAGAACCGTGGAATTTTAAGGGTTTCGGGTTCAGGGTTTCGGGTTTCAGAATTTACACTTTAGGGTGCGGGTTCCCTAACGGAGGCCTTAGAGTGACCCGAAACTGGAAAGTCGAAACCCAATCCTTCCCTAAGCACTTAGAGGATCGTAGGACTTAGTACGCAAGGTTATAAGTACCTTAATTGGGGTTATAAGTAGTTATAAGTATAGTAACCTTACTTATAACCCTAGTTACTAAGTCCCATGATCCTCTAAGCACTAGGCCTCCTGTCGATGCCTCATCCTCGCTGGGGCAGCGGTGCCCGGGCCGCGCCTTGCCTGAAAGTGTGGGTCTTCTGAGGAAACCCGGGATTTCCTTAGGCCTTACAGTAACTATATAGGGACACCTTTACGGCTTAAGTATCTACTGTAAGGGTACATGGAGCCTTTGGGCCTAGAGGCTCATACCCTACCCCTTTTTTAAACCTTGTATCATTTAGGGTTTACACATCATGTGGGTCCACAGTTTCCCAATGTCTTGCGTAGGTTCCGGCGCCAGATCGCTGATCTTGCTGGCGACTGGACAGCAATGAATGCGAGATGGGCGATCCGTCTTGGGTTTTGTGGGTTGCAGTGTTTTAGTCTGGTGTTCTTGGTTCCAGCGTTGAGGGTTTTGTGGTTTTGGGCTCAGGGCCATTTCAGGGTATGAAGGGGATTTAAGGTTTAACGGTTTAGGGTTCTGGGGTTGTTGGTTTTCAGCAATTTGGCTTTAGGGTGTTGGGTTGTTGGGTATTTGGGGCTGGGTTGGTTTGGTCTTGTGGCCATACACAAGGACAACGACTGGGCATCATCTGCAGACTTTTTCATGACGGCTGAAAAGCCGACTGGCCATGCAACCCACGTGTGCATACATCTTGTGGATTTTTGTGCATGAATATTGTGGGGGGGTCCTCATTATGATTATAGTATGACATACCCCGAAACCATATTCTGATTATTAACGCCCGTGTATCATAGCACCCTTATAAGAACACCTCCAAGAACCTTTCAAGGAACCCTATTCTAATTATTAAGGCCCCTGCTCTAAATCCTTATAGCAAGCCTTATAGTAATCCTTATAGACTCCTTTAAACGGACCCCTTTAAAGGAACCCTATTCTAATTATTAAGGCCCCTGCTCTAAATCCTTATAGCAAGCCTTATAGTAATCCTTATAGACTCCTTTAAAAGGAACCCTTTAAAGGAACCCTTTTCTAATTATCAAGGCCCCTGCTCTAAATCCTTATAGCAAGCCTTATAGTAATCCTTACAGACTCCTTTAAACGGACCCCTTTAAAGGAACCCTATTCTAATTATTAAGGCCCCTGCTCTAAATCCTTATAGCAAGCCTTATAGTAATCCTTATAGACTCCTTTAAAAGGAACCCTTTAAAGGAACCCTTTTCTAATTATCAAGGCCCCTGCTCTAAATCCTTATAGCAAGCCTTATAGTAATCCTTACAGACTCCTTTAAACGGACCCCTTTAAAGGAACCCTATTCTAATTATTAAGGCCCCTGCTCTAAATCCTTATAGCAAGCCTTATAGTAATCCTTATAGACTCCTTTAAAAGGAACCCTTTAAAGGAGCCCTTTTCTAATTATCAAGGCCCCTGCTCTAAATCCTTGTAGCAAGCCTTATAGTAATCCTTATAGACTCCTTTAGAAGGAACCCTTTAAAGGAACCCTGTTCTACTTATTAAGGCCCGTGCTTTAAATCCTTATAGCAAGCCTTATAGTAATCCTTATAGACTCCTTTAAAAGGAACCCTTTAAAAGGAACCCTGTTCTACTTATTAAGGACCCTAGATTAGGTGGCTCGGGAGGTTCCGGGAATAGTCGGTGCCGGCATCGGCTCAGCACTCCGGACAGGTCGATTGTTTGCTTCGTCGCAATCCTGAACTACGGTTGATGATATAAATCCTGCATTACCTTAATGACCCTAAACCATGGGAATTATGGTATATTCCTTATTATGGGTCATGCAGGATTAGCAAAAAGGTAGGGGAAAGTTTTAATGGGGAGGGTTTAGGGTTTGGGTGGGTAGGGAAGAGGGGGTAGGGCACTATACTTCAGACCTTTGCAAGGCTGGAATTAGCGCAAGCAGCAGCTGTTCTCTGCGAGCAGAAGAAATGGCGTTGACGGCTGCAGAAACGCTGAACTTCCATAAACATAGCAGGGCATCTGGGCATATCATCAGTACTACTCATCTGTTCCCGTCTGCAATGCGGGCCAACCACTAGCCGTGAACCACTAGAACATTACTGCTACAGTACCACATGCAGGCAACCTGGGATCAATCATGCTGGCCCACGATCTCTTGGATTTGGGCCAGCACCGACCCTATGCGTAAATATATAACATTGTATATATATATATATATATATATATAACTTCAGATATGTATATATCTATATTGACATGATACATACATACTCATATATACATATACAGATAGATGTAGATATACTGAATGGCACATGGAGACGTAGGGCTGCAGCCTGGTTCTTTGCGAGACAACTCTTGTTAGCTAAGTTCGGTTTAGGATCCAGGGCTTAGAGGGGCTCGACCGTAATATTGGGGAAGTATTGTTCTGCAGGGTGTTGCAATAATTGCCTCCATTTCTCTTCATGGTCTTAGTCTTCATTTCTGTAGTTTAACTTGCAGTTGCGAAAACCTGCGGGTTTTGAGGGTCCTACCGTTGTAAACTATACTTCTGGAGTCATCATCTATTACATTGTAGGGTTTTCGCTTAAGGGTTAGGCCTACATCCCTTAAATGCCGAATCGCTAAACCTTAAACTGACAATTGCCCACGGGTCATGATACAACGCAACCCTAATCCCTAAACCCCACACCTCAAGCCATAATTAAAATTTCATAGACCCTATAACCCCTAAACCACCCAAATCAAAAACCCTGACTAAAAATCCTTAAGCCGTAACTGAACAAATAGACATTCATAAACCCTAGATCCCAACTCCTAAACCCAAACCCCTAAACTCCTAAACCCTAAACCCCTAAACCCTAAACCCCCAAACCCTAAACCCCTAAACTCCTAAACCCCTAAACCCTACACTCCTAGACCCTAAACCCCTAAACCCCCAACCCCTAAACACGAAACTCCCAGACCCTAAACCGCTAAACTGCTAAACCCCAAACTCCTAAACCCCTAGACCCTAAACCACCGAACTCCTAAAACTCATTAAAACCCTAGGCAGCGGTGACCGTGGGGACTTCCGAGCATTGCACACCATTGGCCGGAGCGACACCATGAACCCTCCCGAAGGGGCTCATGAGGCAGGAAGTTGGGGTTTAAGGTTAGGGGATTCAAAAAGGGCTTGGGGCATGAATCTTTGCCATAGGAGTGGAACATGTTTTTGTGTTTATGGGCTTAGGGTCTATAGGACATAGGGTACCATTTTACTTTTTTAGGCGTGCTTAGCGCCAAAGAAGGAATAGGAATTTAGGGTTTTGAAGAGAGTTGAACCCAACCATGCACTAGGAATCCGCCCGAGGGGCCCATGAGGCCTGAACACCAATGGTTTAGGGTTCAGGGCATAGTCAGGGCTTGGGGTTTGTGTGTTATAACATCGGGCTCAGGATTTGGGGTTTATGGGGTTTTGGGTTCTAGGCTCGGGCTGGTTTTTAGGGCTTGGTCAGTGTTTTCTAACTGTTTTTTGCACGGTTTTGCACTGCAGGGTGGTGTAAGGGGTTTTTTCCCGGGAGCCTCAAGATCTAGTCCTCAAGGGATGTGGACTTGTTAGGGGCGGGCTCCCTTGCATCAGTTTTGTGTTGACAGTGTTATTACAACTGTTGTGGCACCTTACAAGGAAGGATTGTAGTCTTGGATGTTACCTACCAGCTCCTTGCCAAAGCTTCTTTTTAGAGCTTCAGCTTTCTCACCTAGTGAATACCCTAGGCCCTATTAATGCCTTAAACCCAAACATACAGCTTCGACCTTCAAACCGTATCTGAGCCTTCGCCCGAAGCACCCCCTGATATCGATCTGCCAATCTATGTGTACATACCTGCATGTGTATGTGTATCCCCTAAGGGTCCGAAGGACCCAATAATTAGGTACTTAGGTTTCGGGTTCTACCTATGTGGGTGAGTATCTTGGAGACTATATGATTATTGGGTACTTGAACCTGAGGGACATAGTAGATAGATTTGGGGCCTTTTAGATGGATTAGGACTCCCGGGTAATTCACGGCTTATGTCTAAAGTTTAAGTGTGTATGCATAAAGAACAGGAGAGACATCGCGTGGTGGATGGTCGTGTCTCTACGCGTAAGTGCGTATGTGTTTATCGTAGGTTTCGACTCTGGAGTCTTCTTATCGGGTAACCCTGAAAGTCCAAAATTCGGTACATGGCTCAGCCTAGTAGTTTTGCAGGTTATCATTCTGGGAAGTATATGGTGAACAGGTACACTGGAGGACTCCCTGAACCCCAAGCCCTAAACCCATAAACTCGAAAGCGTAAACCCTCCGGCAGGTTGCGCGCGCCGTGGGTGGCGAAGTTTACGAATTCGATGGAGGGCACGAGGTGCCCTTGGACGAGGCTTCCGTCATCAGTATCCCATTTACAGAGGGGTCTGAAGGTTTGCTTCGAACCAAGGTTTAGGGTTTCAGGTTTAGGGTACGGGTTGCCTTGCCTCACGACTTGTGTGAAGTCATACCCTTGCGTGTGCACACTTGGGGGAAGCCATTCCGAAGGATTCGATCCTTTTGACAAGCACGAGAGCTACCGTATATCAGCAGATGCCGGGAGCGGGGCGAAGCATTCCGAGTCCTGTCTTGTTTTCCTTATGCCTTTGTATTACGGAACCCCTAAATAGTAGTGGTAACTATTGAGGCCCCTATAGTACAGTACCTTTATAGCTCCCTTATAGTAGCGCTTATAGCCTCCTTTAAAGGAACCCTTATGGGAGCCGAGATACGGGTCCCCCTCTTGCTGGCCTCGTGTTGCAGGGCCATATTGTCAGAACGAGTCAGAAGGGTCACGTTGTTTGGCGGTTTGGCGATGCATACACACGGTTTGGGATTTAGGGCTGAAGGGGTCCACAGGCACCGCGCACTACTTAGGCACTCTTGCGAGCTTATTTTGCCAGCCAAAGCTTCGATTCACGAGAAGGAACATCCAGTGTCTTCTTGGGGTTTCGGCGTCCAGTTGTCGGTCAGGTTGCTGTCCAATTTGCTCGTGATCACAGCTACAGCGTCTCTGATGTTGACTGAAGTTTGAGCTCGCAGGAACTGAGCAGATGTTCATGGAATTCAGCATTCTCATCCGTCTGGTGTGTAAATCCCTCCCGTCCTCGAAAGCGTCAAGGCTTTGGTGTTGGTGTTGTCGCGGATTCTCGCGGGGTGATGTGTGCGAGCGCGACCCTGGTACTGGTGCTGTCGTCATTCGGGCTTGTCGTTATCCTCATTGATGTCATGACGGCTCTTTCTCCGTGTCTGAAAGTGTTTGTGTTCATGGTGTTCTTACTTTCCCGTTTGCTGTCAGCTTCTTCGGTAGTAGTAGTCGTCGTCGTAGCAGTAGTAGCAGTAGTAGTAGTTGTAGTAGTAGTAGTAGTAGTAGTAGCAGCAGCAGTAGTAGTTGTTGTTGTTGCTGCTGCTGTTGCGGTTGGCTGTTGCTGTTGCTGTTGTTGTTGTTGTTGTTGGCCTCCTTACTGTTGTTCTTATTGTTCGTGCTCTTGCTCCGTCTCTTGAAACTTGTTTTGTGGTTGTTCTTGTTATTGTTCCTGCTCGTGTTCTTCTTAGTCTTGTTCTTATTATCTTCTTCTTGTTGTTCTTGTTCTTGTTAGTTTTGGTGTGGTGGTGATGGTGGTGGTGGTGGTGGTGGTGGTGGTGGTGGTGGTGGTGGTGGTGGTGGTGTTAGTGGTGATGGTGCTGCTGCTGCGGTAGTTTTGTTATTGCTCTTGTTGCTGCTGGGTTTGTCGTCGTCCTCCTCCTTGCTGTTGTCGTTGTCATGCTTGTGTGAGTGCTACTATCATTATATGTTGGCATATGTACACATACTGGTCAATACTGGTTCGACCTGGATGAACAGGACTGTTTCCAGAGATCCGATGACATGCCTCCGGCAAATCATCACGCCTTTATTTTATGCCGCAGCAAAGATTTGTGCACTTTTCGTGGCTGCAACCGACCGCAAATGCGAACATTACATACGAGGCTGTGTGAGCTGATATTCCAGGCAAACATCTCTACACATGCACAGCGCGAAACAAACGGTTTCAGAGATTTGCTTGGCACGGTGTGTGTTTCTCGGGCCGGTTATCCGGATAAAGACACATTATTCCAAGTCATGTCTTTGCCGACTTTATGCGGGGTTACCATGAACATGCCCCTGCATTGCAAGTCCCGCACTTGAATTTGCAACCACCCTGATCTGATTTGTCATGTGTTCGGACGGGATGAGGAGAGCTGTGTAGACTTCCAACGCACCAGGGTTTGAAAATTTGAAATGTGTGGCTCTGAACTATTTAGGTTCAGGGAGGAGCAAGGTTAGGGGTTGAGGGCCTAGGCTTCCTTAGGGCATATAGGGTTTTAGGGTTTGGGGGATGCCCAACCGGCAAACCCCAAACCCCGAACCTCCAGATCACATTGCCGTACAACCTAGCATCGACGACTGCCCAGCCGTAGACCTGCAGACTTGGAACAGAAAAGCCAGGATCGCTAGGGTTTCTTCGTGGTTTGGGTGTCTAGAACAGTTCCTTAGCGTGTCTTTGAAGGTTCTGCACATGACATCCAGCATTACGTCATGGATAAGAACACTTTTCTGTTTCAGTTTGGAGACTGCCACAGCTAACGGTTCCGCAAGGGTTCTACACGTGTTCTCTAGGAGTTGAAGGGTATATGTAGGCTTGACCAAACTTGAACAGTTGTAAAGGTTAACACGGCTTTATCGATGCTTGGGGCTTCTAGAGTTCGTTATCAGATTATGCGGTTTTAGAGTTTTCGTGCATTGCCTAGGTCTTCTGGCTTGCTAGCCTCCCCAAAGGGTCCAATATTCCTTAAATTTGAAGGTGGATCCTGCATGAGTGTTTTTTGCCATGGGATTGCCCCGTGAGGCTGCGCTGGCCGCCTACAGCAGCCTTCTTTCCAAGAGACCCTAGAATCTAGAAGCCCTGTTTTCGGTTTAGCGGGTGCTTTTCCTAAAGCGTTACGTGGACATTCCACAGAGGGGCCAGAGGGGTCCGTGTAAATATATGAGTGGTTGTCAAAATTCGGGTCCTTTTTTGGGTACCCTAAATAATAGATGCCGTACTATAATAGGCACCCAAAAAGGGGCCTTAGTTTTGACAACCACGCATATATATATATATATATATATATGTATATATGTATATATATATATATAGATAGATAGATAGATAAATAGATAGATAGATATATGTACTAACTACTATCATATGGACTTGGGTCCATTCCACAAAGGTAGTATATTTGGACCGTAAAAAACCCAGCATGAATGTAGAACAGCTTGTAAAACCTTACAAAATGAACTCTGCCCCCCAAAACCTAGCAACCCAATACAATAGGCAACTGGGCTCCGAGGGAAACCATACCCTGAGCCGGAAGATACCACCCAAAACGGTAGTACAGAGTATTGAGCTCGAAGGACCCCAAGCCGCGCAGTATGTCTTCAGGCATACTAAGAAGCCTAAGTTATGAAAAGCAATTCCCAAAGCTGCAAATTCAGACTTGTGCCTTAAACCATGCTTGCTATTGAGGCTTACTGTACGCTCCTTCAGCGGCAACTCTTACGCTTGAAATATAAATGGGAGACCCCGCAACCTATACCGGATAAATCCCGAACCCATAAACACTATGCAGGCCCTCTATAGATCGCGGACAACTTTACAGGAACCCATACAGGAACCCCACACAAACAAAAAAAAACGAGTACAGTGAAGCAGAAGGACAGTAGAGGGACCCTGAATTCGGTACCTCAAGGTTTATAGGGCTGCAGGTTTCAGATTCAGGCTTTAGGTTGCTTTAGGGTTTAGGAAGTTTAGGGCTTACCATTCTCATAGGACATTCGTGTTTGTTTCATGGTTTGAAGGGGTTTACAAGGGCTTTATGGGGTCTGGAAGGTTTGAAGGTTTAGTGCACGGGGTCGTGGTTCTATCTTCTAGTTGATTACGGCATCCACAGTGTGGATTGCTGGAAACCCCAAACCCAGGTATCTTAATGCTTCAATCGGCTCACAGGCACGTTCGTCCATAGAGGCGAAGCATTTACTGTGCTCGCAAGAAGAAGGGCGTAAAGGCAGTCTCGAAGCAGGGTTTAGGGTTTAGGGGTTGAGGGTAGCAACTTGACCCCCCGCCACAAGTCTGTACCAACACATACACGCATATGCTCACATATTCGCACTTTCATTCACGCACGCATGCAGCGACATGGGAGTTTCCGAAAATAGGGGACCCGAATATAATACCCTAAGTAGTAGGATCCTTAGCACCAAGACCCCAAAACAAGCTACCCCTCCCTAATTTTCGGAAACTCCTTATAGAGCCCTTTACGGGAACCCTTAGAGTACCCACAGAAGCCTGTTAAAGGAACCTTAGTTTTCGGAAACTCGCATATATGTCTCCAAAGAGCCAGATGGATCGGTTGTATGTCCCCAAAGAGCCAGATGGATCGGTTGACATGCTGCGATGCAGGAGAATCGCAAAAGCGCCCGCTTGCAAAAACCTAAGACTGCCCTAGAAGCACGATTGACGGTATAGTATAGGGACCTAAACAATTATCAACATTATTGTGTGGGTTCCCTATTTTATTTGTAGTATAAGGGGCCCCAAAACCCTATTCTAGTTATTAAAGCCCCTATATTAGAAGCCCGATTGACGGTGTAGCACATGGCCGCTGTTGTGCCCCGTATAGGAACAGGAACATCTATGTAGCCGAAGTGCAGAACTGTGCCGCGACTGTCGAACCCTAAACCCGCAGCACGCCGGACTTGTTCATCGAGTTCGTCGGATCCCCTCTACTACCCCAGACAAGACCAATCCCCAAAGCGCAATAAGCAAGCGCTGTCCGAGCAAACAGCTCACATCCTAAATTCCAAGCAAGGGTTTGTGGTTCGCCCCCTCCGGCATGAGGCTCCTCAAAGCGTAGCTGCATCCCCAAGAGGTCCTCGACAGGTGGGGTTCAGAGAGCTAGGGTTTCTTTGCTAATAAAGGTTCCTTGCACAAGGATCTTAGGCTAGGATGTAGATCAGGTATCGTGATTTGTTGAAGATCCCAAGGCGGTCCCTCAGTAAACTTGAAATGAGGCCTTTCCACAATGTCTGCATTGACTCGTTCATGTCGTGAAACTCTCAACCCTGAAATTCGAAACTTAACAGGACCCCGCAATGGCCCGTTAACAGAGCCCTTATGGTCCTTCATAGTGGTTATTTGGTGTATAATTGGAGGGTAGTTGGGGGTTCAAGGCTCAACTCTAATGAAGCCTTCAAGCAACAAGCCCGAAGCCCTGGGCCCTAGGAGCCTCGGTGTTGTTCTTACAAACTCCGGGAGACTTATGTAGAGCAATTGTTAAGTAATAATACGAATGATGGGTGTCACCATTGTATCAGTAATCATAAGTCCCACCGATAACGTACATAATACAAGTAACAGTAAGAACTAATAGGCAAACCAACAAGAATACGAATATTCTTATGTAGTGTAATTGTGTAATAGTAGTAATTGTAGTGACAATACTAGTTAATCGTAATCATGTCTTATCTTATGTAGTGTATTTGCTGAAGAGCATTGCTGGCGGCTCCGAGGCTGTAATCGCCATCCCTACCTGCAAGGCCTCGGGCTTGGGAAGGCTTCACGTTTAAGGTCGGTTTAGGCTTTTGGGGTTTAGGGGTTTAGGGTGTAAGGTTTAGGTTTGACAAGTTCTGTCAGGGGGTTCCTTGAGGAGTGTTCGGGGTTTGGTTCGGGCCGTTGGGTTCGAAGTTCCGCCATCGGGTTTCGGGGTTACTAGAGGCTTCTAAATATTACCCAATACTATTTTGGGGTTCCTTATGATAACTTTGATATTACTGGCCCCAAAACCCTATTCTAGTTATTACGGCCCCCCTATTATAGTGTCCCTCCAGTAACCCCTATAGCAATCCGTATAGACCCTCTACGGCCGTGCAGGGCTGCGTCGGAGCTCGAGGCTTAAAGGCTCAAGTCGTCAAGAGGGTCTATACCAAAAGAACTTAGACCCTAAACTCTAAACCCCAAATCCTGAACCGTAAACCCTCACCCCTAAACCCTACCTAAACCCCCAACTGTAGGTCAAATTCTTCACGGCCCAATACCTGCAAAAGGCTGTTATTCTACATAATTGTGGGGTCCAGGTAAACCCTACAGCATGCTGCCCGACACAGCATCCGAGGCTCGGCAACAGCTGCAGGAATTTTGCTTACTATACATCCGTACAAGACTGCTTGGATCGACCACAACATCTGACAACATTTTCATATTCGTACCCATCGTCGCATTCACGTTCATTTTTAACTTCATTCGAAACATCATTTTCAATGACACCGCCGACATCGTCAGCAGCATCTTCATTTTCAAATGCTTCAATCTGAAGTGTGATGTGTGATGATCCTGATGATGCGCATCTGCTGCAGTTTAGGTCGCGGATTAAGGGCCACCTTTCGATCCTGCTTTATGCGCGGGCTCCCAAAGACCACACTAACTACAACATTTGGCTTTCGTTGAGAATTTGGTTGACAGGAACCAAGCACGGCACAGTGCGGCTGATGCCAAAGCGCACCTTCGGGGGAGCCGACAGACGCACAGAGCGGCGCCGCTTTAATTTTTTGGATAGGAATGCTTGGGCTTGGGATCGGAAGTAGGATGGATTCAAAGTTCAGGGTTCCTCAAAGGGACCTAGACATGTTCTATCAGGGTTTTGGTTTAATTAGGGTGAAGATAGGGCCATAGTAAGTACTCAGTAGTAGTATTGTCTAGGGTTTTCTTTTATTTGGAAGTATACTATACAATGCTCCCCAAGAGCTGCTGTAAGGCTCCTGCATTGGAAACAATGATGTGCTGCAGTTGGGTACATGCCTATATCCCCACGGTTTCAATTGCTCATTTTCGGCTTCAAAGCATTCACGACTCAAGCCCGAAACCGCCCGAAAAAGTAGCTGATGCGTAGTGCAGGGTTCGGATGCAGGGCATGGCCGGCTATCGGTCCCTGGGAAGATATGGTCAAGCAACTGCTGCCTGGTGCAATTCTGTATTCCCATCAAGCCCAAACCCTTACACCTAAAGCCCCAAACTCTCAGGCATACCCAAGCCCGGGCAGGAAGGTGTGAACTTTTTGTTGCAAGGTGGCGTGTTGAAGTTACACAATGCGCGGCCTTCAGCTGCCAAATTCAACCTGCGTGTATCCCTCACGGTTCGGGGTTTAGGGTGTTTGGGTTGGTGAGTTAGCGTGTAGGCTTCAGGCATCTTTAGGCTGTAGGGCTTCCACGAATTACTTGTCATAGTCGAACCTTCGGTTGCTTGTGCAATTACGAGGCTTAGCCCTAAACTTGCTCACAGCCCTACATATGGATAGCTCTCAGAAGTAGGGTCACCTTTGTAAGTTCTCGAAATAGTACGGCATCTTTGCAGAAACGAACCGCCAAAGGGACCCTAGTTTAGAGAACTACCCACATAGCATGCCAAGGTCCGAGTCGAACCTTCGTAATTGTAGTGGTTTAGGGTTTAGGGCCCCAACCACTCGGGTCCTTCGACGCTTGTCTAGGAGCCCTATCACAGGTTTCCCTTTTCAGGGGTTGTGGATTCTCCGGCAGGTTAAACCCGAGACTCTAATGGCGTGAACCCGAAACCCGTAACCTTTGCGCCCCAAACCTAATCGTGTCAGAAGAACGCACCCTCCCAAGTAATAGCCCCTATTATCCGAAACCCAATTTTCCATTTAATTCCTGACAACCCTCCAAACCCCTGAAAACTGTCTAGCACAACCCTATAAAGAATCACCGAATTATTGGGTCCTATGGACCCCTTTAAGGGTTCCTGGTTCCGATAAGGGTGCCTTGAGGCTTTAGGGCAATGGAGTAAAGGATTCCATGTAGATATATGGTATGTACTTTCGCTTTAAAGTATTCCCTCTATAGGTACTTCAAGGCCAAAGTACATACTAGACCCTTTACCCTAGACTTTAAACCCAAAATCCGAAACCCTAAACCCTGAACCCCAAACGACTATACGTAAGTCGATGGAGTTTTAATTCGAGGCTCTGGGAGGGCTGGAGCCCCAAACACAAACCCTAGTTTATCAGTAAACCCTAAGGGCCCATGTATCCAAACAGGGTTCCTTTAAAGGGCTCTTTAAAGCGTTCTATACGGGTGTATGGATATTCAGAGAATACAAGGGTCCATGTATCCAAATGGTATATACCTTGGCTTTAAAGTAGACCCTAGATAGGTACCTTAGGGCCAAAGTATGCACTATTTGCGCACATGGACGCCATGCTGTGGGGCCCTTCATTATCAAAAGAAGCTCTCAAGGAGCTATTCCTAGGATAAGGACCCCCTGAAAATAATACAGTCACCTCGCCACAAACTCGCATCGGTTTGCGTAGCTTATGGCACCACCTCGGGGCACCGTGTCCCCCGCGGCAAAAACCCCGCCGCAGCACCTGCGGAAAAAAGGAGGCGATTTGCTTCGGTGCCTGGGATGTTTTTGAAGCTAGCACCCTTAGAGCTACGGGATGTTGAAGGTTTAGACTCATTCAACCTTCACGAGTCGGCGGGGACATGAGCAACAAGTTACAGCAACCCACTATACATCTAAGTATGAGCATACTTCCAGTTGGAAAGGCTTCGAAGGTTGCACAAGCAATAGGATGTGTTTTGTTCTGCCTGTGGCTTCACTGACGATCTCGCCAATTCATTGTCATGACGACGCAAACGACGCCGCCGGCGACGATGATGATGGTGCTGCTGATGATGATGGTCATGACACTGCTGATAATGATAATCGACCTCATCACCATACTTGTACGGCTGATGCAGAAGCGGACGACACACATTCGATGCTCTCGAAACTCTCCCGTCTGCTTCTTATGTTCTGTGTCCTGTCTCCCCCTATGTATATATGCCACTCAGACATTCACACACGCACACGCACAAACAGACATATGTATGTATGTATATATATATATATATATATTTATATTTATTTTTTATTTATTTATTCATTTATTTATTCATTTATTTATTTGTTTATTTATTTATTTATTTATTTTTCTTTATTTCTTTATTTATTTATTTATGTATTTATGTATTTATTTATGTATTTATGTATTTATGTATTTATTTATGTGTTTATGTATTTATGTATTTATTTATTTGTTTGTTTGTTTATTTAGTTATGTATTTATCTATTTATTTATTTGTTTGTTTGTTTATTTATTTATAAGGTGTATGTATATGTATATGTATATGTATATGCATATCATTATGCCTATCTCTCTCTCTCTCTCTCTATATATATATATATATATATATATATATATATAGATGTTTATACATATACATATACACGGAGAGATGCATCGGCCCCCTGCCGATGTCTTGAATCACAGACAGACAATGTTGGGAGAAGTGTCTTCTTCTTCAAGACAAGCCAAATTGCAGTATCCCCGGCTTGAAGGGTTCCCGTGCCTGATGCTCGCGCACGTGGTGGACATGGCTCAGGAGTGATTAGCCTTAGCCTGCAACCCAAATCCTCAAGCATACACCCGAAATTCTACACCCCAAACCCTCGAGCCCTAAACGTGACCAAAGCCCTTTTCATATTGCTTAGGCAGTCGCAGAAAAGCTCTCGAAGTCCACGATCCCAAAGCGCAGCTCAGCGTCCTTGAAGCCCAAGATTCGCTGAGCACTGAAACCCGGAATCCAAAAGAAGCCATGTCTCCAGGGAGAGCTACAGTAGAACCCAGAAAGTTGGAACATCATTAGCCGCATGCCCTTACAGTGAAGGTAGAGGGAATCCCAGCATGCATCATCCTAAATCTATGTTCCAACTTTCCGAGATTCACTATAAGCCATAAAGCATCCCTATAGATCCCTTAAAGGAACGCTTATAGTACCCTAGCTCCCTTAAAGAAACCCTTATAGTACCCTTTAAAGAACCCTAAACCCTAAAAGTGCACCTAGCCTGCCAATCTGGATTAGTGAGTCGCAACGGTCAGCCCTTGCGGACTCCCTGCCTTTCCGAAACGCTGCGGGAGTGCTTCCATGTGGCCTCCGACCTGATTGTGGTTTAGGGTTTAGGGTATAGAAGGGTTTAGGGTTTATGGGGTTTTGGGGTTTGTAAAGGTTGAGGATTGCGGTACCAAGAAACTCCGAACCCGCTTGAACGAGACTTGCTTTACACTTTTATATAGCTAAGGTCTCAGAGTCATAGGTTTTCAGACGGTTGGTCCAGGGGGCTTTAGAGGAACACTTCGATCATTGAGGTTGCCTGCATGTGTCTATGTAGATAGTTCATGGAAGACGCTTCGACCCCGTACCTGATTTCCCGGAAGGTTACTTTGAGCCTTTGTGGAGCTTGCTTAGCCCTGCTATGCTTTCAAGGCTATGGGTCCTTTAGCCTGGGGGCGCATAACGAGGTTTGGTTAGGCTTACAAGGTTTAGGAACTTCAATACATGTTTCGAGCATTCAACAACAGGACTGTTTCGAATTGAAGCCAAGATTGCCCGAGCACCTTGCCTATTTTCGTGGGCAGCTTTATTGGGTGGTGTTGGTTGGGGTGAGTCATTACCTCAATGACCCTAGACTCTGGGAAACATGGTATATTCCTTACTATGGGTGATGCAGGATTTAGATCATCAGCCGCAGGGCTGGTAGGTTTTTGCAGGCATTGTGCAATACAGTAGACTATGTGGGAAGTTCTCTGGATTAGGGTCCCTTTTCTTCAAGTCCCCCAAATAGTACGGCACCGTGATAAAATGGTACCCGAAAAACCGATCCTAATTTAGAGAACCGGGGTCCTGCGAGTGCATCCATTTCCACACATTGAAGCATTGAACTCTAACCTTAAGGCTCCGCCTGGGGTAACCAAGCTCCCTCAGAAAAGAAAATGTACCAGTTGGTTAGGATTCTATCCCTTTTTTAATGGTACATGTCTTGCTCTAGGTGCAGCCGAAGCATAGGAGCATCACAGCATGCCATGAATTTTTGGTTCACGACTATCAGCACAACCCGAATACGGTGATTAATATTACTATGTTTTCTTCTCCATCAAAACACGTGGAAATAACTACAGTAAGTCTCTCAAATCATACACTATGGGAGCCTACATTCGTGTTTAAGCCTCAAGAACCTACGCTCATGATGCTCTTGAGACCATGTAGAATTGCCAAAGGGTCTTTGACAGGAACAAGCTTAAAGTAATTTTATATTTTCGGGTCCAAGATTCCCTAAGAAACAGCTAAAACTCATTTTTTGCTCTGGGTTCAAGATTAGTATAGTTAAAAGGATCTGCATTTTGGAGGGGTCTGGGCCGCTATGGTTAAAAAATCTCATGCCAATCCTCGCCCCCCTGAATCTCAAGCGCCCCTGAGCGCGACCCCTGAACCCTAATCCTTAACACCTTAAGCCCCAAACCCCAAGCCTTAAACTTAAAGCCTTAAAACTTAAAGCCATAAACCGTATATGCTAGACCTTAGACCTTAAGACTTAAAGCCTTAAACCTTGAACGTTAATTCTTAAACCCCTAAACCCTAAACCCCTGTAAACCCTAAACCCCTATAAACCCTAAACCCCTAAACCCTAAACCTTAAACCCTAAGCCCTTGGTAAGCCCTTGGCAGTGAGCCAGGGCAGTCCGGGACTTGGCTGCCATCCTCGGAGTGCCTTGGCTGGGATCTAGCTTCTTTTGGAGGTCAATGTGTGTGCACGTGCATGTGTGTATATATATATATATATGTATGTAAGTATGTATGTATGCATCTATATATGTATATATATATATATATATATATGTGGATGTGCATACACGCGCAAGTATCTGTACGTAGGTTTGTGTAAATTGTATATGTGCGCGTGTGCGCGTTTTTTTGGTTTCGGAAGGGGGGCTCGTCGTCATGATCAAGGTTATAGGGTTTGGGAGTTAGTGTTGAAAGTCAGAGCTGAGCGCTCAAACCCTAGTCCCTTCATCATTCCCTGAAGATCCATGTACTCATATGGCCTATAGAGGTACATGGATCCTTAGGGATTTGGGGATTCGGTGGGGGTTCTTTTCAGGGTCTATTCAGCAAACCACCCGAAACCCTGCATGTTACACCTCTAAGCTCATGATTATCGAAATTCCCCGGGGCCAGCAGTCGAAAATTCCTGAACCCGCAGCCCTGCAGCACAAGGAGCCCTACAAGAAGGGGCAGCCCAACACTCACGAACTTGTAAGAATCGGAGGGAGCAACCCATGGTTCTAACTGACCAAAAGAGGATCCATATCGGGACCGTGAAACGCAACCGCGTCGTGGTATGGACTTCGTCTGAAGATCCTGCCTGTATAGATACTATAGGCTAGAGCATGCACTGTATGAGTACATGGACACTCAGGGATTTTGGGCTTCCGGCTTGTTCTTTGGAGGTCCTTTCCTTCGGGCTTGCAACGAAAGGTCCTGAACAGCTCGTACTCGCTTTCCTGCTGACTTAGGGTTCCCTAACGTACCGAAAGGGTCCATGTACCCAAATAGCACATGACATGCTTTGGAATAGCACATGCTTTGGCCAAAACTACCTATATAGGGACTACTTTATGGCCAAGGTATATACTGTTTGGGTACATGGACCCTTAGGGGTAGCTATTGCATTTTGGAAGGCCGACCGAAGGGGCTTTAGTCTTAGAATCCCGATTGTACAGGGGCGTGGTGGCGAGGGCTCTGCGCTTTGACTCTCCACGCTAACGCTGAAACCGTATACCCTCGATCATGATGACGAGCCCCTCTCCTCCCTAATCTCCGGTACTAAAATGTTCGACTTATAAGTGACTTAGTGCAGCTTGTGTCGCCCCCGACAAAATCCAATGGCTGCTGACTCGATCCCCCAACTGAGAGTTGCACTCGAGGAGGCTTTTGCACAAGAGGTTCAGGCGGTTGTGGAGTTCGTTGCACGGAGTAGGTTCTCAGGCTGTTCTAGCCCCCAAACCATAAACCACGCTCGTGGCTGAGGACATCATTCGCAAGGGGCAATGTGCCTGACTCAGGACTCAGTCAGCCCAAGCAAGGTGGGGGGGTCACGGTGATGCCCAAAATTGCAGGAACTCTTCCCTAAGGCTCCACGTGCGTAATAATTTATCAGATACTTTCCCAAATACTAACCTACATAACTATTATCCGGAACCCAAGTACCCAATTACAGGATCTTTTGGACCCTTAAAACCTTACAAAGCCCGGAAAAAAAGCCCTTAATTAACCTCTACCTGCTTGGAGCATGCTCGGGCTTCCACCTGAAACCTCTCATCGGAGATAAATCACCGCCCCTATAGGTCCAAGTTCCTGAAAACCATAGACTTTCCCAAAAATACTAACCTGCGTAACTACCATGCGAAATCCCAGTGCCTGATTATTGGGTCTTACGGGCCCTTAAAACCGTACAAAACCACCGGAAACCCTTCACGAAACCCTCTAAAAGGAAAACATCCGAAATCGAATTATTGGGTCCTTGCGACCGTTAGTGAGAAGGGTTCAGGACGCAGCTCGGCACCTGAACGCTCTTCAGGAAGCTCTATCCTGAACCACAGCACGGACGACTTCAATTCTGCAAGCTCTTGTTAGAATAACGGTACTAGTAGCCCTGATAGTAGCCGGTATAGGAAGACTTGTGTTGTCGTTGTTATCGACGTGTTGTGTCTCTCTTCGGTCTTGAGCACTGGAAACGCTAAGCCCGAAACTGAACAATGCAAGCATCCTGGCATCCTGACTCTGATCCCTGTGATCTCGACGTCATAATGGAGACCATCCTCCCTCCCCTCCAAGCCGCGAAGCATCCCAGGCCCCGAAATTGTGGTGGAGTACTCCTGCGGCCACACCCACCCTGCCGAGGTGCCCTGGTGATTCTCTTTTAGGGTTTAGGGTTTAGGGTGCAGTCTAGGCATCCCAGTCCCCCCAGGAGTAACATAGAAGCTTGAGTAAGAAGCAGTAGTTAGCAAGCCAACTCCTAAACTTTCCGCCCAAAGAATGAACACTACCCCACCAACACCTTATTGGAAGCGCTGAGGCCCCTGCATTTGCCTGATGCCCATGTGTTTAGGGGTCCCTGGGTAAAAAATGCACAGTAAGGAAAACGGCACCCAGTTGTTGTTGGTGTGGAGGGAACCTCCCCGCAACAGTATTCCCTGGGTTCCTTGCTAGAAGATTAGCTGAACCATTACATACTTCAACACCCTTTTCCAAATACTAAGGCCAACACATTCTGTTTTGATGTTCATTGGACAATGTTGGAATCATTAGACTACAACGGCACGTAGCCCCAATTGAGGGGTGTTCGGTCTGCTTTCAAAACTCTGAATCCAAAGGACTGCAGGTTTGTTTCATTAGCTAAGGGCATATTGAAGGTTCCTGAGTTCTTAGAACTCTGTGTATTCGCGAGTTTGCCGGATTTAAGAACGTTTACCCCTTAATCCTAAACACGTACCTAAGCCTCAACCGTTCGAGGGTGAAAAACTCCGATGTGTATGACCTTTAGGGCTCATCCATCTCGGGATTCAAGAACGATTGACACCTAATATCTAAACGTTGCTGACCCTGGCATGATTGCTTGCACGCTTGATGTCTTGATTTGACCTATGAAATCTTGCCATGCTTGATGTCATGATACCTTTTCGAAAAAGGCCATGTTTGTAGTTAGTTGCCCCATGAGCTAAAGATATAGCAGGCAAGAGGTATCCACAGAGCCCAGTTGCCATTCAAATATGCTCTAAGTATACACTGCTTATTGAAAACTAAGGGGTGCTGGGCTTTTGGGGTACTACATCCGCCTGACGTTAGTCTCCAGAGACAACAGTCAGTAGATCCCTTGGGAAAATCGCCTGTGCAGAGCTAGTCACAAGTCAACCTTTCATAAAGGCCAAATCATACACTTTTCGGGGCCCAAAAGCCATGCGAGGTGAGGTTGGGGGCGGTTTTGAGCTTCTGAGCTAAACTCGGAAAAGCGAGTCCCTATATCGACCTTGAGCCGCCAAGCAAAGCCCCACAACCCCTTATTAAAGCCTTCATGTAAGACTTCCCTCTAACCCTCATAGACTGCTCTTAGTAGCTGAGTAGATAAACTTAACCTTTTGGGTTGTATATTCACCCTACCATAATTGCAAAGGCTAACCTTGTTTGGGCTATGGTGCTCGGCCCCTAAGTATTCTACTACAGCTTCAGGAAAAGACCTGTAATTCTTGATTTTTTGGACGGAAGTCCTTCAAAGCAGCCCTTAAAGGAACCCATGAAGGAGCCCTCAAAGGACCCCACAAAGGAGCCCTTAAAGGAACCCACAAAGGAGCCCATGAAGGAGCCCTTAAGGGAACCACCAAAAGAACCCACAAAGGAGCCCCTAAGGAATCCATAAAGGAGCCCTTAAAGCAACCCACAAAGGAGCCCACAAAGGAGCCCTTAAAGGAACCCACAAAGGAACCCATGAAGGAGCCCTTAAAGCAACCCACAAAGGAGCCCACAAAGGAGCCCTTAAAGGAACCCACAAAGGAACCCATGAAGGAGCCTTCGAACCCACAAAGGAGCCTTCAAGGGAACCCACAAAGGAACCCTTAAAGGACCCCACAACAGAGCCCTTAACGGAACCCACAAAGGAACCCATGAAGGAGCCCCTAAAGGAACCCATAAAGGAGCCCTTAAAGGAACCCCCTTAAAGAGCGCTTCAGGGAACACTAACCCGCCCGAGGTCACTGTAGCACCTTTTCTCGCTGAGAAGCGAGAGCCAAGAGTCGCAGCCAGGCCTTCCCAGAGGGGCCTTAGGGTTGGGGTGTGGGGTCTGGGTTTGGGGTTCGTTTAAAGGGGAGTATAGGGGATCCTTTAAAGTATGGGTATGGATACCATAAGGGTTTAGGATTTAGGGTCTTGGGGTGTAGGGGTCTATTGTTTAGGAGGCTAGGGTTTCGGGTTTAGGTTTTAGGTTCAGGGTACAGCTAATTGCAGTGTTTCTGGGGGCGTGATGCTTAAATTTCTACAGTGCTCTATCAAGTTATGATAGCGGATTTTAACGACTAGACTAGACTAGCAGAAGAATATCACCAACAATCGCAGAAACTTGTGTTGAAAGGGTTGCCGGGCAATCCTCATACCCTATCTGGTTATCTTTGTTCATGTGACTCTTGACTTATGCGCTTCAAAGGTAGGCCATGTGTGGTCAGTGATTTCGATGGACTACACAGCTTTGGACTTCGACAGCTGCCATACAGGGTTCCTCAGCTTCGGGTAGTCTTAGGGTTTTGAGCTGTTGAGGTTTAGGGTTTGGGGCCTGTGCATGTTACAGGATCAAAACATACGAGGAAGATGTTATCGCAGCACAGAGTCACGTCTTATGATTTTCAGATGTTTAATGCCCTTACTGTTACCATGATCAGTGCTTTTTTGTGTGAGGCTACACGGTTGTTCATCACCAGGTGGGGCTGTTGGGCCCTGGTAGACGCAGGAGCCTCTGTCGCTTGTATTTTAGCCTGTAACCTCATCAGATAAGAAAAAGGGCCCGCCAACTTACAAGGGTTCAAATGAAAAGAGGTCCAGTACAAAACCACTTTAGCATCGTTTAGCATAGAGTCCTAAATAATCAGAATCTTGTTTGGGGTTCATGCTGTAATTACTTGAATGCTACGGGGTGCCCTTATGGAAGAGGAAATCATATCACCTCATGGAACTTTCTTCCCCGCCAGTTCTCCCGATGATGTCTCGCAAGACCGAGCCAAGCCTGAAACCCCATCAGTTTCCCAAACCTGACATCCTAGAACTGAAAGCAACAGCAAGGCCCTGAAGTTTCAAAACCCCAAAGCCCCAAATCCACCCTTTACCCCTTAAAATTGGGTCCTTAATAGTTAGGTAAGGGTTTTGGCATATGTTATACTATAATGATAGTATGGACCCTCCCCCCAAAAAAAAGACACAGTGGTATAGGCAATTCTTTAGGCCCCTATATTATCCCCAACGACCGAAAGTTCAGTAGTTTATGCGGGCCTAGGGGCCCTCAATTGAACAAACTCCACATCATTAGAGGACCCTTCAAAATTCCTAAAATCCACTGTTGAAACCCTACGAGACTTATTTGGGGAGGGGTGCTGGGACTTTCCATTGAAGCCAGGGCTCTCCGTGTCGCCTGCCGCGACGATGCGGTGCCCTTTGGTGAGAGCGGCTCCTTCACCATCAAGGCGGTTCTGTGCATCGAATCACGGATCTTCACAAAGGACGGTTTATCAACATACATGTTCCGCGTTTAAACCCTACATCAGCCTCAAGATATGCGCTCGAGGAAGAACATGCATTCGAAAACGGGGATAGGTCAAAGGAACATGATCGTAGAAGGACCCCTAAGGTTCATCTATCCCCAATGGTCCCAGGGTACCTGGGTTTCGGATCGTAGCTATGTATGGTAGTCTTGGGGAGAGTATCTGATTCTTGGGTACTTGAGCCCTTGGGCATGGGAAGACCACACCACCTTAAACCCATGAAACCATTCCTGGGCGTTTATCACCTACACTCCGCCCTTAGACCACAACCTCAACTTGAAACTTTATCACGAAAACCTTAAACCCCTAAATCCCTAAATCCCTAAACCCTAAACCCTAAACCCTAAACCAAAGCCTATAGGAATACGTTTTAAAGGGTGGCAGCCAGAACCAGCTGGGCCCACAGTTTGTGGGAGACCTATTGTTAATGATATAAATCCAGCATGACCCAGAATTAAGGAATTTTTACCCAAAATCCCAATGCCATAGTGTAGGGTGATTAAGGTCATGCTGAGTTTTTATCATCAGCCGTACCTCTGCAAGCGGAGTATGGAGCCTGTGGATTCAAGTACAGAGTTCTTGGCTTCAGGTTCGGATGTAAGGTTGGGGTACTTAAAGGCTCATGGGACTTAGTAAGTAAGGTTAGAAGTAGGTTGTATTTAGGATGACCCAACTTAGGGAACTTATAACCAAAAATTATAAGCTACTTACTAAGTCCCATGATCCTCTAGGTAAAGTTCGTAGACCTCAGTAAGTTCCAAGGCCCTTGAACGTCCAAGATACTTAGAGGATCATGGGACTTAGTCAGTAGGTTATCATGGGGGGTTATAAGTCCCCTAAGTGGGGTTATCCCACTTATAACCTACTTATAGTTATAACCAAGTGCCCTAAGTGGGATTATCCTACTTATAACCTACTTACAACCTCACTTACTAAGTCCGATGAGCCTTTAAGTAGCTCGAGCTCTTGGCGTGGGAAGGTGCCTGGTGGGCCGTGCCGGACTCCCAATGCTTGCTGCCCGTGTTCTCCAGTTCGGACTCTGGGTGACCTACATTTTGCAGGGTCGTAAGGTTCTTCCTATGTTAATGTCGGTCGTTTGCGATTTTAGTTTCTCTTTATCTGACCACGGACTTCGTGCTTTTTCATGTGCGGCAAGTAAAGAACTCGCTGCTCAATTGCATTCCTGGATGTGGAATTGGTATAAGCCTAGACACTCAAGCTTCAACCCTAAATCCCAAACCTTGTTTTGTTGTTTTTTAATGTTGAAGGGTTCTTGGACGCAATGGCTATTGAGGCTTTAGGGCGACTTCGGGTCAACGCGCTTGCTCCTAGGGATCAAGGTTTGGAAGGCTGGTCGGGTTAAGGGTGTAGGGCTATTGGGTTTAGGGCTCTGGGGGTTTAGGGTTGAGGGGTGTAGGGCTTTAAGGCGTAAGAAGGGTTCTAAAAGCTAGGCATTGAGGGCTTCGGGATTCCGGGGTTCAAGGGCTAGCGGCTTAGAGAGTAAGGGTTCCGGACCCCTTGAAAGGAGGCAGGTTTAGGGTTTAGGGTAGTCTACTGATTCAGGATGAGCTCAGTGGTGGAGTAGATAACCTTTACCCTACTAAGGGATGCTATCACCCCGACATATTGCCCCAGGATAACCAGATCATTTAGGATACTGGACAAGTAAGCTATATAGTCGGATCCTCAAAACCTAAACCCCAAGACCCTAAAGCCTTAAGCCCTCGACCGTGTAAGACTTTAAAACCTTAAACGCTAAAACTTAAAAACCCTAAACCGTAAAAGAAACCCTAAACCTTATAACCCGAAAACCCGAAAGCCCTAATTCCGAACACCTTAAGAGCCCTAGACCCTACAACCCTGAAGCCCCAAACCCCAAAACCTTAAAGCACCGAACCCCCGAATATAGGGGCCTAAGCAATTACCTATGCTATTTTGTGGGCTCTTCATTTTATGGTATATTAATACTATAATGGGCACCAGAACCCTGTTCTAATTACGAAGGCCCCTATATCATAGGACCCCATTATAGATCCCTTATAGTATCCCTTAAAGGAACCCTCTAAAGGTAAAGGAACCCTGTGCTAATTTTTAAGGCCCCTATAGTCAACCCTAAACCCCATGATAAGCCTAGAACCTAAGACCCTAAAGCCCCAAACCCCAAAACCTTAAAGCCCCGAACCTCCCAAACCCAAGAAGCCTTAAACCCCATGGTAAACCATCCCTAAGCTTCCGCTGAGCCTCAGATCCTGGCCACGAAGCCGGCAGCGATGCAGGTCGGTCCTTCTTCCTGGACCCCAAAATGGGAGTTTCCAGAATTGGGGGGTACCTTACATGTATATACTATTATTTGGGATGCTACATTAGGGTCCCTATTTTCGGAAACCCCCAAATAGCCTACAATTTTAAGGACATGTATATGGAGTTCATAAGAGGGTACCTTGAAAAGGAAGTGCTTTTTGGCTCCTTCTTGCTCTTGGTTCGTGTTCTCGGTTTAAGGGTTTAGGGTTTAGGGTCTTCAAAGTGTTTTGGGGCTTGTAAGGGTTTAGGGTCTTATAAGGGTTTTGGGATCTATATAACATGGTTCCACAAGGTATTTATGCTGCTTGCTCGCACAACTCGCGCTTGCTTTTTTCCTTGCCCTGCAGGGTTCAGGGTTTTCGGGTGTAGGGCTTAGAGTTTGTTTGTGGGCTGAGGGTCTAAGTTGGGGGGGAGCTTCGAGAATCGATGGGGTCAATATCGAGAGGTTTTTGTGAGTAATGCGTGCTGAGTGTACTTTCAAAACTGTGTCCTTGCGACCCTAAACCCTAGGCCCTGAACCCTAAACCCTAAACCCTAACTTTTGGGGGGGTTACATTCATCGCTTTCGCGGTTTCGTTTCGAAGGAAGAGGTGCATCGGTCAGAGACCCGAAGGGAGAGTTTGGGATACCTGGAAGAATCAATATACCTTTAAAAAGGGATATGCCCCCACAAAAACTGGGTACATGTGCCTTTTCTTAAGGTACCTTGGTTACTGTAGGTAGGTGCAAGGAGCCGCTAGGGTTTAGAATGTAGGGTTCAGGGGGGCCACGCAGATTCTCTTCGAATGAGGACGTGCAGACCCCGGCTGGGTATTTTCGGCTAATTATCTAGTCTCGTGAAGATGGCTTTGAGAACTTAAGTATAGCAGTATAGCAGGTATAATGGATCTGAAACCCTACACCGTCCTGTTATGTTCACAACCTTTCGGGTGTTGAGATGCATCGGTTACTCTACTACAACACCCCATGGCCCTCCACACCCAGCTACCCCAACAGCTTCATTCATAGGGATCCTTAGGGGTGTAGGGGGAGGGGGGGTAGGGGGCCTTAAGGCCCATAATAAGGACTAGTAAGGCCTATTTAAGGAAATATAGTCCCCTACACCCCTCCCCCCTACACCCCTAAGGATCCCTATGATCACCCCAAACCCTGCAACCCAAAGCCCCAATCCCACAAACATGGCATCTTAATCACATGGGAGTTTCCGAAAATAGGGGACCCTAATTTATAGTGTCCCCTACATACTAAGATCCTTATTAAAAGGACCCCAAAGTAAGGTACCCCTAATTATCGGAAACCCCCACATAAACCTGTCATATGGTACCTGGCGCTACGTGAAAGTATTCGTTGGAAATTGCCACCACCCCATCCAAATCAACCCACCAAACCCCCAAAAGATCCAAACAACCTTGAACCCTAAACCCCCTCCACCAAAAGAATGAGCAGAGGTCCTGGCATCCGAACGGCACTTCGTTGCGGGGCAGTGTCAATGGACTTGACGACGGCCTGCGAGGACTTCTTGTTGCTTCCGTTGTATAGGTGTCTTGTTATTGTTTGTCGTGCGCGTACTAGCTAGTAGTTGTATGCTTTACGCTGTGTTGTTCTGCATGTGTGTTTGGGTGGTTGGTTGGCTGGTTGGCTGCCTGGTTGGTTGGCTGCTTGGTTGGCTGGCTGCCTGGTTGGCTGGTCGGCTGGTTGGCTGGTTGGCTAGTTGGCTGGTTGGCTGGTTGGCTGGCTGGCTGGCTGGCTGGCTGGTTGACTGCCTGGTTGGTTGGCTGCTTGGTTGCCCGGTTGGTTGCCTGGTCGGCGGCCTGGTTGGTTGCCTGGTTGGTTGTCTGGTTGGTTGCCTGGTTGGCTGCCTGGCTGCTGGCTGGCTGGCTGGCTGGGTGGGTTGGTGGGTTGGTGGGTGGGTTGGTTGGTTGGTAGGTTGGCTTTTTTGTTTGTTCGTGTGTATGCCAAAACGTAGGATCATGAGAAGGGGATTCGCTCATCAGGCCTTATATGAGTGTTACTAGTAAAGCTTACCGGGATATTGCAGGCCTAGTTTCAGATGTGTTTGGTGGGGTCATGGTTCTCGGACCCTGAAGCCATTCTGTGAGTTTTTCCTTCAAGCCCCAGATAGATGCTACGGTTGATGTGATAAATCTGCATTACCTTTATGGGAACTGATGTATATTCCTTGTTGTGGGCAGCGCAGGATTTATACCATCAACCGTACGGACCCTCGTAAGAAGTGCAGTTCGGGGGTCTGGGCTAGATCTTTGTATAGTATCATGGAACATCTTACCCTCAGCCCTGCAACCAACACCCTAAACCCTAAACTCTCATAACAGCCCAGAATTCCCAAAATCCCTCAATTAAGGAATATACTGTAAAATCATACGAGGGATCCTACTACAATTTACGGCATACTCCGTAACTTATGGAATTTTGAAAGAACTCCAAGGCCTCCTCCCTCGGGCTCTGCAGCCAGCGCAGAGAGCACATCAACAATCAAACGGCATTCCCTTAACCTGTAAAGGAATCCGTGATATCATCTAATTACAAGGTATCCTGAGTATGATGCTAAAGTATGGCGGGCATTGGAATATCGGGCTCTCTCGAAAAGCCATCAACCCCAAGCAGCAAAACACCAAAGGAGGCGGCCAACCCCATCCCGGTTGGCATCGCTGCAGCGCAGTTTGCCACCTGGGTCATGGCCTTTCTTTGGGCTTTAGGGCCCAATAAGGCTAAGGACATGTGGTTCTCTTCCCGGCTTGGTTATCTGGTAGGATTTGGGTGTTAGGGGGTGTTACAGGGCTAAAGGCTCATGTTTAGAGAAGGATCTGTTTGTTCATCAGATCGATGGAAGTGCTTTGCACCGACGTCCCATGCCTTGTAGATATGAGACTGGGGCTCTCGTCAATCGTCTTCGGGCCGAAACTACATCAGCCCCTAGAACCTTCGGACAATGTGTATATATATATATATATACCCAAAGGTTAACCATGAAGCCCGCTGAGAAGATTTTGGTGTCCTGAACCGGACGTTCTTGAGAACTATCGGAGGTTGCCTGATATGATTCAAACTATGTTCCTTGATTCAGGAATATACCTCATGCTGGATTTGGGCTTAGGGTTTAGGGTTGTCACAAGGATTCGGGTCTGGGGGTAATGGTTGTCACCAGGATTCTGCGCGTGAACATCTGTAGTTATATATATATATATATACACTTACACACACCCTAAACCCTAAACTCCAAACACGATGATTGTGTGGGGTGAGGGGTTTAGGGCTTTAGGGAAGAGGGGTTAGCTGCGATTTGGAGCGGCAAGGTTGGGAGGTGTAGTGTCTTTTACAAAAAGAAGTGGAATATGTACCGTTGTTGTAAGTTGTCTTGGTTGCTCTAGGTAGCCCCAAACCCTACACATCCTAACCGCTGAATGAGGTATGTTATCGGTATATTCCTTAAGGGAGTTTGGAAGGTCTGTGCCCTCACTTACACCCGCACACATCACGGATTGCCTTTGCCCCAGGTGCAGACGCCCCTCACCGAGGAGACGGAGCAGAGAATTCAGCTCACTAGCTGTAGAGGCCAAGCGGAATCCAAAGTGGAACGTAACTTGCGGATGCTGAAGCTTACCTTAAGAACAAATAGGTTCAGGGTTAAGGGTGATTTGCCTACCCGTTTCAGGATCTACATAACGAAATCCTTAGCAAAGGTAGGTCTTCTAGGGTTCAGGTAAACAAACCCTGCTGAGTGCCTAAGCCCTTACCCGAAAAACCGACTAACCGCAAGAACTCAGATAACCCAAATTTTTCGAAAACCCGAGACCCTGAAGCCTAGACCCTAAACCTGGTATAGTAGAGTAGATGCCCTTTAACCTTTTTGGGGTACTATATATATATATATATATATATATATATATATACTCCCAAAGGTCAACCTTTAGTTGCCCATGATACTGGACAAGTAGGTGAACGCCTAAACCCTAAACCCTAACCCAGAGGGTCCTATTATATGACTTCCGGGCCTTTTTCGGTATCACAAACCATTAAACAGCAAAAGGATTACTTGTACCCTTACGGGACCCTAAACCCGAAACCACGAAACCCTAGACCCTAAACCCTAAACCCTGCAGACGGAAAAGGGCCCTTAAAGAAAAAAAACCTAAACCCTCAAAAAAAACGGAAGAGGCACGTTGACGTGGTGGCAGTTCTTCACCACCGCGGGCAGTATCGGCCCTTATCTGGTCGTAGCCTGAGCCTTTTTGGGTGATTTAAGGTTAAGGGCTCAGGGCTTAAAGGATTGGAGTTTAGGGATTTAGGAGTTTATTAGGGTTTAGGGATTTAGGGAATTAGAGATTTGGGAGTTTAGGGTTAGGGATTTAAGGGTTTCGGGTGTAGGGTTCGGGTTTACGGATTTAGGGGTTGGGGCTTCTGTGGCAGAAATTCGGGCAGCACATGTGGGGATGACCAGTTGCAATGCCGAGAGTGCAGGGGGGTGCCCCGGCTTTTTAGCATGTGCGTTTGTGTGATAGGTGGCGATTTAAGGGATCGCTGTTGGGCGCGTATGAGCTGCAGACGGCGTGTTTGTCGGCTACCTTAAGGTTTAAACCTCAACTGTAAACGCGAATGAATCCGTGAAGATCACAGAAAACCTGCATTACCCATAGTAAGGAATTTACCATAATTCCTACAGTTTGGCGTCATTAAGGTAATGCAGGATTTATATCATCAACCGTAGTGCAAGGCATCTTGGTAGATATTGGTAGCGACAAAACCACCGCGGCAAAACCTCAGCTTATGGATTCTGAAGCCCAGGCACGCACACCCTAAAGCCCGAAAGCCCCAATGCTGAATCCTGAAACCCCTATGCAACACCCCTATCGGATCTTCTGAAGGAGCCCTACAAGACCCTTGTAGACCCTTCCCAAAGCCCACTCCCCCCAAAAACTCTGAATATGCGGACTCCTGGGAGAACCTCTAAACCCCTTTTGATGAAGGTTGGGACGATCATTTGGGTCATTGGCTGCTTGGTGCACCTCGGTCGGCAGTTTCGATCTAGGCAGGTTTTTTTCGTTCTTAGGTTAGTAGGTACAGCAAGGATCCTAGCAGTTAGGGTAGTATGCTAGGGTCCCCTATTGCGGAAATTCTCCTATAGATCCCTTCAAGGATCCCTTTAGGGAATCTTGGGTTTTCAAGGTTCAAAGGTTGGTGGGTTTACAAAGTCACAGACTTTGTCTTGGGGAGGTGGCTATATAACCACAACCCAACCCGCATAGGGGTCTATAAGGGTTACTATAAGGGATCTATAAGGGTACTATAATATAGGGGCCTTAATTATCCTATAGCTTACCTTTGGGCTTCCCGTCGGGTCTCAACATTATGAGTACAGTACATGTGCCCACAAGCCCTTCGTCGGGCGAATGAACAGTTTCATACTTTATGCCTTTTAGGGTCTAGGGTTCAGGGCGTTTAGGGTTTAGGGCTTTTAGGGGCAGGTTTAGGGTTAAGATTAGGGCTTTTAGGGTTTTTAGGGTTTAGGGTTTAAGGGCAGTTGCAGGCGAGTCGTTGACCACAACTACGAGTGAATGTTCACCAGCATCGCCTTGATTTGGGACGGCCAAATTACATATGTCACAGAGGGGCGGGAAACCCTAAACCCCTAAACCAAAACCTTAAACTCAAGGCCTTACTACCCTCTAAACGTCCTTTCTACATATCACGATGGTCAACTGATCTATCGATTCTCCAGTTCTGTTGGTTTGCGGATACGCTTACGGCGGCAGCTTCCAGCCGAACAAGCCGATTGCAACCGGCGATCTGCATTCCCCATCCGAGCTTGCCACGTATTTAAAGTGCACAAGTTGTCCAAATCTGCCATGAGCTGAAAGCTTTTCTAAGTGCCCCGCGGCCCTGAGGTATGCGGCCTACTGCGCTCCGCGCATTCCCATGATCTCGCCCGAGCTCTTCTATCAGCAGGCGGGCTTGTGTCCCAGTAGGTGAGGCTGAATATCTTAATCGCAACACCAAAAACGACAACAAATAATACTACTGCAATAACACAAATGATGATGTCAGCACCAACAATCACATGTATATCAAGAAGAAGCAGAATACTAATCGTAGTACTGGCAGCAATCGTAATGGTCAAAGCAATAACAATAACAATGCGAATATTTCTTAACATTAGGAACAATAATGAAAACCATGATAACAACATGAATAACAATTAGTTTTAGAATGAATATTAAGCACAATAATACTGGAAATAAACTGAAGCAACCAGAATACTACGAATAGAATCCTCGTAGAGTCTTAGAGTCCCTTTACCATTACACTGTGCTTTCCCGTGAACACCTGGAGCAGCGATATGATAGGTAAGCGCAGAGAAAAGCCGGCTTAAAGGATCATGGGACTCAGTAACTAGGGTTATAAGTCAGGTAAATATACTTGTAACCCCAATTAAGGTCCTTATAACCTTACTTACTAAGTCCCATGATCCTCCAAGTACATCCCAGTTCAGAGCCTTAACATTGCAGTATGATTAACGAGCAGCAACTTCCCGTAGTTCCTTCTTTACTTATCAGTATACTGGAATATGTATGCCACTTCAGCTCTGTAAACTCTGTAAGCGCATCAAATCAAAACCTCTACTTAGAGGATCATAGGACTTAGCAACTAAGGTTATAGGTAAGGCAACATTACTTACAACTACTTATAGCCCCAATGAAGGTCCTTATAACCTTGCTTACTAAGTCCCATGACCCTTCAAGTACTATTCTTTGCATTGTAACTCTGAAGGCCCAGTTGCAGCCCCAAAGCACTTGACTCTACGAGCCCGATACCTCAACCGACACGGAACCCCAAGCCCCAAAACCCGACAGCCCTAAAGCACCCACGATATTCTTTCATTCATAGGTCAATACATATCAACCATGTATAGGGCTCAGGGGTCTATCATCCACTTCATGGCGCCCCCTGAGGATAGGTTTTGGGTCTAGTCTGCAAGAGTCCCTGCTTCTCGAAGCCCCGAGATTAAAATTCATAGTTTATGATGCACAGACTTTTCAGTTTGTTGGGTTTTAGGATTAGGGTCTTTATCGCTTGGTGTTTCAGTTATTTAGATGCGTACAGTTAACGCAAAAGAGTTGTCCACAGCATTTCTCATAATTATTACACTGCCGCTCCAGCACAGTATGCGAAAAAGCCCTAGTCTTATCATTAATTAAGGCCTCTAGTATTCCACCGAAAAGGCCGCAACTTCATTCCCAGCGTTTGACTTTCAAGCAACGGCACGTCGCGATAGAACAGCCCAGCAGTAACAGTTCTACGGCGTTGCTTTATCGTGCGCACAGCAGCCTGGACCCAATCGTCTGAATCTGGAAAAGCCCTATCCGAAGACTTGTTGAAACCTCATGAAGAATATAGCTGCAAAACAAACAAGCTGCAAAGTCCAGTATACTACAGCCGGTGAAGACCCCTGCTAGACTTATCAACAACTTCGAAGCTGCGTCAGGTGCAGGCACAGATTGAGACCATCCCCGTGCCTAAAAACAGCCCGCACTACGGTCACTACAGGTGTGGATTCAGGGGGCTCAGAGCTGGCAGGCTTTGTATGGTTTTGGAGGCATTGGTGTTGTACTGATTTGCAGAGTGCTGCTGCGTTGCAAGCAGTTTGGGGTGCATGATTCAAAGTCCGAATTATCTAGTATTTTAAGGGGCCCTAAGCCGTACCCTATTTCTCCATTCATGTTCGCACTTGTCAGTCATATGGGTTCTTGTGGTGTCTCATGGCTTCGTTGCACGGACTTGCTCAGACCTTCCAAAATCCCTTACTCACGGAAGGATCCGTCTATAATATAGCGTATACTTGTTGCAATTTTGGAAGGTCTGGGTGCATGCTAAGCCCTCATATGCCGGGTCCAATATCGCGTAGCTCGGGCACTACGGTTACCCGATGCTTTTGCTTGTTTTTCTTTCCCGCGGCCTACGTGATGCAACGGAAAGCTTCTTCTGCATGCAAGCCCGAGCAACACTAGCACATGCCCAGCGCCTTCCAAATCCCGCACCGAAATCCTAAACCCTAAACCCTTAAACCCTGAACCACCGTTGCCAGGAAGTACTACTTGCAGCAGTACCAACAGCATCTCACCCAGTATCGGGAGCTCGAGGAGCAGTGGCGCCTCAACAATGGCGCGAGACTTGGTGCGAGGGTTTCAACTTTCAACTGACTAAGGCTTGTGAGGGCTTGGGTCTGGGGCTCCAATGACAAGGGTCCCAGTACCCAATAACCATATACTCTCCGAAAGACTAACCTACATAGCTACTATTCCAAAACCGAGTATCTAATTATTGGGTCCTTTGGACCCTCAGGGCAACTGTCATGTCTTTCCGGACTGCTGTCATCGCACCGCTTATGTTCAGACGCGAGGCTTGGAGATATCTTTGTCTTAGATCAGGGTCCTGTTGAGGTGTCGGTCCTTGCGAGAATCCGTGCCCTAAGTATTCCACCTTTTCGCTCAGCGCTAGTGTTCTGAGGTTCTCTTTCAGGAAGTTAGCTACATTAAGTTGCCATACTATAGGGTTCTCTAGTAAAAAGTATGGCTTCCATTTTATGTTTATGAGCTAGAAAGCATGACGAGATCCAATATCCTTCATCGTCTTTAAACTCACACTTAAAGCTTGTATGGTTTGGTAATGATCGCCACCTCATGAAAACCTAGGGGGCGGGCGTCGGTATGTTAAGTTCCAGCAGGAGTTTCCATTGAGAGTTCCTAGTAGGATATGTCTGTGCTATTTGGGCAATGGTTGAGAGTATGGCCAGAGCAAGTCTTACACCTTTTGATCGCGAAATCGCGAGAATTCCAGCATCAACTGCACCGTAGCTTCCCGGTATACTGCACCTAAAACCCCAAGGCCTACCTTGCCTCCAAAAAAGCCCTGCCTTTTTCAGGCTCCTTGCCACTATTTCTTTGTTTGTTCCTTGAAAAAGGTAGGGTTTCAAGGGTCCAGATAAACTATCAACCCGAGACCCCTAAACCCCTAAACCCGGAACCCGATCCAGACCCTGAGTTCCAAATTATTCGAGTCTTCGCCCTAAGTCCGCGAGACTCTTGAGCCTTAAATCCTTGTCACTGAATGTAAACTCCTAATGAAGGACCCTAATCCCTGAAAGTCCATGTACCCATATAGCATAGACTTTGGGCCCAATGTACCTATATAGGGAGTACTTTAAGGCCAATGTATATACTATGTGATTACACGCCCTAGTATTAGGAACCCTAAACCCTCAATCCAAAACCTCCTCTGACTCTGAATCTCGACAGGCCCGATGTTTCATTGGGGAATCCTTCTGCAGGCCCCTCCCGTCAGGGAGTGTTGCTTTAGGGTTTAGGGATAGGGTTTAGGGCTTAGCGATCAGGCTTTTGGGCCCGTAGTCATAGTCATCGCAGTATGTACAAAACCGTGACCTTACAAAAACCCTAACATCCCTAAGGAAACCGTAAGCCTACATAAACCCTAACATCCCTAAGGTCGTCGCCCCTGCTTTTCTGCTATCGGGCTTTGCAAAGCAACGCAACGCAAACCTCTGACCTTTGTCATAGTTGGGTAACATTTTGCATTTCTATGCGTACTTAAACCCAATAAGGAATAAAAATGTAAATTTTTAATCCTCTCCCAACCATGAACTAGTGACCCCTAGAGGAGTGGAGCCCGAAACCTGCAGGAAACACAAGATGGGAGGTTCCGAAAATGAGGGCTACTCTTTACAGGGATCTATGTGGGTCCCTTTAAGGGTTCGGGATCTATAGGGTTTTGGGAGTTTCCGAGAATGAGGGGTAATCTCATTTTGGGGTCCTTTTAATGAGGATCCTACTATTTAGGGTACTACATGTGGATCCCCTGTTTTCGGAAACTCCCAATATATATATAGCCTTTAACAGCAAGGCATCAAATGATCAGGGCCCGGTGTCTCCTTGTCTCGCGACCCTGCACATCGACATCTGTTGAAATCCAGCCTTGCTTGTGCAATCCCTGCAAGTTGCTGAAGTACTGAGGCCCTCACCTTAAAGGCTGACTCTCTGAGCCCTCAACCCTAAATTCAGCCTTTCGACAAGGATCTTATAAGCCCTCAACGTCCCTCAACCCTGAAGCTGGATATTGTAGTACCTTGACATACTTAAAACTGATTAGTCATGCACACACTCACACGCTAAAGCCAGGCCTAGTTTCAAATAAGGGTGAACGCCTAACCACTTCAATCCCAAACCGACAGCTCTGAATCGGAAGCCAATCTGAGACTGCCTTTCCCTTGCTCTTCAGGGACTGGGAATCGGTACCTGGATCATCGTCGTAGTGCTCGGCATCTGTGAATACCAGTATCTTGGGGCATGAGTTTCCGATTTTGTTGAATAATCTACTAGGGCTCCCTGAGGCCGAGACTCCAACAGAACCCGAATGCTAATAAACGATCCGTAAACTTCCTAAGCTTTAATTCTAAAGCAGCAACTTGGCTTCGGGATTTGAGGTGGTAGGTGAACTTGTATGGCCTTCATGCGGACATGTGCGTGCATTCACTGCCGTTGTCCCTGCGTTTAGTCATAAATCGAGCCGGAAGCTCCGTCTGTTTCACTTTTTTCAGAGAGGTAGGCCTTTAGGTGTACATGTGTTTCAATATCTTCGTAGCTGAGTAGGTAACCTTTAACCTATTGGGGGTGTACATATTTCTACCGTATTTGCAAAGTTTAGCCTCGTTTGGGCTAGGCTACACAGTCCCTAAGATATGATGCCAAGTATGCACAACTAGCATATCTATACCGTGCGTTGTTCTCGGGTCCACAATATGATCTTTGGTGCGTCAGCGTGTTTGGCTTCACCGCGGAGGTAAATAATGTTGGAGTCTCTGGCAACCCTAAACCCTAAACAGTGATTTAAGCTCTTCCTTCGTTCTGCTCAGAGCTTGTGCCTTCGTTGGCCAATCTTGGCTGACATTCGCAGAGCCTTCTTAGCCTATACATGGGCTCCAGGGTTGTCTCTGAAAGGTACTCTATATATTAGGGACCCAAAAAGCACATAAGCATAAGCCTTTAGGCTTCATTATAATGGGATTTATGTGGGATATGCCTATCGTTGTTTTTGCTTATGTGCTTTTTTGTGGAACTATTATAAAGGATGATTTGGGAGCACTCAGGTACCAAACAGTCACCATGTGGATGGAGATGTTGGAGGACCCGGCATGTCGGGCCAGCATCACGACTTGTACAGCAGGGAGCATACTGAAACCGCTTTGGAAAATCAGCCAGGCAGCTAAGCACCTGCACCATCAGCACACGGTCTAAGTGATTTTGACTTTCTGGCAGTGTGGCAACCTTCTCAAAGGTACTAGTGTTTCGATGAACACCTGGGCCCCAGATTTCTTATAACCTGGTTTGGGATTTAATTTGAGTGTAGGGTTTAGCGCCTTTCGTTAAGTTTAGATCTTAGGGGTCTGTGTTTAGGGCGTCTGACTGCTTCATCGTCATCGGGTTTGGATCACCACTGGCACCTGTTTGGAACTGCGAGGACCGATGGAAGGCCTGGCGACACAGGCCTTGCTCGGGATCCAAAAACCTACTGTTTTGGGGGTTGGACTAGTATTAGTATTAGTAGCATTAGCACTACAGTACTATTAGTATTAGTATGAGAATTAGTAATAGTATTAGTATTCGTATTCGTGACCCCCTAATTAAAGCGGTCATAACCTACTAGTTTGTAGAGTTTAGGGATACAGGTGACAGATCAAGATTAACACTCTTTCCTTGTAGTCCCTGAATTATCATACTGTAATATACACAACCCTATCCAATGTTGTCAGGCCCCTAAATTGGGCAACAGGGGGGGTGGGAGTATTTTGTAATCGCCTTGACACTAAACCCGAGAACCGCGCGGTGACCCCAAACCCTACAACCCTAAACCGCTAAACCCTACAACCCTGAACCCCTAAATCCCACAACCCTAATCCTACAGCCCCTAAACCAGTAAACCTCCAACCCCTAAACGCCCTAAACCCGTAAACCCCACAACCCAAATCCCCAACCCTACAGCCCTTAAATTAAACCACTAAACCCTACAACCCTAAACCCTAAAACCCTAAAAACCCACAACACTACAACCCTACACCCTAACTCTACAGCCCTTTAACTAGTAAACCACTAAACCCACAAATGCCGCACACTAGAAGCGCACTAAACTTACCTTTGGTTAGTAGGGATTGGAGGAAGGGGGTATAAGAATAACCACTATTACGACGATTCTTCCATTCCCTACTAACCAAAGGTAAGTAGAAGCTTCGGCCAGGTCGGAGGAGGCCGATGGAGGCCAGAACTGAGTTTTCTTTGGGGTTTTAGGGTTGAGGGCTTAGGCTTCAGGGTTTTAGGGTTGAGGATTTCGGGTTTCAGGGTTGCAGGGTTTATAGTGAACCCCAGAAAGTTGGAACATGGATTTAGGAGGATCAGTGCTAGGATTCCCTATACTTTGCTTTTAAAGGCATGAGGCGAATGATGTTCCAACTTTCTGGCTTCTACTGTAGGGGGTTTAGGAAATTTGGGTTTCAGGGTTGAGGATTTAGGGTTCAGGGTTTTAGGGTTTAGGAATTGTAGGGTTTAGGGGATTTAGGAAATTTAGGGTTCAGGGTTTTAGGGCTTAGGGGATTCAGGAAATTTTGGGTTGAGGGTTCCAGGGTTCAGGGGGTTTGGGATTTCGGGTTGAGAGTTCAATAAGTATCCTAGGGCCAAAAATTTGGGTCTTCGGTTTGAAAGTTCAGTGTTCTAGGTTTATATAAGCGTGTTAAGGGATAAGGCCAGGAAAGGCCCGTGGGCAATGCAAGAGCAATTTACCCTGAACGCCCTATCTGAGGGCCTCTACACGGCCCCTCCCAAAAAAGACACATAAGCGAAATGGGGATAGGGATTTCCCATACACATGCCATTAGCATTAGAATGTCCTGATAAAAATGCCAATTCTTAGGTCCTTCTGGGGTTCCCTACTAAGCTTTAAACCCTGCAACATCCCATAAGACCTTAATAACCAAATGCATTATGTAAGCAGGTATGCAAGTTGGGAGGTAGGTAGGTCGGTGTGTGTGTATATATATATATACACACACACGTACATACATAGACACACACGCACATATACCTGCAGCCCATAAGTCCCTAATCTGCCATGCCAAAACCTACCTAAACCACAAACACTCCGGACTCCACCCTAAACTCTGAAACCTCAAACCCGACCACCTCCACCCCCTTGAACCCCCAACCCTAAACCCAAACTCCTCAACCCTGAACCCCAAATCTGAAGCTTACCCTAAGGGTCCATGTACTCACATAGTATATACATTGGCCTTAAAGTACTCCCTACATAGGTACATTAGGCCCAAAGTCTATGCTATATGGGTACATGGACCCTTGGGGCTACATCCTCAACCTTAAACCCGAGACCCTAAATCCTCGACCTTGCACCCGAAACCCTACGCCCCCGACCTGAAGGCAAGAAGAGGAAAGGTGGAGCCAAGCCGGGACCCCCAATGCTCAAAGAGGTCGAGGGTCGACAGTTTCGGAATTTTGAGGGCCGAACACTCCAGATTAGGGTTCAGGGTTTAGGGGTGGTTCTACTAGGGTTTCGATGGGGTTCTACCATGCTTGTTGTTCTTGGGATTTTGGGCCTTCTTGGGGGCCCCTATCAGTTACAGCAGGGATCCTTCGGTTTAGAGTTTGTGCTTGGCAAATTTTGCGGTTAGGGTTTGCTTTTTCCTGCGTAGTGGCCCGGTAGGCAGCTTTTTGCCTCGGGCTTAGGTTGCCAGGTTTGGCCTCGGACTTTGGAGTTTAAGGTTTAGAGTTCAGGGTTTATTTTTTCCAATATCACGAGCATTGGATAGTTGTCTTCGTTGGCACCTGCCCTATCCAAGCTCCAGGTGCCCCTTGCAACTGAAATGCAAGTCGTGTCTTATCCCTTTGCAATCAGAGTAGCATTGGCGGGGGTGAGTTCTGTTGACCTTACGTCCTATGTAAACCCTTGCAACCCTACGCCCTAAACCGTTGCAACCCGACACCCTAAGCCCTAAATCCTGAAGACTGAAGGGCGGCCAAAGAGAAGAAGATGCTCGTGAAGGAGGAGCCCTCAGTCAAGGACTGGGGTCATTGTTAAGGATTTTGTTTAAGTTATCATAACGGGGATCTCTTTACTTTTTAGATAATATGGTGTTTGTTTATGATGGAAACTTAAAATAAGTTCCCGGCTACGACGGGTGTTGTGTCTGTTAAGCTGGGTTTTGTTTAGGGTTTAGGGTTTGGTGTTTTTCTTGGCATTTGGGCTTAAGGCCAGTTTAGTGTTACGTGCATGGTGGTTGCTGCTATGAAATGCTGACGGCGATTATGATTGTCTGTTCTTGATGTCTATGTTTTCTATCCATGTCTATTCACTGAAGTGCATGACTACGCTGTTATCCCTAAGGCTGTTTTGGGGGATTCGGGTAGGATCAAGATGAAGCACGGTGTAGTTCTATAGATCGTAAAGCATGCCTAGATCCAGGGTAGTACAGCCTATTTTGGATATGTAACGGTTGTGGCTCAGCACCGAAAAAAGAAACCATTGTACGTCAACAGAATTTTACACTACGACGTCTCGGTTTATTCAATTGAGCCCAGCAGCAAGCCCTCCAAGCCTTGCGAAAAAAAGCATGTGCAACCCCTGCCGATCCTTGCGCAGCAAGTTTGTCAAGAAACAATATCCCTATGCACCGTGAACCACCCAAATCCCTGACGGACCGACAAACTCAAATATCCAGATCGAACCTGCAAACTTTGAACCCTGAAATCTAAAGCCCTAGAAACACGCTTCAAAGTCCTACAACCACCTGTATAAGTCGTACAAACATCCGATAGAAATATTTCAGAGACCTTACTTGTATTCCAAGACGTCTGGATCCGCCGGAGCCTCTCTCACAGTCCACTAAGGTTTAGGGTTTAGGGATTTCAGGTTTAGGGCACTGGGTATTGATTGGGGACATTCGTTCATGCTCCCGCATTGTTTTCATATGGGTGGTTGTCAAAATTAGGGTCCCACTTTGGGTCCTTATTATAATATGGCACCTAATATTTAGGGTACCCAAAAAGGGACCCAAATTTTGACAACTACAATATATAGCCCCAAGTACAATTACTTTGGGGGAGTTCTACCCTAAACCCTAAACCCAAACCCGACACACAGTCGATGTTCAGGAGAAGGTCCCCGAGAAACTGCAGCCGCCCCCAGAGGTGCCCCCTGCGGTTTCCATGCGACCGTAGAGTTCAGGGCCAACGGTGTTTCCTAAGGGTCCATGTACAAATATGGTCCCCTTTGAGGTCCCAAATATAGTACGGCACCGAATATTTAGAGTACCCAAAAAGGGACCCTAATTTTGACAAGTACCCAAATGGTATATACTTTGGCCCCACAGTACCTATATAGGAATTACTTTAAGGCCAAAGTATGTGCTATTTGAGTACATCGACCCTTAGTCGTTTTTATTGGCAAGTAACTCGGAGTAGCCGATTTCGTTAAGAGCAGGGTTGACGTGTGCATGGTTATAGGCCTTCTATTGTGTTTCAAGTCGCGAGCTTCCCACCCAGAGCCTCCCAGAGCTTCTAAGTAAACATGGCTTTGGTTTCTTGTTTTGGGGTTTTAGGGGGTTTAGGTTTAGGGTTCAGGGAGGAACATACCTCGACACATACTCGGGAGCTGCGACAGGATCCCTCCGGACGTGAAGGTACATGCACTGCCTGATCAGAGGATTTCTTTGTCTCTGCGCACATCGTGCGGGTTGCTTGTTCTTATGCTCCAATAGTGTAGTCAAATCGCAGTAACCTACTGCACATGTCCGAACATTTGGTACGTGGTGCTATTATCCCCGTCGCTATATACTGCTAGTACAAGAATGCGCCCTAAACCCCAAATCCTGCAAGCCCCAAGCTGAATCCCTACATAATTCTCGCGGTTTAGCCCTTCCAAGCCTTCACAACCCACCCTATACCTCTTCCAAGCCTTCGCCACCCACAGGTGCCAAGCGCCCCGCGCAAAAAGAAGCGGCAGGCCCTTTGGCCGAAGCTTCATGGTTTCAGCTTTACGGGAGGCTTCTTAACCCAAAGGGTCCAAAGTACCTGTATTAGTAGACTGTAGGGTTTCTATATTAGGAATTGGTAGTATGAGTTGGGGAAGTATCTCCCACAACAGTACCTAGGACCCTTTGGGTAATTATTTCCCGATAGAGGCTTTGCACTTGGCCATGCGATGCTTTGCACACTTGCTTATGTGAGAAGTGCCATCGTTCTACATCCACACAGTGGGCTGGGCTAAGAGCCTACATCACCAAAGAGAGTTCAGTGTTCTCACAAGCGCTTTTACGTAAAGCAACTACAACGGGTATACAACACTGCAAAACCCCGAAACCCATGAATCCCGGCACCTTGTGTGATCTCCTGTGAGCTCGGTCCCCAGAGTTCGAATCATCTAAGCCATTTCCGCTTCAAAAGCTTGGGGGTACGAGCCTTTGATTTGAAAAGGACCTGACCAACTCATGGCGTTCTTGCCGGGACCTTTCACCGTTAGGGTTGCTTTAGGGCCTGTAGTCATTGCAAGACCAGGGTAATTTACCTGCCTCGTAGCAAAGCAGCCTAAATCCTACCTGAAGTAATCCCCAACCCTAAACCCCCGCCCACTCATTCTAGAACCCCCATAGAAACCTTGTAGAACCCTTCAAAGACCCCAGCATCTCCTGTTTCTGAGGCTCCTGGAAAGGGAGAAAAGGAGGCTCTGCACCCTTTCCATACGTTTCGAAACGGTTTAGGGTTTAGTGCGTATTTAGGGCTAAGGGTTTAGGGAGCGAAAAACTGCAGCTTGCCGATATCAAGCCCTAGAGCACGAAACCTAAGCCCGGAATTCGGGAATGAGATCGACATTACTTGCTCGGGGTTTAGAGCTTCGGGTTTAGGAGTGTCTATGATTTTGGGGCCTATAGATTGTAATCCAAATTAGGCTACATAATACCGTTTCCGCATTTGGAATCGTAGGGCTGCGGAGCCCCCTTCATCCGCTCAAACACCCTCTCTCCCTCCCTTAGGGAAAGAGCCTTAAACGGCTTGGTAGGGTTTAGGGTTTACGATTGATAATCCTACCACGAGAAGCAAGGCTCGCTCGCCTTTTCCGGGAGAGTGTACGCAGGTATGCAGCACGCAAGTTAGGGCATGCATTGGGTACTGCGCCCACTCAGCAATAGTTGGATAATTTTCATAACATGGCTATAGTAGGACCTTAGTAGTAGCCGTTACTGCATGGTTGGGGCAGTACCCAAGGCATGTATCTCTCATCGTCCCATGAATGCTCCCTGTTGATGCAAATAAGCTTGAGAAAGTTCAGGTTATGTTTTTTGCGAAGGTCTTCCCAAAGGGTCCTATGTACCGATATAGTAGAATGTAGGGTTTCCTTTGAATTTTTCGGTCTTACTGTTATGACTTAGGGAAGTATTCCCCGTAACAGTACATAGGACCCTTTGGGCCTATACACCCCGAGCCTGAACCTTGCAACCTGAACCCAAATTCTGCAAGTAAGCCCGGAGCTTCACTGAGAGACCTGCTTCGAAAAGAGCCTGGCTATTAACTCCTCGAGTTCTTATGGGCGGCACTCCTGACTCCAGTCAACGACTACCTTTGTTGCGTGTTTTCCTGCATAGATTGGCAGAGACCTCGGGACGCTTCGGGACTGTTTATACTGTATGATGCTTTATGAGGTGACGTTGATGTGTATCTGGAGCTCTCGTAACAGGCCGTCTTACTGTCTCCTCCTAGTAGGAGCTCTACGACTAGTGGTACTTCTGCTCTGCTAGTTGAAAAGAGCCCTCAAAAAAATAGACCTTGAGATGGTTTATGTATAACCAAGGATAGGACCAGTTAAGTTGTGAAAGACCTTATGGTGCGACCCTATGTAACCATATAAAGTGTGCGTAGACACCTATGAAGACCTCGAAGTTCGAACCATTATTGCCTCTGTATTCATGCCGGATGAAGCTCGTTTAAAACTCTCGAGACCCCAATAAAAAAAGAGCAAAGAACTCATGAGCATGGCCCTGGATCACATTTAGCACCGATGTCCGTGGCAGGAAACGCAAAGCCAACCCGAGGAGCAGGGAAGGCCAGGTCATGTTGTACTCAGTCTTACAGAGGGGTAGCCTTCTGGGCTGGGTTTACCAAGAGCTCTTCAAAAGAGTATGATACTTAGTAATGGGTATTCAGGGTGTGGAATGGAAGTTTGGGAGGGTTCAGGGTTTATTCATCTTTACCGGGGATCCTTGCGGGTCGGTGCCCAACGTTGCTCTTGAGTGGTGTATTTTTTCATAAACGGCGGTCCATGGAGAGGTTTTAGGCTGTCGACCAAGGGGAGGTACCTCGAGCCCGGACCACGTTGTCGCATCTTAGCACGTTCTGTTAAGGGTGTCGGTGGTGAAGCCTGAAGACGTAGGGTTTGCGTTGCGTGGAGGTGAGGGTTAAGATTTAAGATAGTTTTTGGGGGGCATCATGCTTTGGGGTGGGGTGGGATGGGACATGACATGATTCCAAACAGGCGAGCTAAATCCTCCAACTCTACACGGTTTGGGGTTTCGGCTTCAGGTTGTTCTAGGGTTCCCTAAACCCTAGACCCCTTAACCTAAACCCTAAACCCTCTTGACCCCAAAGCCTGGGGGTGCTGCAACTGTTCCCAGGGCGGCCACCGCACCGGAAGGCAAAGCCCAGGCAGAGAGCGGGTAGAAGCCACCATCTTTTGAATTGATCTGTAAGCTTTTTTTCTAGCTGAGTAGATAACCTTTGTCCTTTGGGGGGTTATATAATCTTACCATATCACTTTTTGCATTTTGGGCCAGGGTAGTCAACCCCTAAGTAAGGGTTCTGTCCGGGTTTGGGGTTGATTAGTATAGAAGCCTGAATAGCTATCAAGAGTGCTCCTCAGAGCATCGCAAATCATACCAGTATACTTCAAGATACCGCAAAAGCCTGGTTCCAGTGATTAGAGGGCCCCTACATTATCTACGGGGGTTTGGGATTTTTCGAGGTTTCGGGCTGCGGGCTTCAATCCTTCAATCCTGAACGATTATATACTGCCGCAGCCCAAAACCCTAAACGCAAAGACGCCAGATGGAGAACTCCGAACCCCAAATCACCAAAAGCCTAGATTAAATGTTGGAAATAATGCCCCAAACCCCAGGAGCCCAGCTACCTGCGTGGTGGGTTAGCGGGTTGTAGTAACTGGGCCCTTACGCAAAAGTAGTCCTAGGAAGCCTAGTCCCCACAAAATCTTAATCCCACAGCAAAACCCCAAACCCTAAGCCCCCCAACCACTCAAACTAGACACCGCAGGAGCCCTTGATGGACCCTTGCCGGCAATAAAGCCTGAGCCCTAAACCCCTAAACGCCAAACACCTACATGTTCAAACCTCCAGATCCTACACCCCAAATCCTACACCCGTAACCTTTAAAGGCACCCTTATAGACCCTTAAAGGACCACTGACAGAACCCGATTATGGTAACCGGAACCTTGAACCATAAACCCTTACAGGCAACCACAAGATGCCTTTGCCAGGGCTTCTCCAGCTTCTTCGGATGGTTTTCCTGGCGAAGATCTTCCTCGGAGGTGGTATGCACGTTACTCTGTGGGATCTTCTCGAGGAGGGGCCATAGTGATTCGAATAGGGTTCATTTAAGGTTCCTTCAAAAGGGTTTGGGGTTTAGGGCTCCTCTATGAGATTTACAAGGGCCTTTTGTTGGAAAAGTTGCTTGAAGGGCTTGGAAGAGAATTTTCAGGTTCATCAGAAGTTGTAGAACTCTGAATCGTCAGCCATTAGCCCACCCCCCCACCCGAAAACAGTCGCATAAACCTCAGACACCCCAGGAGACCCAGATCCCTGAAGTGCACAGCGCCAAGAAGCGGCGCAACACAATGTCTGCAGCCTGCAACCATAATAGTAGGATCTATGGTAATGTTGGACATAATGAAGATAACTTGATTTGGAAGTAGTACACACAATATTCATGATGGTGGTGGCAGGATGGCAGTGATTGCAACAACCCCTTTGACTTATATTATCTAAACCTTGTTCGCTCAACCAAGCTCTAGAAACCAGGAGCCCTGAGCCTGAAGGCTTCGAAAGCACTAAAGCCTTGAGAAACTTCGGTAAGACCAGGCCCATAGGACCCGAAAGCTTGTACCCTAAACCCCTCGACGCTGCGCGCTAGGAATCTATAGACCTAGAGCCTACACCCCTTTTGGGACACTAAGCTCTAGAACTTAAGCCATACCACAGCTGCATCCAGGGGTCGACGGAAGAAGTGAAGCCCAAAGAGGTGGGACACCGGGGTCTCCAGGCTCAGGATTGAGGGGAGGGGTTTAGGATTCCGGCTGTAGGATTCAAGTTTGATGGCTGTAGGGCTTTAGGTTTATAGGGTTTTCTACGGGTCCTTAAGGTTTGCGGTCCAAGGTTTCATCAGGTTTAAGGTCTACCTCAACCCCAAGTAACCTACTTTTTGAAGGACTTATAGAAATGGATCATAATAAGGATCCCTAGCAAGGTTGGTTTTACGGGGTTCAGGCCTTTCTTTTGGACTTATAGAAAGAAATCATCATAAGGATCCCTAACAAGGTTGGGTTTACAGGGTTCAGGCCTTTTTTGTATTTATAGAAAGAAGAAATAATAATAAGGAGCCCTAAAACGGGTAGGTTTTGGTAGGTTTTATAGACTCAGGGCTGAAGCAGCTTTGGGGTTAGGCTGAAGGCTCCTAAGGGGTGTTTTCGGGTGTCAGGGTTTAGGGGGGTCAGGGTTTGGGGTGTTTAGGGTTTAGGGGGTTTAGGGTTTAGGGGGCTTAGGGGGTTTACAGTAGAGGCCCAAAAGTTGGAAACCCCATAGCCTCAATCCTTAAGAGTAATGTACAAGGGGAAATTCAGCGCTAATTGTCCTTAATCCGGTTTCCAACTTTATGGGGTGTACTGTAGATTGCAGGGTTGTAGAACTGATTGAGGCATCTGTGCCCTCTAACCGCTCTGCTTCGGCCCGCGGGATTTGTCAGCCCCCTTCCGCGAACAAGCTTCAGAGCAGACCTAGGACCATAATATAGGGACTGTAACAATTACCTCTACTTTTATTGGTGTTTCCGTATTAGAGTTTTTTGTATAATGGGCCCCAAAATCCCTGTTCTAATTATAAAGGCCTCTACATCATATCGAGCCTTGAGGATCAAAGTATCGAGGTCCTTACTTGGAGGATCATGGGACTTAGTATGTGAGGTTATAGTTATAAGTATAGTCACCTTACCTACAACCCTAGTTACTAAGTCCCATGATCTTTCAAGTAGGGAGGGGATCTAAGAATTTCAGGGTCGGCATTGAGTTGTGACCTCTTGGTCTTCGAGTTTAAGTGTTTGTTTTGGGTGCTGGGGCAGTGAGATGTGGAGGTTCAGGGGACCTGTAATTACAAGTCCTGTCTTTTTGCAGCGATGCAACTTTTAGCGAATGTCCGGGGCCGTGCAGGTACTTCCGGTTCAAGTATCCACTTCCTTGGGGATCAAAATAGCCTAAAGGCCTGATAAAGTATGGTCTTTGGGCCCAAAGCCTTAATTTTTGAGTCCTTACAGGCTTAGGGCCGTCTTGCCCTTGATCTTCCGGTAGTTCTGAGCCTTTCTGTCCAGAACATCTTCGCCTTGCTGGAGAAGCATGGCATCATGGCCAGCTTGCAGCCTCATTTTATAGCCTTAAGATACCCTTAAAGGGAGCCCAAGTATGGAACCCTATAGTATCCCTTAAAGGAGCCTAGCTCCTGCATGTGAAGTGCATCGTTAGAGTCGGGATGTGGGTTGTACCCACCCGGCCGGCATTCGGTATCAACTAATTGTAGCGACACGGCCTTAATTCCTTATTATCAATAGAGTATAACCCAATACCCTATTCCAAGTATTAAGGCCCCTACATTATATCGATTTCGCCCGGTTCTCTCTTGAATTATGCCCCATTCCGAGAAGACTGAAGTCAAACAGAACCGCCCAGAAATTAGGAAGCGGAGCCGGCTGCCGAAAGTAGGAGGTTGCAAGGGTTGCAGCAAAAGCTGCGAGCTGCGCTCTTCAGCGAAATAGAGGGCCCTTTACATGACTGCTAACACTTATTTCTGGACACTTGTAGCCCTCAGCCCTTAAACACAAAGCTCCCTAAATACGAAGCTCCCCCTAAACCCTAAACCCCCAAGCCCTGAAAGAAGGACGCAACCCCTCAACCCCCCGACCCCTGAAGCCCTAGACCTGTCAAACCCAACCTATAGAGCCCTAAGCCCTCAACCCGCAAACCCCTCAATCCTAAACCCCCAGATCCCAAAACCTAGACCCCTAAACTCTCAACACGCAAAACCCTGACACCCTACGGCTCTGCCAGGCTGAGGGTGGCTCCGACATGCCCAAGCCCGGTGGCGTGCCTCAGAAAACGGGGTTTATAAGTGTAGGGTGTCTGGTTCAGAGTTTAGAGAGTTTAGGTGGTGGCTTTACAAGGTTCTTTTGGTTAATGAGGCTCTTGTCGGGCTGTACAACGGTTGAGTGTTTGCAAGGGTGTGGCAGGGGTTGCTTTAAATGTGGATGCGCGGCCTTTCGTGCCTCTCAAGAACATTGGGTTAGGTGTGAGTTTGCAACTTGAGATTCAAGGCTTGAGGGTTGAGAGTTCAGAGTCGTTGGGGCTGATCATGAATCCCTAGCCATGGTGTTCGTGGTAGATCCTTATTATGATACCCCAGGCTTTCGGAAGTACAGTATATTCCTTGTTCTGGCATCCTGGTATCCTGACCACAACCCTGAACCAAAACCCTAGACCCAAAACCTCTGAACATCTAAGGGATCCGTTATGGGAAAGTAGGATTTGAGACGCTGTGCTTAGCTGGCCGGGAGTCAAAACATTTTTGAACATGCGGAAGAATCCTTGCGTGAATTATGTCAGGTTTCTTGCAACAGCCAGTTTCTCAATGACCCTTATGATCATGTTTATTCGGTTTGGCAATTTGCTTCTGGCTTGAATTTATACTTTTCTATCTTGGAAGTCCATCAGACGTCTTAGCATGGTTCCCGTGTCAATATCTTCATGTATATTCTGTAGTGAAGCGGTACTGGGCTCTGTGTGGATGCCCCCTGTGGGTCCTGTGATAGCAAGAGGGTGCCACCGAGTCTGTTGGCAGTGGCTGGCAGCGGCTGGTGGGCGTAGCCATGTCCCCTCGACGCCCTTTCGCGGAGAGGGCTGAGGAGCAAACCCGGCACATGCCATCCACCCTGCACTCAGCAGTTCCAGGTATAGGCCGCAGATTGCGCTGCTTCCGCATTTGTCTCGGGGAGCTAGGCAATGCCCGGGGCTATGTGGAGTGGCTCGAGCGTTCCGGCCTGCTGTGCGAGTTCGACACAGCTCTGAACCTCGACATTCTTTGCTATGGCTCGTTACGGTTCGACTTGGCTTGTGGTGTCACTCAAGTTGGTGGCTGAGATGGCGCTGGCCAGGGCGCGGTTGGCCCGAAACTTCACTGGTAACATGGCATGTCACGGGCCCATCCCATCAAGGACCAGGATGTGACAAACATCACATTGCCTATCTATCTGGCAAAAATACCTACAGTCTCCATTGTACTTCCTTTTTTGGGTTAACCAACTATATAATTAGGATCCTATAAGGTAACCCCAATGAGGAACTACAGTGGAGCCTATAGGTATTTTTGAGATCAGTCAGGCAGCCGTTGCCGAAGCGAACGCTCAGGAGTCAAGTTCCTTTGCCGCCGGCTGTGCGCTCATGCAGGTGGCAAGCAAATGGGGGTCTCCGAAAACTAGGGGTACCTTATATTGGGGTCCTTATAATATGAATCCTAATATTTAAGGTATTATATTAGGGTCCCTACTTTTCGGAAACTCCCAAATGGCAATTTGGCGAGAGATAGTTGTTGTCAGCCTTCACGTACATAAACCATCATACACCTCATCCGCGAACCTATGTACTACGTTATAAGTGCATCTTGGAACCCTCGCAGGGCTTGCCTCAACCCCAAAGCTTAAAACCCTGAATCATCGTTCCCAAATCCGAAAGCTGAACCCGAACCTCAACACCTAAATGCCTCTTCTTCCGAACCCCAAACCCTCAACCATGGCTTGGCCCTAGCAGGACTATTGAGTTTCAGAGTCAACGGCTTCCTTTCAGGGGTCTTTCAGGTACCCTACCCTGAACCCCAAAGCGCTATGATCAAAGAAGTAAAGCCCTAGCAAACGCTCTTTCAGAACACCATCAACCCTGTAGAGCCCTAAACCCTACGATCTATATACCCTAAAGCCCTAAAGCCTAAACTGCACTGAAAATGTTGGTTTGCAGGAGAGGTACCACCGACGGCAGAGGCCGAAGATATGGGGTTTGTGCATCTAGGTGTTGCTGTTCAGGGTTTACTGTCGTCGGGAGTCTTTGGAAAGCAAGTATATGTGCCTGCATCACCCTGGATTCTCCCCGTCTGCAATATAGGCGCCATAATAACGTTTTATCGGCGTGCATAAAGCTTTGCTATCTAGGGCTGGGCTTGGAGCTATGTTATTGTCGTTGTGTTGTTACGTCTATGGGAAATAAAGTGCATAGTACTGCTACTTTATGTCTATGTATACCCAAACGATCCCTGAACCCTCCTGCGATGACTCGGGCGTTCGTTTCGTTTCGGGTTTCCCCAAGAAGCCACATACCTCTTCTCGGAGTGATGGTACTGCTTCTGGACCGAATCCTACAGATCCTAAAACCCTTACCCAGACCCCCAAAAGTAGGTAAAATAATGGCCCAAAAGTATAGAAGGCTGTTGTTCTACATACTTTTGGGATTCAGGTAACCGAAAGCCAAGCCAATACACCCTAAAAGCAGCGCCCAGAAAAGACTCCCACGTTTTGATATGCCCGAGCCGTCAGGATACCGGAGTCTCCGTCAGCAAGGCGGGTCGGAGTTTAATGTATTCTGCGAGTCATGTTTAAATCATAGAGTTTAGGAGTTTCGGATTCTACTTCTGGTATAACAAACCCCAAAATCATATTCCACTCGCTCAGGCATGTATGGTATTGGCTTTTGTGTGTGTGTGTGTGTGTGTGTGTGTGTGTGTGTGTGTGTGTGTGTGTGTGTGTGTGTGTGTGTGTGTGTGTGTGTGTGTGTGTGTGTGTGTGTGTGTGTGTGTGTGTGTGTGTGTGTGTGCGTGGGTGTGTGTGTGTGTGTGTGTGTGTGTGTGTGTGTGTGTGTGTGTGTGTGTGTGTGTGTGTGTGTGTGTGTGTGTGTGTGTGTGTGTGTGTGTGTGTGTGTGTGTGTGTGTGTGTGTGTGTGTGTGTGTGTGTGTTGTGTTGTGTGTGTGTGTGTGTGTTGTGTTGTGTGTGTGTGTGTGTGTGTGTGTGTGTGTGTGTGTGTGTGTGTGTGTGTGTGTGTGTGTGTGTGTGTGTGTGTGTGTGTGTGTGTGTGTGTTTGAGCCCTGTGTTGCTTGGCATCCCAAGTTTCGACACATCCAGCACCAACGCAGACCTCGTGTGGATAGGCCCATCTGTAAGTACTTGAACATTCGGATTTGTGAATCATCGGCATGTCACCATGGTTTCATGGGGTTTGAGCAGCCGTGATCGTTAGCATAGTCACTTTTTGTCATTACCTCTTAAATTCTGCTTGACCACGTATTTTATCAGTATTGGTTCCTGGCCATATTCTTGCACTAAAAGATGCTACAATGCAGAGACTTGGAATCCCGCAAACTCCTTGTCCCTGCTCTTCGACCAGAAGCCCCAAGAGCTCGAAGAAGCGTCGCGGGTCGGCTTAAAGAGGTCCTATCAACCATACAAAGCCCGAAGAAAGACCCCGAAAAACTCTAAACCCTAAACTCGCGGCACAGAATAACCCTAAACCCCTAAACCCCTCAACCCCTAAACCCTAAAACCCTAAGCCCTAAACCCATAAATCCCTAAACCCCTAAACCCCAAACCCATCAACCCTAAAACCCTAAGCCCTAAACCCCCAAAACCCCTAAACCCCCAAGCAAAATCCCAGCGAAGCCGCCTTGAGGGCCCCGAGGAAGAGCCGGCTGTAGAGCCCGAGCCCGTGGCCGAGGAGCAAGGTTTTGGGGGTTTAGGGTTTGGGGGTTTAGGGTTTTGAGGGTTTAGGGGTTTAGGGTTTTAGGGTGTATGTTTTAGGGTGTAGGGTCTGGGGACTTAATTTATATAGTTTACCCTCAAAATGAAACCATACTATATTTTCTAGATCCCTTCATGGTAACTTAGAGCGTAAACCCTCAAGCCTTAAAGGAACCCTTATAGATCCCTTAAAGGAGCCCTTATAGACCCCTTTTATTTATTGTAATTTAACAAGAGCCCAGGAGCCTGTGGCCGAGGAGCCGGCAGACTTCGAGGCGGAGGAAGCGAGATTAGGTGTTTTGGTAAGGCCCCTATTATATCATAGACCCCTATTATAGATCTCTTATAGACCCCTTTTAAGGAAGCCTTTAAGAGAACCCTGTTCTAGTCATTAAGGCTCAGGATTTGGAGGTTTAGGGGTTTAGGGCCTACCTATAGTCTCCATTGTAGTTCCTTTTTTTGGTTTAACCAATCATATGTTAAGGATCCTATAGGTAACCCCAAAAAGGAACTACAATGGAGACTATAGGTAGGGTTTGGAGGTTTAGGGGTTTAGGGGTGTGGGGGTTAGAGATTGGGGGTTTACGGGTTTACAGCTAAGCTCCTAGCCTGAGCCTTAATGTTTAATGATTAGAACAGGGTTCCCTTAAAGGGTTCCTTAAAAGGGGTCTATAAGAGATCTATAATAGGGGTCTATGATATAATAGGGGCCTTAATACTTGGAAGAGGGTTTTTGCTTGGAGGGTCAAAGGACTTAGTAAGTAAGGTTCTAAGTAGATTGGGGTTAGATTTAGTTGTTAGTGTAGTTACTTTACTTATAACCCTAGTTACTCAGTCCCATGATCCTCTATATGTAAGCCCCACACCCTAACATCCTAAGCCTTTTGGCCTTTAGCTGTAAACTAACCTGCAGCACTAAACCACTAACCTTACTCTAAACCCTAAGGCCCTAAGCCCTAGATCAACAGCCCTAAATCCTAAAGCCCTAGACCTTGCGCCCTCAGCCCTAAGGCCCTAAGCCTGCCCGCCCCGGTCCTTCTATATAATTGGCTTTGGTACTTTACTATAGTCTTGGCTCCGTACTAAAACTCGTACAATCTTAGCCCCCCCCACCTAATAGTTTTAATGCACCTTCAATTGTGGGTCCGAAGCCGCAAAATCCCGGGGTCTGGGAGTGGTATTTTTCGGGAAGGCTGGAAAATTAGAGGGAAGCGATTAAGCCCTAAACTACAAACTACGACAACCCTCAACTCTAAGCAGCAAAAAACAATTTCAACAACATATCAGGAGGCAGAAGAGGACGAGGAAGCGCCAACCCAAGAGGCCCGGCTTCGTTTGCGGAGGGCGCAAGGTGTCGGCCTACGGGTGTGGGACCACGTGGGCTGGTGCGGGGAAATGATGAGGTTGATGCTGACGGTTTGTATGGTGTTTAGGGTTTATGGGTAGGTCTTCTAAGGGTTCGCGGTGAGGTTTTATTCGGGTTTACTGGTTGTTGGCATGTTTCAAGATAAGCCGAACCGGGAGCCCTAATGGCACTCACTGATGCAAGCCTTGGTTTTGGGACCATCACACCCATGGCTGAACCACATCTCTGAGGCTGCAGGGGTCGTAACGTCGTAATGGAAACCCTATAACTCTACATCCTAAACCTTACACCTAGACCCCCCGATGCCCTGAAATACCCACTATTGAGGACCATAAGGTCTCTGTTAAGGGCACTTCGGGGGTCCTAGCAAGCTGCAGACCCTGGCCTCAACCCTCAAGCCAAAGCTGAACCCCCCGACCGCTCCTCCACGGGAAGGCTGTGCCGGCAGAGGCTTCGCAGCCCCTGCCAGAGCAATCCGACGAGAAGGCGGCGCCTTGCTTAGTTAAAGTATCGCGGGACTTAATTAATAACTCTCGGGTTATAGACAAGGTAACTAGATTTAACTTCTCGTCACTTATAGACTTTTAACACCGATATAAGGTACTTTTTAACTTTAATTACTTACTAAGTCCCATGATCCTTCAAGTAGTCATGTATACCCGTCGAGGTTTGGGGTTGCGGCGTTCGTTGAGGGCCTTGACATGAAGGATCTCAAGCACATTTTTGTTTTATGTAAGGTAGGGTGGGTTAGTAATCAGAGGTCTGCGTTTGGCCGGTGTCAGGGAGCTTCGTGGGAAGCTGACATTGGCAGAGGCAAACGCTGCTGTGTGCCGACAAAGCGGAGTTGCGGCGTTGCATAGCGGATTTGCATCTGCGCATCATACAGCTGGAGGAGTCCAAACGCCTGATGCGCAAACAAGCGCAACGTGGTGGACAACTATTCCAGCACGCGGGTTATTATGCTTCCCTAAGGCTCCATGTACCCTTATAGTATATACTTAGCCCTTAAAGTACCTATATAGGGACCCCGTTAAGGCTTAAGTATCTACTACAAGGGTACATGGAGCCTTTGGGTTTCATCTTTTGGAGGAACGGGCTGCCCGACGGATCGGAGCCTCGGACAGTCACTCGCGAGACCTTGGAAGCATGTGTGTGTCCATAGGTCCTGGATGAGTGCTGCGTGCAGAGGTCCGAAGTGTAGGTTCAGGGATTGTTAGGGGGGGCTTCATTATAAGGGGGTCTATATGGGATATCCCTATCCTAATTTTTGCTTATGTGCTTTTTTGGGGCCCTAGATTAGGGTTTAGAGGCTTTGGCCTGTTTGTGGCCGTTGGTGCAGGCTCGGAATGAAATTCGGTGGTGTTCAGGACAGATTCCTTTATGTCCAAGAGGACAGAGCAAAGAACCGGTCTCACAAGCAATAAGCAGCTCAAGTGTCGTTGGACATGAGAAGTTTGTCAACAATCACTGAGAATTTCACCACGCTGGCGAGGTTGCTCAGCTGTATCAACATGCACGACGAATGTCTCATGATAGAAGACCCAACCCATGTTCCAAACCTCTAATCCGAAACCTTGTACGGCCCAAGCCTACCACCCGGCGCCCCGCCCCCCCCCCCCTGAAAACCACACACCTGAAGAAGCCCCAAAAGCCTTGAAGCTTCAAACCCATAAAGCTACTAGAAAACCTTGAGAAAGCTTCAGAAACACCTTAATTGCAAAATCATCCTGTAAAGCCTGCGCAGATCTCTTCTACGGTGAAGTCTTCCGACATCCCAAACTGCTTGAAATCACGACAACCTTAAACCCTAAGCCACCAACCCCTAAACCCCGAAAGCCAATACCCCAAAACCCAAGTCCCAGCCTCTTCCTCTTCTCAGGAGGAGGTAGATGAGGAGGCCCCGAAGGTGCCCGGCGAAAGGGCTTTGGTAGGGCTTTTGGGGTTAGGGCCTTTGGGACTGGGCTTTAGGGGCCTTCGGCTTTAGTTTCAGTGTTTAAGGTTAAGGGCTTTATATATATATATATATACACACATATATGTATGTGTGTATGTATATATATATGTATGTAGGACCTCTTGGGTTTATTTGGGAATAGTCTCTTCCTACATTTCTATATATGTATGTAATATATATATATATATATACACATACATATATACAGTATTATATTATATAATAGTGTCATTTTCATGTTTTTCAAATTTTCGCTTAAAGGAAAAATTTGAAAATTTTGAAAATTTGAAAACCTTAGGTTTTTGGTAGGCCAGAACTTTTCAATATTTCAAAAAATTGAAAATTTCGAAAAATTTTGAAATTTTGAAAATCCAAATTTTCAATTTTTCAATATTTTCAAATTTTCGCTTAAAGGAACAATTTGAAAATTTTGAAAAATTGAAAACCTTAGGTTTTTGGTAGCCCAGAACTTTTCAAAATTTGAAAATTTTGAAATTTGAAAATCCAGATTTTCAATTTTTTCAAATTTTCGCTTAAAGGAAAAATTGGAAAATTTTGAAAATTTGAAAACCTTAGGTTTTTTGTAGGCCAGAACTTTTCAAAATTTAAAAAAATTTGAATTTTTTGACATTTTGAAATTTGAAAATCCATATTTTCAAATTTTCAAAATTTTCAACTTTTTCCTTTAAGCGAAAATCTGAAAAAATTGAAAATCTGGATTTTCAAATTTCAAAATGTTGAAAAGTTCTGGCCTACCAAAAACCTATAAGGTTTTCAAATTTTCAAAATTTTCAATTTTTTCCTTTAAGCGAAAATTTGAAAATTTGAAAATCTGGATTTTCAAATTTCAACATTTTTCAACATTTTCAATATATTCAAATGTTTCAAATTTTAAAAGGTTCCGGCCTACCAAAAACAAAAGGTTTTCAAATTTTCAAAATTTTCAATTTTTTCCTTTAAGCGAAAATTTGAAAATTGAAAAACACTTGAAAATCTGGATTTTCTAATTTCTAAATTTTTCACATTTTTTTAAAGTTTTGAAAAGTTTTGGCCTACCAGAATCCTAAGGTTTTCAAAATTTCAATTTATTCAATTTTTTTCCTTTAAGCCAAACCTGGAAAATTTTATAATCTGTATTTTCAAATTTCAATGTATTTCATTCTTCACAGCAAAAATGCACAAATCAAAGTTTGAAACTTTTTCAATGTTTTCTTTTGCACTTGCACTATGAAGTTTTTAGATTTTTCGTATCGCTCACCGGTACAGGCTTCGTCTCCGCATACTCGATCAGGATGTTTCGCGTCGCCCTGCGTTACAGGCTTTGCCTCCACACACCTGCGCAAAATGCTTCGCGTCGCCCGGCGTTACAGGGTTTATCTCCGCATACATGATCAGAATGCTTCGCGTCGCCCTGGCGTTACAGGGTTTGCCTCCACACACCTTCGCAAAATGCTTCACGTCGCCCGGCGTTATAGGGTTGACTTGCACACACATGATCAGAATGCTTCGCGGCTTCGCGTCGCCCGGCGTTGCAGGGTTTGCCTCCACACAGCTGCGCAAAATGCTTCGCGTCGCCCGGCGTTACAGGGTTGACTTGCGCACACATGACCAGAATGCTTCGCGTTGCCCGGCGTTGCAGGGTTTGCCTGCGCACGCCTGCGCAAAATGCTTCGCGTCGCCCGGCGTTGCAGGGTTGACCTCCGCATACATGATCAGAATGCTTCGGGTCGCCCGGCGTTACAGGGTTTGCCTCCACACACTTGCGCAAAATGCTTCGCGTCGCCCAGCGTTACAGGGTTTGCCTCCACACACTTGCGCAAAATGCTTCGCGTCGCCCGGCGTTACAGGGTTGATCTGGAATGCTTCGCATCGCCCGGCGTTGTAGGGATAACCTCCGCATACTTGGTCAGAATGCTTCGCGTCGCCCGGCGGTTCAGGGTTTGCCTGCGCACACATGCGCAAAATGCTTCGCGTCGCCCGGCTTTGCAGGGTTGACCTCCGCATACATGATCAGAATGCTTCGCGTCGCCCGGCGTTACAGGGTTTGCCTCCACACACTTGCGCAAAATGCTTCGCGTCGCCCGGCGTTACAGGGTTGACCTGCGCATACATGATCACAATGCTTCGCGTCGCCCGGCACTACAGGGTTGATCTAGAATGCTTCGCGTCGCCCGGCGTTGCAGGGTTGACCTTCGCAATACTTGATTAGAATGCTTCGCTTCGCCCGGCGTTACAGGGTTTGCCCCCACATCAGGGTTTGCCTCCGCTTGAGCCGAATGCTCGTATGGGGTTTGCATTCACATCCTTTCGCAGAATGTTTGGCGTCGCCCAGTGTGACAGGGTTTGCGTCCCATCTACCTTGATCGATACGTTTCGCGTCGCCCGGCGTTACAGGGCTTGCTTCCGCATACTTGCTCAAGACTCAGAATGTCTCGCCTCGTCCGGTGTTGCAGGGTTTTTTCATTAGTTTATTCATCGATATGTTTCGTGTCGCCCGGCGTTACAGGGCTTCCTTCCGCACACTTGCACATTCTACCTCGCATCGCCCGGTGTTGCAAGTGTTTTTGCGCTATGACCAGAGTGTGTACCTTTACAGCAAACCAAGAGCATTATACATTCATGCGAAGTCTAACTTATGTAAGACTGAGTGGCACACTCCATACATGATCGAGGCATTTTGCGCAAGTATGCGGAAGTAAGCAAACCCAGTCATGCCGTGCGACACGAAACATTTCGGCCAATAAACTATTCTTTGCAAAATGTTTTATCATTGATATGCCTGCAAGACACAGTGTACTAGAATGTAGAAACATACAGGTCTTGGCAACCTCGAAGTGCATCTTCGAGATAGAGTTGCCTAGAATGATTGACAAGGTAATTGTTACAACAGTACTCAAGGCGTACACATAGACATGTGGACTGTTTAATGTCTACCGGACTGTACATGTGCTGCCCTTTTAGACGTGATAATCAGACTGAGCAACCTCAAGGGTTATAAAATGAAGCAGGGTGGAGGCTTTCCTCAAGCCTTGTGTCCTCAACTTAGATCCTAAACCTTGAAAACCACAACCCTGAATCCTGCACCCGAAACCCTAAAGAATTTTCGACCGTAGCAACTGGAAGCCATCCCGAATGCGCACATTACAAGACCAGTATGCGGCTGTCACATTGAGTGCCACAGATAGCTTGCAGAGCGTGAGTGAAGAAATCCGAGCCCTTGGTTGTAGCGGCTCAGAGACTTGTAGCATGTCGTGGCTTTCGGACGACATGGTGATGTAACCAGATCACGCTGAAGGTAGCCAAAGTGTATGCTTCCGACAAGGTGTATTCTTTCTCTCAGAAGAATCAGCGTGGCGTCGAAGAATCAGTGTGACGTCGAAATACTTCAGACGTGCTAAATGGCACCCTCCCGTAAGCGGTCCCTCTTCTCAGACGGCTTTCAGGGTTAGCATCACTCGCTAGGATCCCCCGTCTGAAAAGAGCACCTAAACCGGGCTACGGCCGAAAAGAGAAGGGGCAGGGAGGAGTGCCACTATAGCAGTAATCTGCAAGGGAGAAAAAGACATCGTCCTTCAGAGCAGTCTGGCATCGTCAAGAGCAAATTCACTTATCAGGACTTCACTTTTGAACAACAGCTGCTTGATCAGACTCTGCAAAGTCAAACCTTGCTTAGAGTAAGCAGTGGTTTGCACTATGAAGGTGGGAAAAAAGCATGCTTCGCACAGGGTTCATTCATTCTCTCAGAAGAATTCGCGTGGCATCGAAATTCTTCGTACGCTTTGATTGGCACCCTCCTGTAAGCGGTCCCTCTTCTCAGACGGCTTTCAGGGTTAGCACCACTCGCGAGGATCCCCCGTCTGAGAAGAGCACCCAAACCGGGCTACGGCCGAAAAGACACGGGGCAGGGAGGAGTGCCACTATAGGAGTAATCTCCAAGAGAGAAAAAAAGATATCGTTCCACAGAACAATCTGGCATCGTCGACAGCAAAGTGACTTTTCAAGACACCGCTGCCATCAGGGATTATAAGACAGTGATGCGGAGCATGGAAGGAGGGGTTTGCCTCAACCAAAAACGGGTTGGAACTAACACCTCGGGCAGAATGCACAGTACAGCATAGCACAGATCGGAAAGGGTTTAGTTCATGTTAGCGGAGATCCTCCAATACTCAAACATCATGACAACACGGATATTCCTTTGTGTCACGGAGAGTAGTCCTAGTGATGGTAGTTGTGTCCTGTTGGCGCAAGATGGCTGAAGCATAAGCTAACCGTGTCAACTTTGAGCGTGTGACCTTGTGAGCAGAGACGAGGCAGCGACTGTGTTATTTTGAGCGTGTGTCCTTGGTAGCAGACACAAGGCAACGACAGTGCCAACTTTGAGCGTGTGACCTTGTGAGCAGGGACAAGGCAACGACTGTGTTGTTGGGATTTTGTGTTCTGCCCCATGTGCAGGGGAGCTCGGTCGTCCGGCTCTTCGTCAGAGGCTTTTTGCGCCGCTTCCACCGCGCCGTCTTCGTACTATGGAACCCACTCACAACCACCCGAAGCAGGATCTAACGGGATTTTGTGTTATGCTTCCACTTCACTGCCCGCTATGTGCAGGGGAGCTCGGTCCGAAGACAGACGGAAAGGGGTCGCGCGATGACCAAGGATATATGACGAATGTGTCCAGCTTGTGCTGTCCTACTGTCGCAGTGCTACGATGCACCCCACCCACGGAATGGTGTTGGGTCGTGCCGTCTTCGCGCCATGGAACCCACTCACAACTCACAACCACCCGAAGCAGGATCTAACGGGATTTTGTGTTCTGCCTCCACTTCACTGCCCGCCATGTGCAGGGGAGCACTTTGAAAAATGAATCTATGCTTGCCGTGCCCGTGGAGGACGTGCGACTGATTTAATACGGCTTCGAGTCATTGAACGTGCTGCAAGACCAGTAGCATAGGTTGTGC